TTTGGTAGAACTTACCAGTAAATTCATCTAAGAATGAAGTTTTCTGAAAAACTTTTTAAATAAAAAAAATTTTTCTTTTTTTTTTTGAGATGGAGTTTCACTCTTGTTGCCCAGGCTGGAATGCAATGGTGCAATCTCGGCTCACTGCAACCTCTGCCTCCTGAGTTGAAGTGATTCTCCTGCTTCAGCCTCCCAAGTAGCTGAGATTACAGGCATGCACCACCATGCCTGGCTAATTTTGTATTTTTAGTAGAGATAGGGTTTCTCCAAGTTGGTCAGGCTGGTCTCGAACTCCTGACTTCAGGTGATCCACCCACCTCAGCCTCCCAAAGTGCTGGGATTACAGGCGTGAGGCACTGCACCCAGCTGTGATTTCTTTAACAGAGGACTACAACATTTTCCATCTTGTTATAGTTTTTGGTAAGCTGTGTTCTCTGTGAGTTTGTATATTGTATGTACATTTTACTTATTCAAAGTGTCCTAATATCTCTCTAATTACTTTGTAATAATTCTTTAGTTAGGTGCGGTGCCTCATGTCTACAATGCTAATACTTGAGGAGGCTGAGGCGGGAGGATTGCTTGAGATCAGAAATTCAAGACCAGCCTGGGGAACATAGCAATATTTCATCTCTCTTAAAAAAAAAAAATAGCCAGGCACATTTGTAGTCTCAAATACTCAGGAACTGAAGTGGGAGGATCACTTGAGGTTCAGGCTGCAATGAGCTACAACTGTATCACTACATCCCAGCCTGGGCAACAGAACAGGATCCTGTCCCCGACCCTCCCCACCAAATAATAATTCTTTTCCATCTCCAGCATTGGTTAGTTCTGCTATTTTTTTCCTTGATCATTTTCACCAAGGGTTTATCAATTATTCTTCCAAAGAGTGATTATCATGCCTCAGCCTTCTGAGTAGCTGGGACTACAGGCACCTGCCACCATGCCCGGCTGATTTTTGTATTTTTAGTAGAGATGGGGGTTTCACCATGTTGGCCAGGCTGGCCTCGAACTCCTGACCTCAGGTGATTTGCTCACCTTGACCTCCCAAAGTGCTGAGATTACAGGTGTGAGCCACCGAGCCTGGCCCAACTTATTCTTTAATTTTTTTTGTAAGTTATATTTCTCATTAATTTCTACTATTCCTTCCATTAGTTTAACTCGCTCTTCTTATTCTAGTTTCTTTTTTGAGATGGAGTTCTGCTATTGTTGCCCAGGCTGGAGTGCTATGGCATGATCTCAGCTCACTGCAACCTCCATCTCCCAGGTTCAAGCAATTCTCCTGCCTCAGCCTCCCAAGTAGTTGGGATTACAGGCATGCACCACCATGCCCGGCTAATTTTGTATTTTTAGTAGAGACAGGGTTTCTTCATAAACCCTTTTATTTTCTTTTAGTTTGAGACAGGCTGGTCTCAAACTCCTGACCTCAGGTGATCTCCCTGCCTCGGCCTCCCAAAGTGCTGGGATTACAGACGTGAGCCACCAGGACTGGCTATTCTAGTTTCTTGAGAGTGCTTGTTAATCTTTCTTCTTTTCCAATATATACACTTAAGGCTATAAGCTTCCCTTTAAGTATGGCCTTAGTCATATTTCTATTTTCAGTTCAATTCAAAATAACTTCCACTTTCCACAGGATTTGGAGGCACATTTCTTCCAAATTTCATAATTTTTGTTCAGTTCTGTTGTAATCAGACTGCCTTCTCTGTATGATTTAAGCCCTCTGAAATTTGTTAGTTTCTTTATGGCCTAAAATTTATTCAACATTGATAAATGCTCCATGTCCCTCTGTAAATAACATATATTTTGCAGTTATTGATACAGCGTTCTATGCAGACCCATTAGATTAAATTTGTTAACTATGTTGTTCCAATTGCCTATTGCCTTACTGATTTGGTGGAAAGGGGTGTGTCTGCTTCTATCATTTACTGAGACAGCTATGTTAAAATCTTATGTATAGACTTCTGCCTTTTTGGTCAGGATAGAATACCTGGCACTCTATTCTCCTGTCTGAAGCAACTAAAAAACTGAAGAATATACATAAAATGTCACTCAAAACATGTACCATCAGGCATTCTGAGGAACAGTAACTGCTGACAGAACATGAAACAAAAGAGGTAAGCCCTGCCATTGCCCCAGAGTTTATTTCCTGAAGAACATTTCCAGGCCATAATGCAAGGGAGGGGAAATGCAGGCCAGAGCCCATCAATTTTAAGAGACAGAGGTGAGAGTCAGGGAGGCTAAAATGGCTAGAGTTCAATCTTTCATAAATTCTCCCAATGACAGACAAAGAGGAAACAACTTCCAGCTCTTTCCATGAGGACATTTTCACATTAACACCAAAATCTGACAAGGGTATGAAAAGAAAGGAAACTTATACACTACCTCTTTTTTGAACACATAGGCAAACATTCTAAATAAAATACTGCAGAATAAATCCAGAGATACACAGAAATAATAACATGACTAAGTGGGAAGTTTATTCTAATAAAGCGGATGGTGAGGTAGGAGGGCAATGAGTAGACAGGGAGGAATTAACACTATGAAATCTATTATTAATTCATTAGATTAACAGGTAAGAGAAAAATAATTTGATCATCTCAATATATTCAAGAAAAGCATTTGACATAATTCAACACCATATACTTTCTTAACAAAGTATAAATAAAACCTCCTTAAACCCATAAACACCAAAAAATCCTACGGCAGTCACCATGCTCAAGGGTGACATCCTAATGCATTCTCCCTGAGATCAGGAACAAAGAAAGGAATTCTATTCTGACCACTTTTTGAGACAGGGTCTCACTCTGTCACCCAGGCTGGAATGCAGTGGTACGATCACAGCTCAACCTCCTAGGCTTGAGAGATCCTTCTCCCATCTGTCTTCCAATTAGCTGGGATCACAGGTGTGCACCAGCATGCCCAGCTAATTTTTTGTAGTGATGGGGTTTCACCATGTTGTCCAGGATGGTCTTGAACTCCTAGGCTCAAGCGATTCTCCCACCTCAGCCCCCAAAGTGCTGGGATTACTGGTGTGAGTCACTGCATCTGACCCATTCTGACCACTTCCATTCAACACCATACTGGGCATTTTGGCCAGTGCAATAAGATAAGAAAGAAAGAAAATGCAAAATGACTAGAAATAAGTTATGAACAGATGATATGAATATTCAGAATATTCCAAGAGAATTCACAAATTGTTAGCACTAACCAATGAACAGAGCAAGGGTGCTAGGTACAAGGTCATTATAAAAATCAATTTAAATATTGTAGCAACAAATAGTAAACAAACACTCAAATACAGACTTTACAAAGTGGTAAAAATGGCCAGTAGTATTTGAAAATATGCTTAGCACTATTAGTCACTATTAAAACTTAACCACAAGACACCAGTATATACTTACCAGAATGTCTGAAATGAGAAAAATAATAGGCTGACCAGGCTTCTACAGAGGCAGCCTCTGGGAGAGCCAGTTCTTCTCTTTGACTATCAAGCACTTCTTGCGAGCAGTAAGGATTAAGGAAGTATATTTCTGGACAACCACATCCGCAACTGCAGGGACTGGGTCTCCGACATCAGACATAGATAGTAACTTGCATTTGTTTCCTAGAGTTGCTGTAACAGATTACAACAAATTGGGTGGCTAAGGTAACAGAAATTCATCATCTCACAATTTTGGAGGCCAGAATTCCAAAACCAAGGTGTTGGCATGGCACCATTTCTTCTGGAGGCTTTGGGAGAATCCCTTGTCTATTCTAGGTCCTGATAGCTGTCAACATTACTTGACTTGTGGCTACAACTCTCTGCCATCTTCAGGTTGTCTTCCCATCTTCCTTAGTCTCTCTTTTACAAGGGCACTTGTGATGGCATTTAGGACCCATTCATAATATAATCTCATCTCTAAATGCTTAATTACATCTGCAGAGACCCTTTTCCCAAATAAAGTAATATTTACAAGTTCTCCAGGGATTAGGGTTTGATATTTTTGGGTAGCCATTTTTCAATGTACTGTACTTAATGTATTTACTTTTTATTTTTTAAAAAAATTTAATTTCACCAGTGCTATTTTCCTTTTTGAGACAGTTTCGCTCTGGTTGCCCAGGCTGGAGTGCAATGGTGCAGTCTTGGCTTGCCGCAACCTCCGCCTCCCGGGTACAGGTGCTCACCACTGTCTGGCTAATTTTGGTATTTTTAGTAGAGACAGGGTTTCACCATGTTGGCCAGGCTGGTCTTAAACTCCTGACCTCAGGTGATCCACCCACCTAGCCTCCCAAAGTGCCAGGATTACAGGCATGAGCCACCACGCACGGCCGAGAAATCTATTTTCTAAGTAAAGAAATACACTAGTGAGACTGGAGAAATGGTTGGGGGGCAGAATGGCCTGGGAAAACCTGGTGTGTGTAGAGTGGGTGAACTGAAAGAAGGTAAAAGTCTTAGCTATAATGGGAGTTACATTCTCTGGGTACCAAGGGAAAACTAAGAGGCGATTTTATAAAGAGGAGCTAAAGCAGAATTTCCTTCTTCTTTTTCAGGGTCCTGGGATCTAATCTCATAAAGGAAGTGACTGTATTTACATATATTGCCCCAAAGGGGGGGCAATAGGCATGCTTTGGTAGACCCAGCTAGCTGCCTATTTGAAATTGATTCTTTTCCTTCTTCACTGAAAAGAATCCTACATTTGTGAGGAACATCAATTGCTCAGTAAAATAGATCATTTCCAAGGCACCCTTGCAGCCACCAGTCATGCAACACAGGTCTAACTAGTGGGATGTAAGTAGAAACATGCAAATGGAGCTTCTGGAAATGCTGTACTGTTCTTTTTGTGTAGAAAGACACATATTTGTACCTTTTCCCCTAAGCCTTTCCTTTTCATGCCCTCCACCTCCCCCATCCTTGAAAGCATCATGGAGGAGTTACAATATCAGCCCGGGAGAGTTTACCTGTAGACTATTCTATTAGGAGAAGAAAACAAACAAACAAACAACAGTAACACAAACGCCCCAACTGAATTTAAGCCACTATTATTTGGTGTGTCATCAAACACAATTTTTAAAACCTAAACAATAGCTATGGTGTTTCACAGGTTTGACATCATCAACAATAAATGGACCACTCCAATTGTTCTGGATACTTAAAAAAATACGGCCTTCACACCAATATAGGTCCCAGACTGGTACTCTTGAATGACTAAGGTGTAATTATTTCATCTGTTCCATATATTTATAATCAAGTACAGAGAAGATTAATGTAGATTCTTTATTGATTCCATCAATGTATTAGTAGATATGATAATAATAAATGGTACTTTTACATTCTCTTAACCAAAAATATAACAAATATTTACACTCGGTAAAAATACAAAAAGCATACAGAGGCACTGTCTTTCTAAAAGACGTAAGTGTAAGAGGTATCAAAAAATAGAAGACAAACATTGCTTGTTATAGCATACAATCAATGAATTGTGCAGTATAATTGCTATCTGATTATTACAACTGTGCAGTTTTGTTTTTGTCTTTTGCTGATTAGCTTATATGTCTCAATTTTAAAAGATCAAGTTCAACTGCATTCTGTGTATCAAAACTAAAGAAGCCTTAAAAATAAACAACAAAAGTGAAACATGAACCAGGATTCAAGTTGAAATTTGAAAATGCACTGTGACACTTTTCTGTAAGATTTATCCTGTTTTTCTAGTCTTTAAGGTAATGCTGAAGGAATACATATACTTTAACATCACCTTTTTTAGAAACTTAAAATTGTATCAAAATAATCATTGTTTTAAGAAAGGTTTTTCTCCCCCTCCCTTTTTTGTAGAGGAAAGAACATTTTATAAAAATTAGATTTGTTCTTAGAAACACCCATGATTACCATCACATTATCAGCCTGGGAGAGATTCTCAAGGAGGTGATGTAGATGGCAATGATGTTACTTATCACCCTCAAGAAAATTCATTAAAGGCTTTTTCTCCTCAAAGATCATATTGAAAGTAATCATTTGGAGTAAATGAGAATTATTTACTGTAATAAAATTTTATGGAATCAGGTACTAGATTTACTAATTCTCAAAAAACTTTCACCATGAAGAGATTTTGTTGAAACCTACTATTTGGCAAAAGTTTGCACTGAGGGTTAACTGCTTCAATAGTCTTGGCAGATTTATAGTTGTAGTGGGAATAGAGGGCACTAATCTCTTCATTAAAATTATAAATTTATAAAACAAAAACAAATGGAGATCTGGAATTGGAGTAAATGCAAGTTAAGGCTTCTGAACTTGTTCTAGTCATATGACAAAGTAAGAGAAGGCAGGAATGTACTCTTAGTTAAAATATAAAAATCAAAACCTCATGATTTTTAAGGAATACATACATAACAAACTACAAAGCATCTGGCTTTGGCTCCTGATCAATGTGATCAGCTGATCTGAACACTCACAGTTAAAGTTAGATAGATAAAACGAAAGGCAGCTATAAGGTGCAAGTCCAAAACCATAGGCCTCAACTCTCTGTGCAAGATATTTACACTATTAAGGACAAAGACAGGTAAGGCTTCCATTCGTTTTGAAAGACGTGCTAAATAAACACATTATGAAAGCAGCATATTTTTCTGGAGAAATGAATATAAAATGGCGAGTAGACATCTGAACTTGATTTAGAAAAGGGGGTTTAGTAAAAATATGTTTCACTTTGTTTTTCTGTGGCCATGAAAACAAAATTATGTATATTAGTGAAGGAAAACATTTATAATCAGAAGACCACTGTTTATAGGCCAAGTCACTTGAGTGTAACTTTCAAACTAGGGATTTTTGGTTTAAGTTATTTCCCATTTCAAAGTATCTAGAAAGCTATGGAACCACCAGGCCTCATTCTAGCACACCTGGGATTAATTTCTAAGGCTTAAGTTTCAGATTAATGTTTCTTTACCACAGGAATTTTTCAGACATGCTATTATTCCTAAAATAAATATAAATCATTTTGATGGGAAAAATGAACTACCACCATTTACCACTTAAAACTGATTTGCGATTTCAAAATGAAGGGGGACAGGCAGGAAGATAGAGTGAAGACAGCTAGGGAAAGACAACAAATTTCTACAAAGGAGGTCACAAACCAACTAAATCTTATGTGGACACATATGGACAGCCATTCAAGGTAAACCCATTTTGGCTCCAAGTTGATCTGGGTAGTGCATGTTAATGGCTTTGGCTTTTTTTTTCTTTTGGTAGTTACAGAAGTTTATTAAAATTCCACTTGTCTTTACACTAATAAAACTGAAAAAATTAAACAATATGTAGAAAACATTATATTTAATTTGCAAAAATGTGAAAAATCTACCTCATTCAGTAAACAGTCACTGAAATTTTAATTAAGAGTGCCATGCCCATGAGGCTGGAAAAGTATGTCCTCTCAAGGGCTAAAAACTGAGAACCAAGAGACAATCATTTCTATAACTCCAGCTCCTCTTTCTCCCACAAAATTGTACTGCAGGGTATGTAAGGTCAGACACAATCTGGTGCTGTGAGATGTGGGGGTGGCAAGCTGCAGAACACTGCATAAAGTCAAATTTACCTTCATGATTACAACACCTATGATAAAAATTTCTTTTAAAAAAGTATTCCGTACTTGTGTTAGGAGAGATTTTAGTTTTGGGTTTCTATAGACTAGAACTCTCTAGAACCCATTCTCTATTTATTGGATCTATACTTTTAGTTACAATTTGATGCAGCATAACTTTCACTTAGGAAATAATTTGTATACATGTAATTTAACACCAAAATTTCATTCTTTGGAATTCAGGGTTCCCACCCTCCTCCCCAAACTACTCCCTCCCCTTTCCCAAATGACTGACAAGAAACCCCATGGCAGCTTCATTTGGCCTTTCACACCATGACCAGCAGGTTCCTAACACCTCAACTGCAAAGGGCTTCCTATTTCTCTCAAACTGAGACATACATTGCATTGGTTCTACAGATCAAGTCATGTCTCTATGTAGATCAAGCATATCACCTCTGTAAAGATGACTTCTGTTTGGTCAGACCAGAGACAGTTTTATGACCTCACACATGAACTTCAGCTAACAAGAACTCTCAAATACAAACAAAACCACAACAATTCAAATAATAAGTTATTTTTCAAATATACAAGAATATCCTTGGTATTGGCAGACACTTTCAATTTGTCCTTCAGCCCAAGCTATGGCTTGGAAATAATAATGCCACTATCTTTAAAATAACTTGTTAAAGAAAAGTCTACAGCAATGTACACAAGGATCTCTCTGAGTTTAAATTTTTTCTGTAACTGTGGTCCCAAGGCAGTTCTGGCATGCAAATTGGAGACTGGTATCCAGGCACAGCATCCATAGCTCAGGAAACTATTCATCTGCAGAAATTAAGTGAAAGGAAGCATAACTCAGGGTATTTCATTGCTTGGCGTAGAGGGAATAAAACCATTGGACTAGTTGTAGCAGTGAATTGTTTGTTAGCAATGGCCTGCAGAATCATTAAGTGGTTCTGCCCACTCCTCAATGACTTTCAGTGGTTTTCAAGTAGGTCATCTGAAGGCTAGACTGCTGAAACTTGTTCATTTTCTGAAAATAATAAAAATATAATTAACTGGCAGATCAGCATATTAATGACATCAACTACAATCTAGTTATCTGTTTAGAAAATCAATGTCAACAAAGAAATCCTCTCAAACACTGCATCAAGGCCCAGATTTTATTATAATACCTATGATTTCTGATCACATTGAAGGTTGAAAATAAACTGTTATAGTTTTTAGTCACTTTATTGCTCTTGTTTAAAAGCATACAATTTCATTTATTTTCAATAAAACAATAATTTCTCAAACTATTGGCTCACATACAAAGTCAAGAGCTTTGCTAATAAAAGGAACTGTATCAACAGCATCATTTTGGATAATTTGGCATTTAAAATACAGTTTCAAGTTTCCATGCATTAATGTAAAACAATTCCATCAATGTTAACTGCTTTTTCTCAAAATTATCCCATTAGATTGAGCCACTGTTTTATCAAAGATAAGAATATTACATGTGAGCCATGGGGTACCAGGCACACAGAAATAAGCAGCTTGCCCTTTTCATTTAAAAAAAAAAAAAAAACACCATAAGTGCTGGGTATAGTGGCTCACACCTGTAACCCCAGCTTTGTGGGAGACTGAGGCTGGCAGACTGCTTGAGCCCAGAAGTTCAAGAGCAGCAGCCTATGCAACATGGTTAAATGCTGTCTCAAATAGAAAAAATCAGCCAAGTGTGATGACATGTGCCTATTAGTCCCAGCTACTTAGAGGGCTGAGGAGGGAGAATTTCCTGAGACCAGGAAGTTGAGGCTGCAGTGAGCCATGATCAAGCCACTGCACTCCAGCTTGGGTGACACAGTAAGACCCTGTCTGAACAAATAAAAAAAAACCTCACACGATTGGTTGGGTGTGGTGGCTCACATCTGTAATTCCAGCACTTTGGGAGGTGGGGTGGGAAGATTGCTTCAGGCCAGGAGTTCAAAACCAGCCTGGTCAATATAGTAAGACCCTGTCACTACAAAGGAAAAATTTAACAATGAGCCAGGCATGGAGGTATGCACCTGTAGTCCCAGCTACCTGGGAGGATGAGCTGGGAGGACTGCCTGAGCCCAGGAGTTTGAGGCTGCAATGAACCATGATTGTGCCACTGTACCCTAGCCTGGGCAACCAAGCGAGACCCTGTCTTGAAAAACAAAACAAAACAAAAACACTCTCCCTACACTATCATATTTAGAAACATTTTTTTAAAGACAGTTTCACTCTTGTTGCCCAGGCTAGGGTGCAATGGTGTGATCCTGGCTCACCGCAACCTCTGACTCCAGGGCTCAAGCAATTCTCCTGCCTCAGCCTCCAGGGTAGCTGGGATTACAGGTATTTGCTACCATGCCCAGCTAATTCTGTATTATTTTTAGTAGAGATGCGGTTTCTCCATGTTGGTCAGGCTGGTCTTGAACGCCTGACCTCCCATGATTCGCCCTCCTTGGCCTCCCAAAGTGCTAGGAGCCACTGTGTCCAGCCTGAACATCTTACTTTTTCTTACTTCTTACTTTTTAACAGAGATTTCTAAGGCATTTAAAGAAACAATTACGAATTACCATAAAATACCAGAGTAAAGACCATTTAATGTGTTCAGCAATTCATTTATGAGCCATTAAGAGAGCTTGTCAACATACCATCTGCTTCGCTATCTGCATCAGTCACATCTGCTAGTTTAGGATGGCATGGCTGCAAATTATGCCTCTGAGGCTGAGTTACAATCTTCGATGGAACACAGGCCGCGAGGTTGCTACTGAGAGAAGCTGGCGGCAGTCTAGAGAGGCTGTTATGCATCATCTTTGACCTCTGCACTGCCACACTATAATCTGGAGGTTTTAGGTGTGGGTGGGGTCCTTCCTTTAGGTCCGCTAAAGAAATCCCCAAATATCCTGGAGGAGTGGGAGGTGGCTCCCTATACCTATCATCCTTCTTGGGTGAGGTGACACAGTACACTGGCATGAAAAATAAGCAATGAAATTGTTAATGAAAAAGATATGAAATGAAAAAATCCCATAAACTTATTACAATGACAAAATAGAACTTAAAAACAGACAGATGAATAAACTTGAATGATGGCAGATTAAAAACATTTTCCAAAAGCTGAATAAACTTATTTTTAAAATATATAAACAATTATATTAAATCCTGTAAATATTAAATAGGACGAGAGAGTTGAAGTAGATGACACTGATGACAAGCTTCCTTCTGCAGTTCAGCCCCATATCACAGAAGGGCAGGACAACTCCTGAAGTCATACCCAGCCCTAAAGATGTCAGAAACATTTCAAAGTTCACCCTAAACATCTATTCTCTGTAAACCGGGAGAGTTTACTTAAAAATGATGTTTGGGCCATATGTTTAAGGGCTATTTTACCTTCTTCCTGAGACATGAACCAGTTTTCTGGCACTCCTGGGCAGACTAGTTCTCAGTCCTAGTATTTAAACTTTAACTTTGCTGGTATGGAGGAACTAATTCCTTCAAGAACTTTATTTCTGGCCAGGGGCGGGTGGCTCAAACCTGTAATCCCAGCACTTTGGAGGCTGAAGTGGGTGGATCACCTGAGGACAGAAGTTTGAGACAAGCCTGGCCAACATGTTTGAAGCCTTGTCTCTACTAAAAATACAAAAATTAGCTGGGCATGGTGGTGGGCGCCTAATTCCAGCTACTCAGGAGGCTGACGGGTCACGCCACTGCACTCCAGCTTGGGTGACAGAGTGAGACTCTGTCTCAAAAACAAGAACAAAAACAAAAAAACTTTACTTCTAACTTCTGCTTTGTAATTAAGTTGAGAAGAAAAAAACAATTTTTGAAAATTTAACTTAAATTACTCTGATTTTTAGCGGACATTAAAAATAATGACTAAATCCTCTTACTTAAATTTGTAAGCCCTGAGACTAAGGCAAAGCTTCAAAAAGCATCATAAACAGGTTAAAGATGAAGTTCCAAGAAATTAAGACTGGCTCATAAGACCCACAGGGAAAATGGCTCTGAGTATCTTGATTATGCAAGTGACTTTTAAAACACAAAAACAGTCTGTATACAAGCAGAATACACTTAAAAAGATATAAAATAATTCGAATATTAACTTTACCATTCGAGAATCTGGTTTATCCATATTGAATTTTCTAGAATTTTACCAGTAAAATTTGCATGTACTATCAAGGTCAGAAAAGATTTCCATTCCCATTTAAGGATGGGATGGGTGAGGTGATGGAGGTGAGGAGGTTGCTAATAACAAGAAAAAGAATGTAAATGATTTACCCATACTCACTAATGATTAGAAAAACTATATTCGTAAATGGACAAGAAAAACATTTTTATATCTCTGTATACACGTATGTTCAAGAAATGGTTACCCAAAAGGCTTTAATAAAAAACCTTGATCTGTGCACAGTGCCTCATGAGATTATGCCACTGCACTCCAGTCTGGGAGACAGAGCAAGACTATGTCTCAACTCACAAAACAAAACAAAACAAAACAAAACAAAACAAAGACAAAACTCGGAAAAAATGAATGAGCTAAAAACTCAACCTAAAATAAAATTTGACAAAAACTATAAAATGAGCACATTTCACCTTCACATTTTTTTTGCAATTAAATGTGACACCATGACTATTCTATAAATTCAAGAGTTGAATATGATATTAATTCAAACTACAGTAATTCCATATAAGTAGAAAAGCAGGAGTTTTATATCCAGGTATTTATACAATTCAGGAAAGAAATTTTTAAAAAGTATTTGATGGCCAAATACTAAAAAAAGAGTTTATTAAGAAAGCTTCAAATGGATTCACAAACAGGAGTTGGCATACTGATGATGTACACCAGAGGGTATACTAAAAAATGTTCTGGACTTCTTTATCATGTTTCTCTCACCTTTACTACCTAAAATCAACAGCAGATTCAATGTTTCTACCACGTATGCATAGTCATTGTGGTCCAAACAATTTATGAGGTGATAAAGAGAATAATCCCTTTATTACTACTGCATATTGATGCGATATTCCTCAATGAAACCAAAAAGATCTTAAAAACAAAGGACAAACTTGTCCCTCTAATTAAATACCTTCACATCAGACTTTTCATTTTAATAGCTTGAATATCTGCTGCAAAGTCTTTGAGAAACCATGAATTTTTGGGAAAGAATTTATTTGTGAAGGGAGGAAAGAAAGATTGTTAGTGAGAGAATTAATTTTTGTGATAAAATCCAGGGCTAGGATATCCCAAAGCCATTTTTTGACTACTTAATCTCTAAATGCCAAAGACAACAAAAACACAACTTACCAATCAAGCCCTTGTCTGTACTTGATGTGACAGTTTTGTAAACTGTGTCAGTGGCATCCCTGGGGTCTAAGCCTTCAGATGACTCAGCTCGGGTGCTCTCCAATACTCTCCGTTTAACTGTCCCATAGTTTGGTTCATACGTGTCAGACAAAGAAGTGGAGGAGGCCCAACTCTTTCTCAACTGATTTGTTTCTAGGCTTCCTTTACACTGCCCACAAGTTCTAGAGCAGCTTTTAGGACAGGAATAGGGCTCACAGTCAGTGGGTTCAACTTCAGCAATGGGGTCATCCAAATGGGTATGTCTGTAAGAGTTCAAAAAATCCCAGCTTTTTGGGTTTGGAAGGCTTTGGAAGTTGTCATGGGAGCTGCTTGAACATGAAGTCCAACTTCCACGACCACTGTCAGCTGCTTCTATAATGATATGCTCGTGAGAAATCTCTTCATTGCTCACAGATGATGAGACAGCTAAACACTTGATTAGAGATGGCTTCAAGAGTATCCACCTAAAATTGGAGATAATGTACAATCAGAGTTTACAGGCTTGCTGGAAAAACTTTCTTCTTTCTAAGTTATTACTGCCTATGAGAAACTGTAGAACATTTACTACAAGTGTTCATGCCAAAATAACCTTGTAAAGAAAATTATATTATCATCATTCATCATTAAATCTCTTCAAGTATTTAGTTAACACTCAGGAAGATACAGTGAAGAAACTGAAATGCTTAGCAAAGTTTCCTTAGCATTTTTCTTTTTAAATCTAAAAATTTTAATTATTATTTTTAAGACAGGGTATCACTCTGTTGCCCAGACTGGATGGCAGTGGCTATTTACAGGCATGATCATGGTGCACTGTAGTCTTTAACTCCAGGGCTCAAGCGATCCTCCTGCTTCAGCCTCCCTAGTAGCAGGGATGGACTACAGGTATGCCTGGCAAGTATTTTTCTTGAACTGATTTTAAATGAAAATGCAAAGATGAGATTTAAAATGAATAACATTAAGCATACATATTCATTCTTGTCATTACAATATTAGACTACTGTCCATGCATATAGAATTACGAGTTGCCAACTTGGAGAATCATATTTTATTTTTCAATGTACCTCTGAGGTTAGCCCAGTACAGTGACAAGTAAACAGCAACTTCCCAATTACCTATGAAATGAATCATTTATAGCAGGGGTCCCTAAACTAAAGCTCATGGGCCAAGTTTAGTCAACAGCCTGTTTTTGTATGGTCTGGAGCAAAGAATAGTTTTGTTTTGTTTTGTTTTAAACCTTTTTAAAGGTTAAAGCAAAGGAAAAATTTGTGACAGAGACCATATGCAGCCTGTGAAGGTGAAAATATTTACTACCTGGCCCTTCACAAAAGAAGTTTGTAAAACCTTGGGGCTAGCAAACGGCAGGCCAGGGCCAAATCTGGTGGTCTCTTTGCTCGTTTTTGTAAATAAAGTTTTAGTGGGACACAGTCATGCCATTTGTTTATGTATTGTCTATGGCTGTTCCGGTGTAATAGCAGAATAGTTGTGACAGAGGCCTTATGGCCTGTTAAGTCTAAAATGCTTACTCTTTAACTTTTATAGAAAACATGTGCTGACCTCTGGTGTAGAGATCATAGTTTAACCTTTATAAATGTGGTAATACTTTATCTTAAATTTTTCATATTAAAGTAGACTAGATTTCACAATATTTATTAGAATAATCTTTCTCAAAGATTTCCATGTTGTTTGATTCTAAATAGAAATTTAGAATTAACATTTTTTAAAGAATTAACTTTTGCTAAGCGATTATTCTTACTCCCCAAATTACACTTTCAGAGAACAGGGATCAAGGGCTAGTCCTACTCTCCCAACTTGTCTACAATGTACACAGCACTGGAGGCACTTTCTAATACACAACCTTTTTGATAACTTATAACTTAACAGCCAGAATTTCAAAAATTATCTCGCCTATGTGAACAGCAGCTGCACTTCGAGTTCTTATTCATTGGGAAGATACATAATGATAAAAAGTTATTTGAATTTAGTAACACTTTAAAAATGAACACCCATAAGTCTTTCAAAACAGTGCTTATTTACATATTCAGAACAGAGAATATGTGCTTGGCCCACATATTCTTTTATGGATAACTCTGCAATTACTCCACGGGAAGTTCAAGGTCAAGTTGGGAAGCACTGCTTGCAGTGGCCACTTGGCTTGGGTTTTGTGTTATAAATACAGACAACGATGCTTACCCAGGGCCATGTTGACTATGATCTCCTATCCCTGAAGGGTGCTCTGTCTTTTCCAATGCCCCAGTGGATTCAGGGATTACCAGGGCCTGAGAGGAACACCGTTCATCCTGTAGAGCTGCAGGCATGGAGTCAACAGAACAATTGCTCACGATGCTGGACCGTGAAGAAATCTCACTATGGCTGGAGTCAGACAAGTTGTCAGACTTAGCTGATGGAGTAAGTGTGTAACCTGAATGAGAAAAGAGCACTGATCAAACTACAAAAAAAAAAAGGGAACAAATAGTGGAGGTGGTAGCGGAAAGGATGAAAAGAAACAAAAACAAAAATAACAGAAGACAAAGTAGAAGGAATTTTAGTTTCCATCTACGTAGATCTAATGGTACCAATTTTCTCCACACATTCCCCTACATATCCATTAATCTACCTATCCATACCACACCAATCCAACTCTGCATTCAAGAAAAAGACAAAGTCTAGTATTACTAAGAAAACTAGTTTAAAGGTATATCTATCTCAGGCTCTCCCACAGCTACAATCATTTAACAAATTAAGAACTACAAATATTTAGAAAGTAGATGTCTTTAGGGTTTCTTCCTTTGATTAATTAATATGATCATTTCATGACCTGATCTGAATCTAATATACCATCTTGAAGTAAGGATAGAGGTGGGAGTCCAAGATTCAAGGGAAAGAACTACATTTTTGCTTTATCAAACTATATATACTTACCCCAGAAATTCTGCATATGCCACCTAAGAAGTCTTGTCTTGAGTTGAGAGTCACTGTTTTAGATTATTTTTATTTTTTAGATACAGGGTCCTGCTCTGTCACCTAGGCTACAGTGCGGTAGCATGATCATAGCTCACTGCAGCTTTGAACTCCTGGGCTCAAGTGATCCTCTTGCCTCAGCCCTGAGTAGCTGGGACTACAGGTTTGCACCACCACACCCAGTTCATATTTAAACGTTTTGCAGAAATGAGGTCTCATGTTGCCCAGGCTAGCAAGCGATCCTCCTGCCTCAGCCTCCCAAAGTGCTGGGATTACACGTGTGAGCCACTGAGCTCAGCCTGTTTCCGTTTTTTAAATTGTTTTAGGTTTAAACTTAATGCCATACTTAGTTTCCTTTTTCTTCATCACCTTTGCAGAATATTAAACAGCTGAGTGGATACATTTTTAATAATGTGTTACAGAAAAAAACAGCATCTACATGTTCTATGATTTTCTGCACAGCAGACAACTAGAGAGGTGTTCTGTATTCTTTGGAATGAAGAGGTAGGGATGCAGTGAGGTGAAGGACCCAAAAACAAATCTGCAAACAGAATGGCTAACGTACATAATAATCTATTTTGATAATTGGAAAAAATCAAATTTTTATTTAGAAATAAAAAGAAAATGCCCTAGTAATTCCAACAAGAGGAGGGTCTCTAAGAAGTAAAAAGTATTTTCTTGCTCAGAGGAGAGTAGGGTTTTAGTAGACATGTGACCTTTGGACCAATCCCTAGAAATGTCATTAGGAAGAATCACAGGCTTTAGGTATGGTATTGGAATTCTCAGGGCCTCATCTTCATGCAGAAAGAGGATGACAACATCCTTAGTTTCAAAGTCCTTCTCTGTTTAAGGATCTTAGAGGTATTTACATATAACTCAAGTCATTTAAGGAAAAATTTGCTGCACAGTAATTTTATTAAGTCATTTCATTAACTATTTCAAAGAGAAAAAGGCCCAGAAAATGTGTGATTTATTTTTGGATTATATGGCCAGGAACAGGATAAGACAAGACAAGCCAGTCTTCTGACTTCTCTATCTCTGAACTTGGGATCACTGCTATTTGTCAGTATCCATGGTCAATTTTCAAGAGGACCAAGAAAGCGGATGTAGTAAGTAAATTAAAAAAAAAATAAATAAATACCTTCTTCCTCCGAAGGAAAAAAAAAAATCATTGCTCTATAAAATATTCTTGCTTCATTGTTTTAAAAATAATTTCATTTTTATGTGTGTTTGATCAGTATTTCTCAAATATAATAATACTAAGAACCACCTGGCAAGCCAATTAAACATTCCAGATCCCATTTCTGGCAATTCAAGTTTATGAAGTCTGGGGTGGGACACAGAAATTGCGTTTTTTTGTTTTTTTTTTGAGATGGAGTCTTGCTCTGTTGCCAGGCTAGAGTACAGTGGCGCAATCTCCACTCACCACAGCCTCTGCCCCCCGGGTTCAAGTGATTCTCTTGCCTCAGACTCCCGAGTAGCTGGGACTACAGGCATGCGCCACCATGCTCTGCTAATTTTTGTATTTTTTTTTTTTTTAGTAGAGACGGGGTTTCACCATTTTGGCCAGGATAGTCTTGATCTCTTGACCTTGTGATCCGCCCACCTCGGCCTCTCAAAGTGCTGGGATTACAGGCATGAGCCACCATGCCCCGCCAGTAATTGCATTTTTAAACAAGTTTCCTAGATGATTCTGAAATTGCTATGTTAGACTAGTCCCCTCTGCCCCAATCAAAGGCATGTAAAAAGTAGAGGATAAAAAAGCCTCCTCTACCTATTTCACTCACAGATCCAGCTAACAGTAGAAAATAAAGTTCAACTACAGAAAACAAGGGTATAAAGTTTACTAACTCAATACATTAGTAAAATAACATATGTACAAATGAAGCATTTAAAAATGTTTATAAATAATATCTTACTAAGTTGTCTGCCTAAGCTTTGACAAATGGTTTAATTATACATTAATAACTGAAAACAAACTAAACACTAAAATTAAATAAGAAACTTCATTTCATCAGAGTGTCTTCCTCCTTTTAGACTTGAATCGTGTATAGAAACAGTTTAAAGTGTTACTGTTGCCTTCGCTATTTGAATTGAAGATGGCACTCCCTTTCTCATCTTTGATGTTGCTTCCAACATCCTTCACTTTCTCACAGCTTTCTGTAGCTTGATTGTGATCTGTGTCATCTTTTTTGCTGTCGACTAGTCTCTCCCTTGAAAGCATTCTTTCCCTAAGTCTTCTAAACGGGGATGCCGTTCTTTTTCTGGTTGTGTTCTCACAACTTGTCCTGTCTCTATTCTCCTCAGTGGCCTTCTCAGTACTGTCTGTTCTTTTGGCTGTGCTCCTGGTAATCTGAAGGATTTTCTTTTGCAAGTAAGCCCCACCTATTCCGGAGCAGCTCTGGCCACTGATCTTGCTGCTGTGATCAGATACGATATTGCCAACTGGAGGGAGAGATGCAAAAACCCTGACATGATCAATCAAAATTAGCCTTGTTTACATAATATTTCATTATTTTAAAATTCTAACATCTTGATAATATCTGAAAAATTGAAATCTAGCAACATATTTTTTAACACATGGAAACTTAAATATAGCATATACACACAAATTATTGCAAGACAGAATGCAGGAGAAAGATTAACTTCGTCAGAACAAGCTGGTGATAAAAACAAAAACAAAAAACTGTTGAAAGGAAGCCAAGCTGGTAAAATCATAAGGAAAAATATGACAAAAATATCAGGTAACCAGAATTATTTCTGTAAAGTAACTACATAGGTCTAGAATTGTAAGGTAGATTTTACTAAGAAAAAGCTTAGTAAAAACCAAATAGAGCATACAAATAGTACATTCACTAGGTATATGTATAGAACTAATCTCAAAGTTTAGTAAGAACCAGGTACAGATTCTAATAATTTATTCTGAGTGTAATGACAGATTTGTTCAATCTTAGATTACTGGCAAAAACCTATCTACAGAAATAGAAGGATCATATTTGGTTGGGGTTTTGATAGTACAAATGCAAGAACAAGTTGAAACAATTCTGAAGAAAATAATTTCTTCCGGCTTCTTAGAATTCTAAACATTACTACGAGATGCTCACAAATCTATAAATATGGTGTTCAATTGTTAGCTACACAATAAAAGACAATGGAAAAAAGACTTCTCCGTTCGAGGGCTGAGTGCAGGTTTTCTGTGGGGAATAAGAGCAATGGAGGAATTTCTGTCCCTAATACCTCTTCCCAGAAGTCACATTTGGGCATAAAATGCCAAATCAGATCCTGCTAGTTAGTCATCTATAACAGGATGGACCTCTGAGCAGTCTCTGAGGGGCAAGGTGTTCCTGAAAGAGCATTAGGAGCATATGGATACTGTTCATTCAGACTATTTGTCTGACTGGAGGCACTGTGGCTTATCCTACACCTCAAGATCTGATAAGGGGTACTTTGGATAGGACCATACAGACAAGGAAAGCAACGACACAGGTCTGTGTGCAGCACAAAATTATATATGAGCTACAACAGGATCAAAATCTGTGTTTTATAAATATACCTATTATATATGCTGTTTATATCTCCTGTTTCATTTTTATTAAGCTTCAGTAAAATCTGAAATGAAAAAAATCTAACCAGTCTCAGCTACGTGAGGATGAAAAGAGCGAGTAATGGAGCTACGGTGTCCTGAAGTGGCAGGAGAGAAAGAAAAGAGGCATTCCCATTCACTAAACACTTACCAAACATCAGACTTTATAAACATGATTTCATTTAAACTATGTAAGTGGCTCCTAAAATAGATGGTCCTTTTTCTTTTACTGAGATGGAGTTTTACTCTTGTTGCCCAAGTTGGGGTGCAATGGCATGATCTCAGTTCACTGCAACCTCTGCCTCCTGGGTTCAAGTGATTCTCCTGCCTCAGCCTCCTGAGTAGCTGGGACTACAGGCGTGTGCCACTAAACCTGGCTAACTTTTTTGGTATTTTTTGAGATGGAGTTTTGCTCTTGTTGCCCACGCTGGAATGCAATGGCGTGATCTCGGCTCACTGCAACCTCTGCCTCCTGGGTTCAAGCCATTCTGTCTCAGCCTCCTGAGTAGCTAGGATTATAGGCATCCGCCAGCACGCCTGGCTAATTTTGCATTTTTTACTAGAGACAGTGTTTCTCCATGTTGGCCAGGCTGGTCTCGAACCCCTGACCTCAGGTGATCTGACCACGTTGGCCTCCCAAAGTGCTGGGATTACAGGCGTGAGCCACCACGTCCAGCCTTTTTTGTATTTTTTAATAGAGATGAGTTTCACCATTTTGGCCAGGTTAGTCTTGAACTCCTGACCTCAGGTGATCTGCCTGCCTCAGCCTAGATGGTCTTTTTCTCATCTTACAGGAAACCAGACCATATAAATAAATAACTTGTAGTAATACAGCTAGAGTGGAGGACAGAATCATGGTTCAAACTCAGGTTTGACATCACTGTACATAATTGCCACAGAGGCAAGAAAGAGCCCTGCAGAGTGGGATGAAACTTAGAACCTGGAAACTGAAGCAAGCTCTGGAAGGTTCTCTCTCCTGTCAGAATTATTAAAATAAGCTTGTCTTCCCTGTGACCATGTACCATCCTCTGGTATGATTATTTAAAGATGTAATTCCTTTATATCTGTGAAGAAGATATCAAGACTAAATCTCCTTTCTCCCCAGGGTACACACAGGGTGTGAAGGGTCAATAAAAGAAATACATGCCATATTTAGAATGCTATATGTGCAGCTAACATGAAATGGCATCTGCATGCACACTGCCCAGGCTATCCAAAAAAAGAAATGCTTCAGTCTGAATGATGAAAACATGTAAATGAACAAGAAAAATTCAGTTTTTTTCACATCATGAGATTCTGTGTAAGTAAAAAATCCATAACAGTATAGGTTATTTTAAATCCTAATTTTAAAAAAGGTAATATTCTATTACTAAAAAAAAAAAAAAAAAAAAAAGAAAAGCATTAACCTAAATAATTTTTTTCCTAATCTTATGATTGGTTAAAAGCTATTTCTTTCCTTTTTGTTGAGACAGGGTCTTGCTCTGTTATCCAGACTGGAGTGCAGTGGTGTGATCACAGCTCACTGCAACCTCTGCTTCCTGGGCTCAAGCGATCCTCTCACCTCAGCCTCCTGGGTAGCTGGGACTACAGACACACCACCATGCTTAATTTTTAAATCGTTTGTAGAGACAGGGTCTCATCATATTCCCCTGGCTGGTCTCAACTCCTGGGCTCAAGTGATCTGCCCACCTCAGCTTCCCAAAATGCTGGTATTATAAGCAAGAGCCACTGTGCCCGGCCTGAAGACAATCTCTTACAGAAACTTTTATTTGCAAACACTCCATAGAAATGTCCAAATATAGGAAATTGGAATAACACCACCAAGAATTTGCACCAAAACTATGGCTTCTGCCTTCATTCTTACCCATGCTTGCCCCTCTGTTAAACAAGTTTAGGACCACACTTTGAATAGTGGAGTCCCAGTTACATGATGCATAATACCTAAAAAGCATATGAATAATGCAATACAAAACATCAAAGTTCAAAAAGCATTAGGAGTTATGCTTTTGTTAATGATTTATAATTACTGCTATATACTGAAAAGCAAAATATGTGCTATAAAGTGTTATTTAGTCTAACAAGAACTAGTTTGAAATGTTTTGTCTTACCTTTGTGAGGGGAACCTTGAGGAGATGCAGGAGGACTAGAATGTAAAGATGATGCCACAGAAATAGTGTCTTCTGTATGCTTCTTGCCACTCATTTCTTCAGTTGTTCCTAAAACTTTCTGAGGTAAACTTGTACCTAAAAATAAAACCAAAGATGCAAATAAGCAATAGTTCACAATTAAAATGTCTATAGTTGCCTAAATCACTACATAACTAAAGCTATGATACACAATGGGTAGTGTAGTCAACTGAAATGTGTAAATGACAAACAGACTAAATGACTGGGTAATGGCATACAGAGATTCTCACCTCTAGGTTACTTGTTCAAATTCAGCTGGTCTGCATGAACCAGATTTTATTAGTTTGTCTGTGCTTTGTGGTATAAGGGAAATCAATTTAACAGTCTGAGTGCTGTGCCCCACCTCCCACAACTGACAAAGTGATTTGAAATCTTCAAAGAGAAGGCATGGATTCACTCTTCCCTCCCCTCTAGAGGTGGCCTCTCCAAGTCAGGGCGAGGCATGTGGCAGAGGCAGAGGCAGTGTGGGGATGTTGGCACTGTCACTACCTGTGGTGCATCTGTGCTGTGGGTATACAGAAGAGGCTGCAGGGCTGCCAGTCCAGCCCTTTTCAAGAGCACTAAATTCACACTACGGGAGAGAAGTAAACAACAGAAAGAGTCATGAATGTATAGAAAGATAGTCTGTAGCACAGTGGAAAGATTCCTTAAAGCTCTATCATTACCCTTGTCTAAAGGCTGGTCTTGTTTAGTTTACCTCAAACTTAGCAATGGTTTCAATATATTGATGTTTTTACATTCACCTTCTCTAAGAAACGTCAAAGAGCTATTGGTACTGTTCTTAAAACATAAAGTAAGCAAACTGTGATGAGGATTGATATAGTAAGAAGCAGCCACTGGCCAATGAAAAAATTTAGATCACAGTATACTCACACTACCCTTCATTAAATGTAATATAAACATATTTATCATATAAACAGCTACATTATAATAAAAAATGAAGAAAGCTATATGGGGCTGGGCGCAGTGGCTCACGCCTGTAATCCCAACACTTTGGGAGGCCAAGGCAGTGGATCACCTTAAGTCAGGAGTTTGAGACCAGCCTGGCCAGCATGGCGAAACCCCATCTCTACTGAAATACACAAATTAGCTGGATATGGTGGCACATGGTACAAACCTGTAATCCCAGCTACTCAGGAGGCTGAGGCAGAAAATTGCTTTAACCTGAAAAACGGAGGTTGCAGTGAGCCAAGACTGTGCCACTGTACTCCAGCCTGGTGACACAGAGAGACTCTGTCTCAAAAAATAAAATAAAAGAAAGAAAGCTACATGGTACAAGTAACACTGCCTCTCAAATGGTGATACTCAAGTAAAAAAACCAGAGCTAACTTGTCCCTCTCTCACTCCTACCAACAAATTTATCAACTTCACTAATTCTTCTTCTAATTCTCTCTTCATTTCCATAGACACCAAACTAGTCCAGGCCCTGGGCAATTTCTAGTTAACTGTTAGACTAGTTTTCCATCTGAGCTCTCTCCTTCAGTCTTGCTGTGCCTTATACAGTCCTTCTCAAACATAGTTTGAACTCCCTTGTTCAAGTCTCTTCAATGGCTTCTCACTGATAACTTTCCTTTAGCATGGCACATTGTAATTTCAGCATACCTGTCTTCATCCTCTGCATCTTAGAAGCTGTTTAGTACAGTGGTTAAAGGAAAGATTTAAAGTCAGTCAGGATTCTTTTAGCTTCTATGCTTCCTTTGTACAATGAGGGTAAAAACACCACTTATCTTGTGGCATTATTATGAAGAATGATAAAGTTAGTAAAGTACTTTGAACCATGCCTGGCACTCAGTAAGTGGTCTCCCAAGTATTAGCTTTAATTATTATTGTCTGTCATCACTGGATATAATTTCCACTCAGAGTCAGCAAAGTGCTTGTGTTTTCTTGCACATACCAAGCTGTTTCCTCTGCCTGAAGCAACTTCTCTGGAACTTTTGCCTAATTATCTTCTTCACCAATCTTTCAGACTGCTTAGATGTATGTTATTTCCAAAAAGCCTTCTTCTGAAACCCTATCTTACCTCTAAGTTAAAAGCTCTTGTTTTGTTCTTTTATACGTTCTACATATACCTCTGGCATAACAAGAAGACAGATTATACTGAAGTCATCTGTGTGAGTTCCACATCACCCGACTGAAATCTGGCAGAGGAGGGAGTATTTCTTATTCAACTTTGTATCTCAAACAATAAATTAAATAAAGTTCTTCTAAACATATACTACATATAATGCATGACCTAAGTAATAATGCTAGGAAGCAAATCTAACCTAGCTTCTCATCAAAAAGCTAAAAAAATGATACTGTTAACACAAAAAATAAAAGTAATATGGACAATTACTGCCTGGCCTAAAAGAAAGAAAAAGTGTGCTCTATACTTTATAAATATGACATTCTCTTGTTTCCTAATTAGGTTTTCAGAAGGGGTCATTAATGACAAAAACATCATATAGCCATTTTTGGAATAAGCAACTTCATTTCCAGTTTTTTTTTGTTTTTTTGAGACGGAGTCTCGCCCTGTTGCCCAAGCTGGAGTGCAATGGTGCAATCTCGGCTCACTGCAACCTCCACCTCCTGGGTTCAAACGATTCTCCTGCCTCAGCCTCCCAAGTAGCTGGAATTACAGATGCCTGTCATCACACCCAGCTATCTTTTGTATTTGTAGTAGAGATGAGGTTTCACCATGTTGGTCACACTGGTCTCGAACTCCTGACCTCGTGATCTGCCCGCCTTGGCCTCCCAAAGTGCTGGGATTACAGGTGTGAGCCACCACATCCAGCCATTTCCACAGGTTTTTATAGATTTTGTCTGTATTAGATATTTCATTAAATACACCTTTGAATGCAGTAAGCCCTTGGTACCCAAAATGTATTGCTGTAAATCTTCTATTGATCAACAGATTTCAGCATTACAGGAAATCCAATGTTGGCATTTAAAACATATATGCTGTCAGCAAACATCTATAGGCAAAATGAAACATTTTTTGATTCATGAAGTGATTGTATTACACAATCTACAACAGCTTATCTCCTGAACATCTGTAATTATTTTTCATTCTAACTCCCCTGAAAATTTCAGTTAAATGCATGTAATATTAATGGTGTATACTCACTCAATGCAGGGTCTTTTGTTTGTCCCTTCTTCCTGATGGGGTGCAAATTAACAGCGGGCACCTGAAGCACCTGGCTTACTCTGTGGGGTTGATGCAAGTGGACTTTAGTTGTTTGGCCAGCTGATCTCAAAGGCACTGGAGACATTTCAGATGATTTGGCTGATTTTTTCTCACTTAAATTCTTAGTCACTAATAGGAAAGAGTAAGAAATAAGTAACTGCATGTTTTTAGGCAAGGTTATCACCACTGGCAATAATAATTAGTTACTTTCACAAACAGATGGAAAAACATTCCATGCTCATGGTTAGGGAGAATTATTATCATGAAAATGTCCATACTGCCCAAAGCAATCTATAGATTCAGCGCTATCTCCATCAAGCTACCAATGACCTTCTTCACAGAACTGGAAAAAAACACTTTAAACTTCATATGGAATCACAAGCCCCCATAGCCAAGACAATCCTAAACAAAAAGAACAAAGCCAGAGGCATCACACTGCCGGACTTCAAACTATACTACAAGGCTACAGTAATCAAAACAGCATGGTACTGATACCAAAACAGAGACATAGACCAATGGAACAGAACAGAGGCCCCAGAAGCAACTCTACACATCTACAACCATCTGATCTTTGACAAGCCTCACAAAAACAAGCAATGGGGAAAGGACTCCATGTTTAATAAATGGTGTTGTGAAAACTGGCTAGCAATGTGCAGAAAGTAGAAAGTGGACCCCTTCCTGACACCTTACACTAAAATTAACTCCAGATGGATTAAAGATTTAAACATAAAACCTAACATCATAAAAACACCAGAAGAAAACGTAGGCAAAACCATCTAGGACACAGGCATAGGCAAAGACTTCATGACTAAAAAAGCAATGGCAACAAAAGCCAAGACAGACAAATGGAATCTAATTAAAATTCAGAGCTTCTGTACAGCAAAAGAAACCATCATTAGAGCAAACTGGCAGCCAACAGAATGGGAAAAAATTTTTGCAATCTACCCATCTGACAAAGGGCTAATATCCAGAATCTACAAAGAACTAAAACTGATTTACAAGAAAAAAACAACTCCATTCAAAAGTGGGCAAAGGATAGAACAGACAATTTTCAAAAGAAGACATATATGAGGCCAACAAACATAAGAAAAAATGTTTATCATCACTGGTCATTAGAGAAATGCAAATCAAAATCACAATGAGGTACCATCTCACGCCAGTTAGAATGGCAATCATTAAAAAATCTGGAGACAGGTGCTGGAGAGGACGTGGAGAAATAGGAACACTCCTACACAGCTGGTAGGAGTGTAAATTAGTGGAAGACAGTGTGGCGATTTCTCAAGGATCTAGAAACAGAAATTCCATTTGACCCAGCAATCCCACTACTGGGTATATACCCAAAGAATTATAAATTGTTCTCCTATAAAGACACATGCACATGTATGTTCACTGCAGCCCTGTATACAATAACAAAGACATGGAACCAGCCCAAATGCCCATCAATGATAGACTGGACAAAGAAAATATGGTACATATATACCATGGAAGACTTTGCAACCATAAAAAACGATGACTTCGTGTCCTTTGCAGGGACGAATCTGGAAGCCATCATTCTCAGCAAACTGACACAAGAACAGAAAACCAAACACCATGTTCTCACTCATAGGTGGGTGTTGAACAATGAAAACACATGGACTCAGAGAGAGGTGCAACACACACTGGGGGCAGTTGGGGGGGTAGGGGAGGGGCAGTGGGGAATGGGGAGAGTGGGGAGGGATAACACAGGGAGAAATGCTGGATATAGTATACACCTAAAGTAAATTTTTTTTTTAAATGGTTACTTTAAAAGCATCTATTTTTAGCACAAAAAATAAAATAGATTTTCTTAAGAGGAATTTCATTTAAGTACTATAAAATGTTATCTCTATTGCTTGGTGGGTCAGATAAAAGTTCTTTCTAAAATTATTGTAGAATAAGTTGTTAATTTTATCTCCTAAATAATTCCTTTGTTTGTTTGTTCTTTTGAGATGAAGTTTTGCTCTTGTCACCCAGGCTGAAGTGCAATGGCATGATTTCAGGTCACTGCAACCTCCAGGTTCAAGTGATTCTCCTGCCTCAGCCTCTCAGTAAGTTGGGATTACAGGCAGCTGCCACAATGCCCAGCTATTTCTATATTTTTAGTAGAGACGGGGCTTCACCACATTGGCCAGGCTGTTCTCGAACTGCCGACCTCAGGTGATCCACTCCCCTCAGCTTCCCAAGTGCTGGGATTACAGGTGTGAGCTACTGCACCTTGCCCTAAATAATTTTTGAATCCATGAACTTAATTAGCTCCATCATTACTCTGCAAGATTAAGTTAACATTCTCTCATCTTTATTACTGAAATACTTTTCTTTTTTTCCCGCCCCCCTGAGATGGAGTCTCACTCTGTTGCCCAGGATGGAGCACAGTGGTGTGATCTTGGCTCGCTGCAACCTCCACCTTCCGTGTTTCAAGCAATTCTCTGCCTCAGCCTCCGACTAGCTGGGATGACAAGCGCCTGCCATCATGCTAGGGTAAATTTTTTCTTGTATTTTTAGTAGAAACTTGGTTTCACCATCTTGGCCAGGCTGGTCTTGAACTCCTGACCTCAGGTGATCCACCTGCCTCGGTTTCCCAAAGTGCTGGGATTACAGGCGTGAGCCACCGCCGCAGGCCCTGAAATACTTTTCTCATTCTGTCAATTCCAGCATGCCTGCAAGGCATTTTTCACAGAACAGAAGAGTGACTCTTCCAAAATAAATATTTGATCTTACACTTTCCTTGTCCTTCTGCACAAACCTTAATTTATCTCTGCTTTTAGAATAAAGACCCAAATCCTTAAAGCAAGCTCTATATGACCCGGCATGATTTAGCATCAGCCTGCCTCCTTGACTGGCTTACCTTTCCTCTCACCAGTCTCATACTCTCAATAGGCTTTAACCTCTCTGTTCCTCTCATTAGGTTTTAATCTACTTCAAAGTAAGAACTATGTATTTTGTTCATTACTACATCCTTATGTGCCAGTAACTGACTTAAAACAGATGCTTAATAGGTAGCTGTTCAATCAATAAGTCACCTCAACAGCTACAACACAAGAAAACCAGAGATAGTGTTTTCTAAAGCCATAGGTTTTCTGAAAATCAATGTGAGAATTAAAAAACTGAGAACCCTGACTTATAAAAGCTGTCTCCTCATATAAAACCAATACTATAGTCCAAAGGGAAGAAATTCTTCCATCAGGCAGTACTTTTAATCCTTAGGTTATCCAGATGGTTTCAATGCAGGTGCAGCCTCAGGACTTCATAAAGTATTTGTTTTAAACATCAAGGTAAAAGCAAAAATAGATGTTTAAACTCTCTCAACACAGCTATAATAGCTATTATGCTTTTATTATGACAGCCTAGACAATATTTGGGATGATAAGAATCAGAGATTATCTTAGAAAGTCAAAACACAGGGACCCCCCAGGCAAAAATAAGCATCAACTAATTGAATACAATAGGTTGTCATCCAGAGTCATGAAATGCTTTCTTTCCTCTCTCATTGACTGGTCAATGTTAATCAATGACATCTTATTTTAATAACTGCTACAATACAAAGAAAAAAATCTGAGACTACTTTAAAAATAAAAGAGTTCACAGATGAATGCAAGAAACCACATATATTCTAATTAATTAGGAAGAGCCAAATTCTATAATGCTTAGAAATCAACTATTGTTTGGCCTTGGGATAGTGACTATTTAAACATTTAAAAATGAATTACGCATTATAAAGTTGCTCAAACCAAATTAGGGAATATGCATTGAACTAAATGTTCAAATCTAGTTTAAGAAAGAAAGGCCTAAAGATTTTCTTATTTCATATAGATATTAAATATGTAGCATGGGACATCATTTAGTGTTACGAGAAAAGACAGACACAAGTCTGGGGTGAGTGTAGGAAGAGGAAGGCATGCAGATGTATATAAACTGTTTAATAATCATAAGATGATTAAGTTTATATCAAATTACCTGGGAAAATATGACATTGATAATGACTCAAAGCAAGGCCAGAAGGCTTTAATAAGTATGCACATGGCTTTGAACTTTAAAACATGAAAAAATGATAAAGGCACTAAACACTCTTTCAGCTTTTACCTTTAACATGTGCCATTTAACATGTAGCAGCCAGAATGTAGAATGCTGTTAGCTTTTAAAAATTTCTTTCTCCAAATTTAGTAACTTTGATGTACAAAGAATCACAGAAATAAAATATACTTCAACCCTTGCCAAAGTTTTACATTTGAGAAAACAGAGACCAAAGATGAAAAGAACCTTACTCAAACGGTAATCAATGAAACTCAAACTCTGCCTCTATCCTTTAGTAGGTATTCTTTCCATCATACTCCAAATCTTTTCTTATATGTAGGAGCATTCAAGATACTGATTTGATTATGGCACTTATTAAATGGCTCCTTATCCTTATTTTAAAATTGTCAAAACTAAATTTTTAAAAATCAATATTTGTTCTATTTCCAGTTCCTGTTTTCTATTCTTTCTTTTGACAAACTTTTAAAAATTACTATGCAAATACCATATCATTTATCAATCTTAGGGTCAATCCATGATGAATACTACCCCTTGTCAATTAGGAACTTAGAAATAAAATTCTATTGCAATTTTTATGGGCGTAACATTTAACCCAGTGTGTGTGTGTGTGTGTGTGTGTGTGTGTGTGTGTGTATTTATATTATTTGTCTGTGTGTGTGTGTGTGTGTGTGTGTGTGTGTGTGTATTTATATTATTTGTTAGAGACTGGGTCTCACTTGATTGCCCAGGCTGGAGAGCAGTGGCACAGTCCTAGGTCACTGAAGCCTCAAACTCTTGGGCTCAAGTGACCTGCCTCCCTCAGCCTCCTAAGTTGCTAGGTCTACCACACTTGGCTAATTTTAATTTTTTCCTTCGTAGAGATGGAGTCTCCTTGAGTTGTCCAGGCTGGCCTCAAGTGATCCTCCTGCCTAGGCCTCCAGGTGTGACCCACCACGCCTGGCCTGAACCTACAATTTAACTTAGGAAGTACAATTATTTTGTTACAACAGTTTGTATTTCATTATCTTTGATTTCTGCTCTTAGAACTCACAATTTCTTTGATCCAGAGATATATGCATTCTCTTGCTTGTATTTAATTTGAAAAATCAGTATTGAGAACATGATCTTTTTCATCAAATTTTCTAAAGATTACTAATATCGGATTGTGTCTGATTTTTCTTGTTTTACCTTACTACTGGCACTTGTAAGGTACTTATCACTGGTGTTTTAATCAAATTTCTTATATTTTCTAGTTGGTAAATATTATCCTCGAAATAAAAAGAGGTAAAAATCCCACTTATGCTACTCTTTATTTAGGGATAAACGTAAAAATGTTTTCAAACAGAAAGGCTCCTCTATAATGATCCAGTTTTTAAAAAACTTTACAAAGTTTTTTAAAGATCCACTTATTCTACTATTTTTTGCAGAGTGTAGCCATCAGGAATGGACAGGATTCAGAAGGTGATTAATTTGATCACATGATGCTTAAGGTATGCCAGTAATCTTTTGTGAGTGAAAGTTAATTTTCTTGGGACTTAAGCATAATTCTAGAGAAATAAGTTCTTATTTTGTTGTGCTCTTTAGTATCACATAAATGAAAACTTATACTCACAGGTACCATAGGCAGGCTCCCACTGTAATGACATCATCTGGAACTTCTCCTCATCTGTCTCTACATCCAGACTAGAAAGATACTGCTTCACCTTCCTTGCCATTTGGGCATCCTCATACAGCTTCTTGGCATTAAGGAGAGAGCTGCGGCGTGCCCTTTTTTTGTGAGCACCTCCCTGAACATCCAGCATGTTCGAATTTGTGCTTCCTTGACTCAGTGACCTGTAAGAAGATGAAAATCACAATAAGGGGCTGCAGACATGAGAATTAAGCATAGGAGATTGATGATTAAAAGATTTTGTTCTGTTAATGCTATTGCATGCTGATGTAAATGAGTTAAAAGATGAAGAGCATTAATGCAAAGTAATTCGGCACATATGGTGATGTTCTGAATTAAGAACAGGATTTGGCAAAGTACAGAATTCAAAAGAATAGGATAACAATGCCCCTCTGAGCGCCATATTCCATCAGGGCTGTGTTTGTGCCAATGCAACCCATGGCACAATAGTAACAAGAAAAAGCATTCCTCTACCCTGGAGGCTACCCACGCTTTGAGGATATGGGAAAATGCTGGACCAGGACAAGTCCATCCTCAGCCAGGTCTTTGAACCAGGGTTCTTCAGCAATGAGGGTTCTAATGCAGTTTTGCTTGCTGTTCTGCTTTGGACATGCTATTGCCACTACCATTATAGCAGGCTCACTCTGAGCACGTTAACCAATTTTACCAGGAACCATTATTTTGGCCAAACCTCAAAGAGAACTACCAATAACATATTAGCTGAAAATTAACAGCATTTATACGCAATTCTATATAGTCAGAAATCAGAATGCAGTAAAAACTCAATGCTTCCACTCACATAAGGAATGAGTAGGCAACATTTGGGTTCTAGAACTAAGGACCTGGACACCACTTTTGTAATGCCCATGAATGTGACAGAACTGCAAGCTGGGTAGAAATAACCACAATTCAAACAAGCTGCAGCTTCACCTGACTCTACTCTTTTATATAAACATTCTATAATGAGTGCACATCTAGAACCAATGGAAAACAGCAACTGCAATGATGTTTGTCTTTTCTAACAAGGCTAATACAAAATTCTTATACAATTTTTATTTAGATGGTATTTTATTTTGCCATTCTAAAATAATAAGGTTATCTATGGATTGTCTAAATTAAGCTTCATTTTTATATAAAAATATTCTAAATACAAAGACCACAGTGCTCATATATCTAGTTTAAAACAGAACTGAAAATCCTAATGCTTTCATTGTAAATTAAGTGAAATATAGTTCAAAAAGTGTTATGTTTTTTCTTTCACATTTTAAGATCTTTCAAATAGAAGTATATGTAACACTCAATGGGAACTTTTAATTGCTACTGGCCAGGCAGAAACTATGACATGATGTTATTCACACATGCAGAAACCTCAAAATTTGCACAATGGCTTAAAAGAAAATTCAATGACATTAGTGAAATACCCTTTTAACCTCCAGGGACCAAATGATTATACAGAAGTAGTAAATCTGACAACTTCAAGAACATTACCAAAGCAAGTGACAAGAGAAAACTAGCTCTAATTATTTCCAAAGCCAGCCTGGGAGCCCAGAACCAGCAACTTTTGGTTCTTTTGTATTTTTTCAAAGAAATGATGCATTACCAACACACTGGATGGCACAGAGGGCAGTGTTGTATGGGGGAAGAGCGTTCTGGAAAGCAAAATCCAGGAACTAATGACTCTAAAAACATTTCAGAATATTCACATTTTGAATATAAAGAAATTTTAGGAATACCTAAACCAATTTACTTCGCTTTTATTTTCCTTTTTATGTGAATCAATAAAAATACTGATTTTTAAAAACTCAATTTTGACACTGTGATAAAAACCCATAAACAAGTCTATAAGAACTCCTTCAATAAGCATAAAGTAGTATGCTTATTGAAGGTGTTTTACTTTATGGTAACAGTATCCTATTACCATAAAGTGGTAATAGGATACTGCAGTGATTTTCCTTAGTAGTAGATAAAATAACAATGTGCCCAACAATCGATGATGTCTTGAATTCAAAGAAAGGCAGTAAAATCAAGTTGCAGCTATTTAGGACCAAATTTTAACACAAATATTTAACGATTTTATCTTTGTTAATATAAAAAAAAAAGTGGGTTTTGACATATGTAGGAGATACAAAATTCTAATAAATAACATTGTGATAAATGACCATAAAATGTTTTCTAAACTACTTTGAAAACAGAAAATGCTCTGATATAAAATACATATATCTAATGTTCACAGGCATCATACAATGCAACCCTATAGCTGAATCAACAGTGAAACATGTTAACATAACTCATTCATCAAACACACCCAATGCCCACTAAAAGATATTGTCCAAATATTCTTCTTTATAGGAGTAATGCTAGGTGTCAATTTCTATTTTCAGTGAGAAGAACCAAAAGAGACCAAGACATAAATTTATGATCCAGAAGAAAATACATGGGAAACACATAGAGAAGGGAGGAAAAATAGAAGGAAAGTCAAGTTCACCAAGCATTAACAGAAAACAAGACCACAAATGAGACAAGACTTGAGTAAAGGAGGTGGCTCACAAAAAAATTCTTCTTACATGTAATAAAAGCTTCTAACTTCATGGTTCACTACAAGTCTTAAAATAACAAAATTCTTCTTATGCAATCCCTTCATCCACAAAAGACATCTCTTTCTTCATCTAAAAATGAAAGGACTAGGTAGATGATTTATAAGACCTTTAACATTCTATGACTCTAAATAGACACTTGGCTATGTATAAGCGCAGACCTAAATCTACTTTAATAAGAGATAGTGACAGTTTCTGATTCTATCACAACTTTAAAGATAAGGGAGTTTTCAATAAAAACTGGTAAAAATTTCAAACAAAATTCAATCAATGCTGGAAGTATCATGGCATTAGCGGGTCTGAGAAAATAAAATCATCTTCTAGTTGAATTTTATAGTACAGCTTGGATAAGGGCTTCCTCTTTTTGGAAAACTGATGGAAAATGCAACCTTCATAAACAGATGTTTCATTCATTTTTATACACTTATATATTTACTTTTATAAAATGTGGCATTTAAATAAAAGAAAGTGGTGTGAACTCTATCTAGAATCAGACTATCTAGGTTTGGAGCCACCATTAATGAACTCTAAAATTTTAGGCAACTCAACCTTTCCCATCCACACTATGTAAAGAACACTACGTCCTTATAAGGTAATAGCAGAATTAAGATAATTGGTTTAGAGTGCTTAGAACAATGTATGCACATAGCAGGTACACAACAAATATTCACTATCACTGTCATCATCTAACTGACCTAGCTCAATTAAAATCTAAAAAGGACTTACAGGACATCAACAGTGGAAAAGCAAAGGAAAAACAGCTAGTTCTATCACTACTTTCACCTTGTTAGCAGAAGGCGTTTGTCAGGAATGTAGGCTGACAGGGTTAATAGAATGCATGCTATTTTATGTGCGTGCATTAATGAAAAGGATGCAGTATATGTTAAGAGTTGCACAACCTTCATTCCAGTTGCGTCCATGTCTACACTTACCCCAGACTCCGCCACCTCTTCTTCCTGTAAGCAAGAGCCACAAACATTGAAGCATGTGTTTGAATAGGAAAGCACAGAAAAAAGACAACAGTTGAAAGTCAGAGAAACTATGCAGACAGAAAATAACAGAAAAAATTTATCAGGAAAAAATTATAGCTTAACAGTAAAATGACTTTAATGGAAGGCAGGAGGGTAAGATGAGTTATGTATATACTGAAGGTCAAAAAAGCTCCAAAATACTTTCTAAAAATATGCATTAGACCAATTATATTTTAAATACCTAATTCATCTAGAAGCTCATATAAATAAAAAGCTTAAGGAAAAACATTTACTTACTTATAAATTTTGAATTCAAAGCTTTTATTGAAAAAGACCTTAAAGGGGTCAGGCGTGGTGGCTCAAGCCTGTAATCCCAGCACTTTGGGAGGCCAAGGCGGGTGGATCACGAGGTCAAGAGATCGAGACCAACCCGGCAAACATGGTGAAACCGCGTCTCTAATAAAAATACAAAATTAGCTGGGCGTGGTGGCATGAGCCTGTAGTCCCAGCTACTCAGGAGGCTGAGGCAGAAGAATTGCTTGAACCTGGGAGGCAGAGGTTGCAGTGAGCCAAGATTGTATCACTACACTCCAGCCTGGCACCTGGCAACAGAGTAAGACTCTGTCAAACAAAAAAAGAACAAAGAAAAAGACCTTAAAGGAATAGAATTTTTTTTGATATGGAGTCTTGCTCTGTCACCCAGGTTGGAGTACAGTGGTGCGATCTCAGCTCAATGCAACCTCCACTTCCTGGGTTCAAACGATTCTCCTGCCTCAGCCTCCTGAATAGCTGGGATTACAGGCACACGCCACCATGCCTGGCTGATTTTTCTATTTTTAGTAGAGACGGGGTTTCACCATGTTAGTCAGGCTGGTCTTGTACTTCTGACCTCATGATCTGCCTGCGCTGGCCTCCCAAAGTGCTGGGATTACAGGCGTGAGCCACAGCACCCAGTCAGAATTTTTGAACATCTTTTTGACAAGACTTTTGGGCCACTCATTTAAATGATAACATTACAAGGGACATAAAAACATAAAATTTCATTTTTAAGTGCAGATATTTCTCTGAAAGGTGTCTTGTAAGACATGCTGACTAGCAAAAACAACTTAAAATCTAAGTAAAAACATCATTGAAGTCTTCATAATACTATATATCTTTACATTCTTGTTTGATTGACTAAAGAATCTATTTTTTATGTCTGCAAATTGATTACTGTTAAAAGGGGGTGCTTTGTCTAAATTAGATATTCATACACCACCGAAATGGACATTGTTTGTTTAAAAAAAGGTATTACATTTAGTACTGGCTGACAAAACTGATTCAGGAAAAATTCAGTCCAATCTTTAATACAGATGTTTTTATTTTCCCCCAATACCCTATTCTATTTAATCCAGGCCATTCCCAAGAAAACAGCCATGTTTATTAATTTCCTTATCAGTTTTTCTCCTTTGCTCATCACTGAAGTATGGCTAGCACTTAATATATTATAAACTGGTCTGGCAGGGTCACAAATTCTTCATGTCTTCAGGAACCAGGATGTTAACATGTATGAGTAAACAGAGGTCCATATAAGACAACAGGAACTGGTAGGGCCACTGTACAAGGACATGCAATAAAAAACAAACCCTTTTTTGCTTTGGTACCTAGTTCTTACTATTTTCTGCTTCCACACTGTTAAGCAATGACATCTTTCATTACTTGTAGTGATTCTCAACGTGCAGAAGTGGGATGCGCAGGAAAGAGGAATCTGGCACACCCCCCCTTCCTTCCATACTTTGCAGATCTCTAAACCAAAGAAACCATCAAATCAACTACTTGCAAAAACAAAGACGCCTAGGCCTGGTGTGGTGGCTCAGCCTGTAATCCAGCGCTTTGGCAGGCTGAGGGGTAAACTGCTTGAGTCCAGGAGTTCGAGACCAGCCTGGGCAACATAGCGAAGCCCTGTCTCTACCAAAAAATAAACATAAAAAAGTTAGCTGGACTGGTGGCACGTATCTGTAGCCCCAGCTACTTGGGAGGCTGAGGTGGAAGAATCACCTGAACTCAGGAGGTTCAGTCTGCAGTGAGCCGAGATAGCGCCACTGCACTTCAGCCTGGGCATCTGGAGTAAGACCCTGTGTCTCAAAAACAAAAACCCTAAACAACAATTTAAACAAAACAAATTAAAAAACCCAGTGTACCACTGGTTCTATTGCGTTATGAAAGTTCCAACTCTGGTTTTTAAAGTATTGTGTTGGTGTAAAAGTAATTGCAATTTTTGTCATTAAAAGTAACGGCAAAAATCACAAATACTTTTGCACAAATCTAATCTCAAGTATTTTTTGTTTCCTTAGCACACTGTATTTTTTTAAGCCATAAAAATTGTGTCGGCCTCTGTAAATTATTTCATTTTTAATGTCCTTGTGAACAGAAGCTATACACATAGGCCAAAAAAGAAATCAGATCAAAAATTAAAACTACAATGTCTATTTACACCCTGAAAATTGTAAAAATTACTAGTAACAGCTTAACAACATACTTTGTTTCAACTTTACGTAAGCTGAGAAAGCCTTTGTTATTACATTAAAAATGAACCTTAAAAAGCGTTCTTAAAAGATCAGGTTAATACAGAACACAATAAAATTTTCATTTTTAGTAAAGATGAAATATGATTAAATTTGCACTTTGTAAATTCTGTTCATTTGTATGTAATAAAAACTTATATACAAATGAAACAGTATCATAATTTGAGAAAAGGAAAAATGGTTTAAAGGAATGAAGTATGAATTAAACAGAAATAGAACATTAAAAATATTCAGTAAAAATAAAATACATAGGCAGACTAATACTTTACAAATTAGGTTAGAAACAAGATGAAAACATGAAGATTATAAGCAGTTTTCTTGTATTTGTTTGCTGATGTTTTAAATAAAAGTAATACAGAACTATCCATATATAAATATTTGCAAATTATGTAAAAACTGCTCTAAGTTTCATTCAATTTCTTAATATGTAAAAAGAAAGGTAATACCACCTACCTGTTATGGTTATTATGATACATGAGTACATGAAATTGACATATGTAAAGTACTTTGTATAGTATGCAACAAATGGTAGAGTAATAAGTATGTATGATCAATAAATGATAAACTTTATTATTATGATGTCATCCTTGATGCCACTCTGCAACACTTTTACATATTTCAATGTCATACCTCTGTCGAAACATCATGGCTGGGTCCATGTTAGCAGAAGTCATTCGAACAACTTGGCGGATTTCCTTGGAAATCATTCTTAACTTCTCAAAGTTTACTAAACCATCTACTTTGGAGTCATTTCCTATAGAATGAAAATAAATTTTTAAGTTCAAAATTAAATTATGTACATAAAAGTAGCAAAAGTCAAGCTGGTATTCTTAAAGGGCACAAAGAAGGACCTTCTTTATCATAGTGCCAATTTTGTTTTTAAGAACTGATATACCCATAGATGGTTCAACCCTGCTCTTAGGGAGTGAGCTACTAGGAGATATTGTGTTCCATATAAAAGTAACAGTTATGAATAAAGTCAAGTGATAAACTGTGCACGGCCTCTAAAACCAGTTTCACGGGCTGGGGGCACAATGGCTCCCATCTGTAATCCCAGCACTTTGGAAGGCCAAGGAAGGAGGACTGCCTGAGCTCAGGAGTTTGAGGCTGCAGTGAGCCTTGAATGTGCCACTGCACTTCAACCTGGACAACAGAGTAACACCTCAACTCAAAAAAAACCCACGAAAACAAAACAAAACAAAAACCCAAACAAAGGACAACCTGACCGTTTACAGCACTGTCTTCTCACACTTGTCTATAACATAGCATCACACCATTTATCTCCCAGGGTAGACCCTGAGGTCTGTCAAAATCCAATGCCCTGAAGGCAAGACTGAGGAATATATGGTAAACAGTACCTATACACTGGACACAAGAATTGTTCAGGGTCTCAACACAAGTTGGAAACAAAATAATCATGATGAACACTCTCAAGTTACATAAACATATTTCAAGGAGCAGGTCACAAAAACATATTTGAAGCCTATAATATTTCCTTATAAAAAATGAGTGATAACAAAAGAGGCAATAAGACTACATAATTAGAACAATACTTCTGCTGAGACTGGAAAAGTTGGACAAAAGTAGAAGAAAAAATGCAGAGAAGCAAGTTTAGCATTTCCCAGTGCTTGCCCCTAGGTGTATCTGATTTCAGAAAAGGATAATGAGCTGAAAAACCAAGTACAGACACCCTGCCTTCTGAGACAAAAGGAAAAGCAACTAAAGTCCATGTAAACCTCCAATGTTTGGTTGGGATTCTGGGGGACTATATCCTGAGACCAAGGATAAACTGAATGTAGACCGGGATAAAAGTCTTTTGTTAAATTATGTCAAAATGGATTAATGTGATTTTGAAATTCTAGCACCTCTAACTGCCTGCCAGAAGCAAGCTTTAATCCTCTCTGGAGATACGGAACATCATTCAAAAAGTGAGATATTTCTGTAATCTCACTTTTCAATCATAACCAGACACATCAGGAGAAAACATAACATGACTAAAATGAAAGAGAAAAAAAGAAAACAGAGTAAGACTCAAATGGGACCCAGATTATGGAATTATTAGAGACAGACTTTAAAATAACTATGTTGAATATATTCAAAGATATGAAAAACAATGAGAACTTTGAAAAAAGAACATGAAGCCAAAAAAAGGAAGCTGTAAAAAAAAAACCAAAAAACTGGAATTATGATGTCAGTAATGAATTTAACAGAAGATGAGAGACATAGCCAAATGGAGAATAAAAGATACAATTACTAAGAATTTTCCAAAACTGATTAAAATATAAAACCATAGGTTTCGAGTTTCCTATAAACACCAATCAGAATAAGAAACAAAAAACAAAACCCCACACTTAAGTCATATTAAACAAAACTAGAAAAAAGTTAAGAAAAAACAAAATCATAATAGGCGGTATCAAATGCAGATTATGGTTAAAGCAACAGCAAATAAAAATGTAAGCTAACTTTTCAACATTAATAGTAGAAGGCACAGGGCAATGAAATCTCATTTCCAAGTATTCAAAGGTAGCTGCCAACTAAAAATCCTCTGAAAACGAAGTTAAAGGCATTTTCAGATAAACAAAAATTAAGAGATATTCATTACCAGCAAACCTGCACTTAAGGAGAATACTAAACAGTGTTCTATAAGGCAAAAAAACAATGCCCAGTGATATGGAAGCTCTGATATGCAAGAATGAATAAAAAATAGTAACAACAATAAAAGTAAATATACAGGCAAGGTTAAATAAATACTGGCTTTATTAAGCAACAATAGTATCTTGTGGGAGTTAAAAGCACAGTAACAACTGCATGAACATCAGGAGATTAGCAAATGGAATTTAAGTGGTCTAAGTTCCCTGCATTATCTGACACACAAAAAAGTACTAATAAATATTAAATGAATTAACAAATATGTATGGTATGACATCTAATTTAACACAGACCCATAACAAGGTCTGAAGTTGAGGCAGCAATTAAGAGCTTACCACCCAAAAAATGCCCAGGTCCAGACGGGTTCACAGCTGAATTCTACCAGACATACAAAGAGGAGCTGGTACCATTCCTCCTGAAACTATTCCAAACAATACAAACAGAGGGAATTCTTCCCAAATCATTTTATGAGACCAACATCATCCTGATTGCAAAACTCGGTAGAGACTCAACAAGAAAAGAAAACTTCAGGCCAATATCCATGATGAACATAGATGCAAAAATCTTCAATAAAATACTGTCAAGCTGATTGCCAACAGCACATCAAAAAACTTATCCACCATGATCAAGTAAACTTCATCCCGAGGATGCAAGGCTGGTTCAATATACGCAAGTCCATAAACGTAATTCGCCATATAAACAGAACCAAAGACAAAAACCACGTAATTATCTCAATTGATGCAGAGAAGGCCTTTGACAAAATTCAACAGCCCTTTATGCTAAAAACCCTCAATAAGCTAGGTATTGACGGAACGTATCTCAAAATAATAAAAGGTATTTACGACAAACCAACAGCCAATATCATACTGAATGGGCAAAAACTGGAAGCATTCCCCTTGAAATGTGGCACTAGACAAGGATGCCCTCTCTCACCACTCCTATTCAATATAGTCCTAGAAGTTCTAGCCAGAGCAATCAGGCAAGAAAAAGAAATAAAGGGCATTCAAATAGGAATGGAGGAAGTCAAATTGTCTCTATTTGCAGACGACATGATTGTATATCTAGAAGACCCCATTGTCTCAGCCCCAAATCTCCTGAAACTGATAAGCAACTTCAGCAAAGTCTCGGGATACAAAATCAATGTGCAAAAATCACATGCATTCCTATATACCAATAACAGACTTAAAGAGAGCCAAATCTAGAACAAACTTCCATTCAAAATTGCCACAAAGAGAATAAAATACCTAGGAATACAACTAACAAGGAACGTAAAGGACCTCTTCATTGAGAACTACAAGCCACTGCTCAATGAAATAAGAGAGGACACAAACAGATGGAGAAACATTCCATGTTCATGGTTAGGAAGAATCAATATCGTGAAAATGGCCATACTACCCAAAGTAATTTACAGATTCACTGCTATCCCCATCAAGCTACCAATGACCTTCTTCATAGAACTGGAAAAAACCACCTTCAACTTCATATGAAACCAAAAGAGAGCCTGCATAGCCAAGTCAATTCTAAGCAAAAAGAACAAAGCGGGAGGCATCACACTACTGGACTTCAAACTATACTACAAGGCTACAGTAATCAAAACAGCATGGTACTGGTACCAAAACAGACATATAGACCAATGGAACAGAACAGAGGTCTCAGAGGCAACACAACATATCTACAACCATCTGATCTTTGACAAACCAGACAAAAACAAGTAATGGGGAAAGGATTCCCTGTTTAATAAATGGTGTTGGGAAAACTGGCTAGCCATGTGCAGAAAGAAACTGGACCCCTTCCTGACACCTTACACTAAAATTAACTCCAGATGGATTAAAGACTTAAACATATAACCTAACACCATAAAAACCCTAGAAGAAAATCTAGGCAAAACCATTCAGGACATAGGTGTAGGCAAGGACTTCATGACCAAAACACCAAAAACATTGACAACAAAAGCCAAAATAGACAAATGGGACCTAATCAAACTCCACAGATTCTGCACGGCAAAAGAAACAGTCATTAGAGTGAATCGGCAACCAACAGAATGGGAGAAAATTTTTGCAGTGTACCCATGTGACAAAGGGCTGATATCCAGAATTTACAAAGAACTAAAACAGATTTATAAGAAAAAAACTAACAAGCCCATTCAAAAGTGGGCAAAGGATATGAACAGATACTTTACAAAAGACATCGTGAGGCCAACAAACATATGAAAAAATGCTCATCATCACTGGTCATCAGAGAAATGCAAATCAAAACAACATTGAGATACCATCTCACGCCAGTTAGAATGGAGATCATTAAAAAATCTGGAGACAACAGATGCTGGAGAGGATGTGGAGAAATAGGAACACTTTTACACTGTTGGTGGGAGTGTAAATTAGTTCAACCATTGTGGAAGACAGTGTGGCGATTCCTCAAGGACCTAGAAATAGAAATCCCATTTGACCCAGCAATTCCGTTACTGGGTATATATCCAAAGGATTATAAATCGTTCTACTATAAGGACACATGCACACGAATGTTCATTGCAGCACTGTTTACAATAGCAAAGACCTGGAACAAACCCAAATGCCCATCGACGATAGACTGGATAGGGAAAATGTGGCATATATACACTATGGAATATTATGCAGCCATCAAAAACGATGAGCTTGTGTCCTTTGTAGGGACATGGATGAACCTGGAAACCATCATTCTCAGCAAACTGACAGAAGAGCAGAAGATCAAACACCGCATGTTCTCACTCATAGGCGGGTGTTGAACAATGAGAACACATGGACACAGGGAGGGGAGCACTACACACTGGGGTCAGTTGAGGCGGAAATAGGGGAGGGACGGTGGGGGGTGGGGAGTTGGGGAGAAATGCCAGATGTAGGTGATGGGGAGGAAGGCAGCAAATCACACTGCCACGTGTGTACCTATGCAACAATCTTGCATGTTCTTCACATGTACCCCAAAACCTAAAATGCAATAAAATAAATGGGAAAAAATAAAGAAAAAAAAATAAAAATGGTAAAATAGTGTATAGTTACCAACTGATTACAATAGGAAAAATATCACACAAAAATCAATTCAGGTAGACTTTAGAAAATCCATATATGGTAAAACATCAATGAATCAGGGATATGATTATTTTTGTCAATTAAAAAATAGAGTCAAAAGGCAAGTTATATCATTTAGGATATAAAAAGAAATCTTAGAAATATAGGATAAACAAAAAAGACTACTTATTTAAAAAACAGGCAAGAAATCAGAACAAGTAATTGACAAAAGAAAACATCACACACACACACACACACACCCTCTCTTTAGTAATCAGAGAAATGCAAATTATAACCACACTAAGATACAATTACAGGCTTATTGCAACACATGAAAATAAAAAGACAATTTATCAGTTTTTGGTGAAGATGAAAAATGTGAGAATTCTAACATTGCCAGTGCCTAACTTTAGCAGATAACAAGCTGTTTTCTAAAGTTGATTATATGAATATCAAGATTCATAAATTCTACCATGAATGTAATACAGTAATAGCACATAAAAATGCATGTGCACTAAAAGATACACATGCATGTGTAAGAGCAGCATTATTCACAATAGGTCAATAGGGGAAATAACCAAATACCCATCAAAAGAATGAATGACTCCATATGTATTCCATTCATATAATGGAAAGCTAAATAGTTTTGAAAATGAAGTACACCTACACTCAAAAACATGGAAGTGACCAGATGCTATGGCTCATGCCTATAATCTCAGGAGGATCACTTGAGTCCAAAAGTTTGAGACCTGAGAGACAAGGTGAGACCTCATCTCTATAAAAAGAATTAAAAAATCAACTGGGCATGGTTGCATACCCTTGTAGTCCCAGCTACTTGGAAGGCTGGGCTGAGGTGCGAGGATCACTTGAACCCAGGAGGTTAAAGCTTCAGTGAGTGGTGATCGTGCCACTGTACTCCAGCCTGGGCAACACAGTGAGATCCTGTTTCAAGAAACAAACCCAAACCAAATCATAAAAACAAACATACTCTGTAATTCTATTTACATAAAGTTCAAGAACAGCTGAAACTACAGCACTAGAAATCAGGATAGTTGTTAACCCTGGGGAAGAAAATAAAGGTGGTAATTGAAAAGGGGCATGAACAAAGCTTCTGGGGTGCTGGCAATGTTTAATTTTTTGAGTGTTTGTTTTGTCATAATTCATTAGCTGTTCATTTGTTTTGGGTACTTTTCTGTCTGTGTAAGTAAGTTGAAAGAAAAAATCTTACTAAACAAAACAAATATGATTGAACAGTCACAGTCTGATGTTAGTGTGTTAAGTTTATGTTTGAATGTACACAGTAAACAATTTTGCCCTTGTCTCAACAGCGTAGCTTTTGGATTTGCTTTATTCAACTGTTTAAAACTTTAGTGATATAATTAGGTTGGAGTATATAATAAATCGCAATTCTGTAGAATTCACTGAAGGTAAACATGCCCATTTTCAAATAATGTTTACATACCCTCATGTAGAAATGTCATATCTTTCTTGACAACAGGGAAGAGTGGAATAATTGGAGGCTGCATACTTTGACTACTAAGAATATTTCTATACTTTGCCATGTTTCTAGATGGATCAAAAATGTCTTGTAGATCTTGAAGATGTTTCTCATATTTGCTTGGTAACTTTTCCCAAGTACCTCTGAGTCGCGCTACAGATGCCAGGTTCAAGCCACTGCCAAAGATGAGAATAAAAACATTAAAAAGAAACTTGGGGGAGGGGGTGGACTCTGGTCAGTATATATACCATTTTCTCTAAAAAAACGAAAAAATAAGCAGGGACATATTTTAACACATTGAAATAAACAGAGAAACACTATAAAAAATAAGTCAGAGAGACTTCTTGATCTTAAAACAAGAACTTATTTCAGAGGAACTATAATACTTGCCTATAGTTGTATACCTACATAACACTTAATTTTATAGTTTCATTTGAGTGACAGAATTAATAATTCTACAAAACGGACATTTAACTTAAAATTTTTTCAAGCATCACAATGTTGCTTGTTCTACTTAGAAATAACTTTATGGAGACATTACCTATTTGAAGGCGGCTTAAGTAATGCTGAGAACAACTGTTAAATAATAGGCTAATTCTGAGTCTTAGGAAGCCGTTTTTCTCTGCGATTTTGTTCACTCACATCCCTGATTCCAATAAATCCATATTCCTAGGTTCTAATCCTGTTCACTAAGCCTTCAGATATTCAACAACTCCTTTCCACAGGATTTTAAATAGGCTCAGATATTCCCTAACCTGAAAACATAATTCATGCCAATTAGGCTGTAAGTCTTTATTAATCCTTTACCTCTACAGTACCATCACAGAGGTAGGTTGCCAAATGCCTCAATTTTCTTACCAGTAAATCCTTTGTTTCTCAGCCATCTGACTTTTACCCACACCACTGTGTGTAAAACGTTCTCCTAATTTCTGACTTTAAGGCATTGTTAGGTATCACTGTTCCTTTTTGCTTCTCAGAAATCACTCCAAACCACTATAAGAAGGATAAGTAACCAGTACAAATTTTATATCCACTGAAACTAAAAGATATCAAACTCCTAAACACACTAGAAAGGTTGCCAAAAATATCCGAGGTCAAGCAGGAGTAAGCAAAGCTGATGAAAAATAATGTCTGTAGCTGAATTTATCAACGAAAGCTGACAGAACAGTTCTCCAAACCAGAACCCTTTCCGCCCTGAGGGTAAAAATACCAATACTTTATTTATTTGAGACAGAGTCTTGCTCTGTTGCCCAGGCTGGAGTGCAGTGGTGTGATATCAGCTCACTACTACCTCCACCTCTGAGGTTCAAGCAATTCTTGTGCATCAGCCCCCTGAGTAGCTGAGGTTACAGAAATTATAGGTGTGTGCCATAATGCCTGGTTAATTTTTATATTTTTAGCAGAGATGGGTTTCACCATGTTGGCCAGGCTGATTTTAAACTCCTGAGCCCAAGCAATCCACCTGTCTCAGCCTCCCAAAGTGCTGAGGTTACAGGCATGAGCCACCATGCCCAGTCAACAATCCTTTATTTGGTATAGCACACAGTGATAGACTTTGGCACAAATCTGTTTAATAAGGCAGGAGAGAAGAGAGAAACTCTGAGTTGTAAGCTGCCCTAATTCTGCCACAATTTCCATTTACTAAGAAAAAGTAAAGGATAAAACAATTCACATAAGAGGCTAACTCCTGGTACTGTGGAATACTGTTGCACAGATCCACTTATATGCAGATTTTTTTTTTTTTTTTTTTTTTACAATAAATTCAGTCATCCCTCCGTATCTGAGTGTTCCACATTTAAAATCAAATGTGGATCAAAAATACAGTATCCTTGGATGTGAAACCTGCTAATACAGAGGGGTGACTTTTTGTATCTGCAAGTTCCTCCGGGTCAACTGCAGGACTTGAGTATGTGAGGATTTTGCTAACTGTGGGAAGCCATGGAGCTCTGACCCACAGATACTGAGGGACGATGGTATCATTAGATATGAAGCACCAGCAGATGAAAATAGACAAAACAGAGAAATAGCTATTAATAAATGTAATGAGAGATGTAAAGTTATGATTTATCAAAGAAAATCAGATTAACTTAAAACTCCCAAAATATTAACTGAAAATTATTAGAAACATGAAGAATGTAGTAAGGTGTTAGGTACAACATTGATATTCATAAGCATTAGAATACTTAGGCAGAAACAGAAAACACAAGGATCCCATTCACAACAGTAACAAAAAACATTAAACATTCAAACAAACGTTCAAGATTTATACGAACACTGCTATAAACTTGATATGGTTTGGCTCTGTGTCCCCACCCAAATCTCATGTGGAACTGTAATTCCCACATGTCAGGGGAAGGACACAGTGGGAGGTGACTGGATCATGGAGGCAGATTTCCCCTACACTGTTCTCACGATAATCAGTGAGTTCTCATGAAATCTGATGGTTTAAAAGTGTGGCACTTTCCCCCTCGCTCGCTCACTCTGCTGCCATATAAGACATGCAGTGTTTGCCCTTCCCCTTCCAACACTGATAGTAACTTTCCTGAGGCCTCCCCAGCCATGGGGAACTGTGAGTCAATTAAACCTCTTTTCTTTATAAATTACACAGTCTCAGGTATTTCTTTATAGCAATGTGAAAATAGACTAATAAAAAGACTCCACAGAGTAAATAAAACTGAAACAAATGGAATAAGTGTTCTTGGATGGCAAGAGTCATTGTTACAAAGCTATCAAATGTCCACTAAATTAATCTAAATATTTAATGTAATCTCAATGAAAACATCAACAAATCTTTTTAAAACTACAAAAATTAATTCTAAAGTTGATATGAGACAAATAAACATGCTAGAAATAGCTAAAGAAAAGCATGAAAAGAGTATTGAGGGGTCTGACTAGCGCTATCGGACCTTAAAACCTGCTCTACCACTTTAGCAATTAAAACAGTAAATGAACAGACAAATCAACGAAGCAAAGAGTGCAGATATAAACCCAAATTATGCTTTAGATTTCAGTACATAATAGATGGCATCACATATTTTAGAAAAAAAAGATGGATTAATAACATTGGTTGAAGAAATCATTTGGAATAAAGGAAGATCTATTTCCCTATCTCACTGTTTACATAAAAATGAATTCAAGATTAATAAAAAATGTTATTTAGGGTGTTCTAAGAGCTTTCAATATATTAATTCATTAAATACTCTTAATAACCCTATGATGTAGGAACTACCAGGATTTCCCATTTGACAAATGAGGAAACTCGGTTCACATAGTAAGCGTCAACAATGAATTCAAACCTAGGCAATTCTTTGTTCTTAACTAAACACAAAATGCAGAAACTGCAGGAGAAAGAAAAATGATACACCTACATAAAAACAAAAAAAATTCTACATGGCAAAAGCAACACCACAGACTGTTTCAAATAGCCAAACGCTGAAAATTTAGAAATACCCATAATGTGCACTCCACAATACAAAGGAGTACTCTGTAATTGTTAAAATAAAGTGAGACAACTTTATAAGTACCAATTTTAAATAATCTCCAAGATAAATCAAACAAAATAAGTCAAGGCGGTTTTAAATATATATTTTATATGCTCTCTCTACGCATAGAGTATTTCTTGAATGAAAAAAGGTAACACTATCTCTGGGGAGAGGAATTTGGGTGGACCAGGGACTGACTGGGAGGAAGAGTTACTTTATGCTGTGTACTCTTTTACGTCTTGAAAGTTTTTTCAATGTACATGCGATGTCTATTCAAAAAGTTATAATTATTTTATAATTAACAAGTTACTAATTCTAGCCACAAATGAATGATTCACCTTTGCTATCTCTGCTGAAAAGTTAATAAGTTCTTTATATTCTTTGCTCTACCTGAATATGAAATACAAGAATACAAAGCAATTATCTTAAAAAGAATAAAAAAGAGAAACAATTGTAAAAAAGAGAAACAAAGCAATTATCTTTACACGAGCTATGAAAATGTGCAGAACAAATATTCTTTGTAATAAAACAAACTTCTCAACCAAACAAAACCTCTTAACCAAATCTCAGCCCTTTCCTATGCCTTGCTTCTTTGGGCTACTGTCCATCGTATCTTCTCTCAAATCACTCTCTTTCATTGGCTTTAATGACACTATCATAACTGTGCTACTCTATTTCTTGTAATGATCCTTCGTCCCTTTGGCTAGACTCTTTTTCTTCTTTACCCTGACACTGAGAGGGCTACTAAGTAGATTTCTACCACTTTCTTTCTGTACCCTTTTTATACAGAGATTTATTCTCTCAGTGTTGATCAATTTTCTTCATAGTGGACTCTAAAACTGAGCCCATAATTCTCCAATTCTTTACCTGATGTTTCCCTTACATATAGGTTCAATTTCTAGCCTTCCAAGTGTTTATCAGCGGCATCTTTATTCCCTGATGTAAGTGGCGCAATTCCTGCATTTTACAGATAAGAAAACATATCTTCAGTTTTCCACTGACACTGCTACCCTATGGGAGAGGCAGGATTCAAATACAGGTGCAGCTGATTCTAAAGATCACTCTCATAATCTCTACTTCACTTGCAGCCACTGGTTAATTTAGTAAAGGAGCATCCTATTACCATGCAAAGTCATGATTAAAGAGTCCCTATAAATAATTCTCTTTTTAATCTTACATGAGGAGTAGAAACAAATCATTATAAATTCTGTGGGGGATGTGTATCGATAGGATTAGTTCAAGTGGAATTATGCTGCTCTGAGCTTATGAATTTCAAAGCATTTTTGTAATTCTAATGGCCTAGCTTGGTTGAGTAACACCACATCCAGTGATACCTCATGTAGCGCCTGGCAAACAGGAAGAGGTTACCAAATGGTTATTATTATTATCGATGTTGTTATTTTAAAAATAGCAACCTTAGGTCAAAGTACTGATACCATACTGTGATTTTTCAGTGTTAAATCATAGTGAGTCAGGTACCTTAAAAAGCACAGTACAGAAATCTAATGATAAAGACCAGCCACTGGGCACGTATCTGAAAAGGGTGCAGGACTGGGGGTAAGAGGGAAGAAAGAAAAATTGGAAGGCAATCACCCACTTTCATTTACAACAAAGAAGTAAAAGAGATCGATGTAATGTCACGATCTCCCGGGCCATGACCAATAAAAAGAAGTAAAAGAAAGATGGAAGAAACAAAAATAGAAAAAGCCAATACCACCAGAATGGATAATATATTAAATCTAACAATACTTCAAGAAAGGCATATTAATTGAATGTTTCTTTTCATAGGCATTTAATACCTTAGCAGAAAATCAGCTTCATATAATGACAAAACTGTACAGACATTTGTACCTATTTGTATCAACTTACCTTATTATTGCAAACATGGAATTGAAGTTCTTACATTCTCGACAATGAAGAGCAATTTTAATAAAATGCTTAATAATCTTCATTCGTTTGAGTTGATTTGCTTCAGTTAAAATTTCTGAGGCAACCCAGAATGTCTCTTGGTTTACAATGTCCTCAAACCTCTTCAAGTGACTATTTCCTGTTTTGGAATTTAACTTAAAAAGGTCATCGATGTACTCAGTTGGCTCAATATTACGAAACAAATCAAAGTCCCTCATTGACAGCTGGGTGGCCACCTCAATGGTACTGAGCTGCAGCATGGATAGCTGGCTTTCCTTAACTAGTTCTTGAGCATCTTCATCTGAACATAAGGTTTCTGTTTCCATATTATTTTTTAAATAATACCTAAATTTAAAAAAATTAAATGTAATCATAAATAGGATTAAATAAGAGCACTTTTCCTTTTTTGATGTAAAATATTTTACTATTACTTTTAGCCAAAAATATTTATTTACAGATAAAATGAAAAATTAACATTTTAAATGAGATTTTTGAGAAGTCTGTCTCTTATTCCACCAACTGACATCTGTTAAAGAGTAAAAATAATGTTGTTATGTCATAAACTTGATCATTTTATGAAGCTATTTAGTATCTGTCAAATATTATTTTAGGTACTTGTCTTGCCCTCATAAAGCTTTTATTTTACTATTTTATCTGACAGATAGTTGGTACTATGCAAATATTTGTTTATGGACAGCATGAATTCTAATTAAGGCAAAATAAATTCGTGAATCAAGAAGGTTAAAAACCTCTATTCAGAAGTTGCTGCACTCATTTCCCTTTAAATTTCCAATTGAAGCAAGAAGAATAAAATCTACAAAAAAGGGAGAAACACTTCCACTAATGGTTTCTCCCTTGTTAAATACAAAACCTCATTCCAAAAGGTGGCAGTGATTAGCAACCATACATTAAGACCTCTATTTTGCTTTCTTCTCTTTAGATCATTAATTCTATGGCACTTAAAAGCTAAAAGACAGGAAATATCTTGTACAGGGATGTTACTAAGGAAAAGAGATAATGTATCACAAGCTTTATACTTCATTTTTTCTAATAATCCAACTTGATTTAAGCCTCAGTTTATGTCCATCTATCCACTATTTTTTACTGTCAAGAAACTACTTTTTCTGCCTTTAGACTGTTCATATGCCTAAGACAATGCATTAATAATACTGCTGAAACTCATTATGCTATATGTAATAACGTTTAACATTATCAAGTATGGTATACTTAGTAACTCATTTAATCCCTACAACATTCCCATGAGGTAGATTCTATTATTATTATCCTCACTTTATGGATGAGGAAATTCAGGCAGAGAAGGTATATAATTTGTGTTAAGGTCACACAACTAGAGCTGGGATCTGAATGTGGGCAGTCTGAATCCAGGGTCTATGTTCTTAACCACTAAGTACAGCCAGCAAAACAGTTAACTCATTTTCATTTCACAGCAACCATGGCATGCAGTCGCTGTAAGCTTTCCAAGGATCTTGTTCTATATATGACGCTGGGTTACCAAAAAGATTATTCTCAGAGTGGCTGGGCATAGGGGCTCATGCCTATAATCCCAGTACTTTGGGAGGTCAAGGCAGGCGGATCACTTGGGGTCATGAGTTTGAAACCAGTCTGGCCAATATGGTGAAACCCCGTCTCTACTAAAAATACAAAAATTAGCTGGGCATGGTGGCATGTGCCTGTAGTCCCAGCTACTCAGGATGCTGAGGCAGGAGAACTGCTTGAACCCCAGGAGGTGAAGGTTGCAGTGAGCCAAGATTGCGCCACTGCACTCTAACCTGGGTGACAGACTCCATCTCCAAAAAAAGGATTATTCTTAGAGAAAATTACCAGAGTAAGGAAGAGAGGTACTACAGAAATAATCTAGTTTATTAAATAATTTTCAGAATACATTTTAAAATTTAAAAAAATTTCCTGCATATTCATAAAAGGAAAACTACTTAGAAAAACCATGGCTTCTTTTGCCAAAGTACATGCTGGCCATATTAAAAACAAATTCGTAAATCAGTAGATACAGATATTCAGATATATATAAAGATTTTAGAAAAAGAACCGTGAAAACCATGGCTTATTTTGCCAAAGTACATACTGGCCATATTAAAAACAAATTTATAAATTAGTAGATACAGATATTCAGATATATATGAAGATTTGTATCACTCAGTTTCCTCCTCTACAAAAAACAGGAATTAGAGTATATCAATGGTTCTAAGACTTTATTTTAGCAGGAATAACAAGGTATTTTATCAAGGTATCTTCTTCCACGGGTTACCTTGGGGTGGCCTTTACAAATGTTCCTTAAGATTCCATTTACATAATTATGAAGACAAAAAAGCTTGGAAAATAAAGAAACCCTATTTTAATTCTAGAGTGAATTTAGCAACACTAAAACATGTTTCTACTTACAATATCTGTTTTAACAGGGAATCTTCAAAAGCACATCTACAAATAAGCACATCCACTAATAAGCTTATTCACCTTCCGTTGAGTTGAATTCTATCAGCTAATTTGGAGAACTGATCTGGAAGTCTTCTCTGTTTTATGACACCCTCAGGAGTAACAGAAACTTCACAGAGAGAATATGTGTCAGATGCACCGGTCAAACCAAATTCATGAACAGCATGACAAACCACTTCTTTAGCTGTAGTGTCTTTACTGATGATAATGTAGCAACTTTGCTGATCCGCTTTGAAAACTCTTATAACTTGATCAGGAATATCTACATAAATAGAAAGATATGCCTTGTTATTTTTTTAAAAATTACTTTTAAACTCTTCAAAAGGCAATTATGAACACAATGATCCCTCTAAACACCAAAATATATATTTCTATTTCACAATATTAACAGAAGACACTGTTACATTTATTGATAAATATATCCAAATTTTTTTTTGGATGACAAAACATGGATAGAAAAACCCAAAGACAAAACTTGGGATCATACTGTAAATATGATTGGGAAGCGACAATTTTTTTCACTTAATATCTTATAAACATTTTAATGTCATTATATATTCTTCTAAGAAATTATTTTTAATGAAGACATAGTATTCCATAATGTGTTATTTTATATATTTCAATTATCCAAACTCCCAATGACATTTAGATTGCTTACCACTTTCTATTATTATAAATGACATTATGATATGCCTGTTATTCCCTGTCAAAAGTAAATAAGCTTCTGCAGGCAATCTAATTATTTCCTCAGTGAAAATTCTCAAAAAGAGAATTGCTGAGTTAGAAGGCATGCATCTTTTAAGGTTTTTGAAGTATACTGCCAAATTTTTCTCCAGAGAGGTTATAATATTTTATAATCCTAGAGTGTAAGAGAACAAATTTGGTCACATCCTTATCAAAATTGTGTAGTAATGTTTTGCTTTCCCATTTCATAAGCCCTATTTTTTCCCTCCCTCCAGATATAATGTCATTATTTTTCACTTCTTTGGTTACTGGCAAGACTCAGTATTTTAAAGAAGAAATAATACTGGTTTAATAAATCATTATTATTTTAATAAAATACTTCATGGTATCCTTTATGATTCTTCCTACTGTACTGTAGTAGATAACAACACTTAGTCAACTATGAATTGGAAAATGTTTAGTTTCTATATTTTATTTATTTTTAACTCAGGAAAATTTTAAGTGTTAACCTGGTAAAATCTCTTTGTCCTTGAGATTTCAGCTATTAGTAGAAAAATTCTAATTCAAGACAAAGTTTATATGATAAGCACACATAAATAATAGTATCCACCCTCCACCTTTTCTTCTTTTCTTTTTGTCATTATATAACTCTGGGCCAATGTTCAACATGATGAATTGGCTAATTTTTAATATAATTAAATACAGGTGAAAAGTGATTTTATAGCATGAACAAATACTAAAAATTTTTCCTATGACAATAAATTACTGTTGCAAAAATTTCCTTTTTTAAAAATTAGTAATACGGGCTGGGCATGACTCAAACCTGTAATCCCAGGACTCTGGGAGGCCGAGGATGGAGAATCGCTTGAGCCCAGGAGTTTGGGACCAGCCTGGGTATATAGTAAGACCCTGTCTCTACAAAAAAATTTTTAAAAATTAGCTAAGTGTGGTGGTGCATGCCTATAGTCCCAGCTACCTGGAAAGTGGAAGTAGGAGAATCACTTGAGCCTGGGAGGGTGAAGATGCAGTGAGCTGAGATCAAGCCACTGTACCCCACTCTTGGGCAACAGAGTAAGACTTCGTCTCAAAAAAAAAATTTAGGGAATATGTATTACTTTGACTTTTTTGTATGTGTGTGGACGGCAGGGAGGGCAGGTTGGGAGATCTGGGGGGCTCAACTAATTATATGCTGTTTGTCCAGCATCACCTACTTAGCATTATGTACACTGTTAACCTTAGAGGAAAAAAAAACCAAATTACAAATTCACCTTAATATGTCCTGAGGTATAATCTCTGGTATAGAAAGGAAAAACAGAGCAGATACAAATATGGCAGGAAATATTTTCATAAAATAAGTTTTTTGGTCCTTTTGAGACTGAGGATAAAAAAAAAAAAAAGACTTGCTCTGAGGACTCAAAGATTCAACTGAATATACATGGATATAATTCCAGGGAGAAGGAGTCTAAGACAACATATATTGAATGTTCTGGGTCCTGTCAAGTTGAAAGTAGAATACTTCATCTACTCAGGTTCCTTCTGTAAGGATACATCAAACTCTCTCCTTAATGTATTAAGAAATCTGAGTCATCAAATACATCTTGTTCAGATTTCACTCTGATGAGTCAATCCTTAGTGGGCTGCTGACATCATCAGGTTTTTAAACCTACAAGGTTTAAGGTCAGGCTGTTTTAGGATCCACCAAAATCAGAGATACTTCTTGAAATAGTTTGGCTGTGTCCCCAACTAACTCTCATCTTGAACTATAACTCCCACAATTCCCACATGTCATGGGAGGTAACTGAGTCACGGGAGAATAGTCTTTCTCATGCTATTCTCACAATAGTGAATAGGTCTCACAAGATCTGATGGTTTTAAAAAAAGCAGATCTCCTGCACAAACTCTTTCTTTGCCTGCCACCATCCACGTAAGAGGTGACTCGCTCCTCCCTTGCTTTCTGCCATGATTGTGAGGCTTCCCCAGCGACGTGGAACTGCGAGTTCTCCATTAAACCTTTTTTCCTTCGTAAATTGCCCAGTCTCGGGTATGTCTTTATCAGTAGCATGAAAACAGACTAATACATATTCTAGCTCCACCCTGAGCTAGAAGGTTATTGTGAGCCAGCAGAAATTTCAATTTGCCAAGAGAAAGACACTGAACAAATGGGTTTCACTATCTTTTTAAGTCCATAAAAAAGGATCAAACAATATGCTGTTATTATCTTTACTGCTGCTACCCTCTTCATAAAAGTAGGTCTCAGCTGTCCTGGGCTCCAGAATTGAATCAGTTTACTAGATCTTTGGGGGTTGAGCCTTAGCCAGTGGTACTGACTGACCTTGAGGGAATGGGGGCATGTTCTGATACCTTTTATTACTTTCTTCAGAGAAACATATTCACAAAGACAGGGTGGGAATTTGTACACATTTCATGTTCTCTACCTTTGCTGCAAATATACTGTAACATCTGGGAAGGAGCACACAATTGTGTATCTTGCTGCATAGTGTTAAAAAGCCATACTTTGTTAAAGTGATTTGTCCATGTGAAGGACAAATTGCTATGTGGTCACATAAGCATGATTCAGGTATCACAAATGGGTGCCTTTAGAACAGATCCATAAAAAGGATTACCTAAAGGGTACCCCTTAATCCTAACTTTGATGAATCTGCCAAGGTAACAAATGTCGACTTGGAAAACTCATGGAAAGACATCAGAGGAAAAAATGTCTCTGCACTGACATTAAAGACAGTGTAAACCTCTTTTTCTATTTTAGAATTGTTACATATATATTACATAATATTCTTTACAAACATGTTTCTTGTTAGTAGGAAAACAACATACATGCCAAACACAATATTTGTCATGCAGCAGACACTCAAATGTTAATCGATTAGAAGAATGGTCAATATGTTTGAATAAAGTTGAATCAAAATGGAAAAGTGATCCAATCATTTCAAATTTTAGGCACAAAGCTAAAAATACAGTACAATTTTAAAGGCAAAACAGACATTTAAAAAGAATCTTGGAAGCCAGGAGTGGTGGTTCATACCTATAATCCTGGCACTCCTAGCACTTTAGGAGGCTGAGATGGGCAGACCGCTTGAGCCCAGGAGAACAAGCCCCGCCTCCACAAAAATTAGAAACATTAGCTGGACGTGGTGGTGTGGGCCTATAGGCCCAGCTACTCTGGAGTTTGAGGTGGGAGGATCACTGAGCCCAGGAGGTAGAGGCTGCAGTGGGCTGAGACCACACCACTGCAGTCTAGCCTGGGTGACAGAGCAAGACTGTCAAGAAAAAAAAAAAAAAAAAAAAAAAAAAACTTGAGGATCAAGGTTCATATTTCATTTCTTAGAAAGTGTATGTAATAGGTAAACAAATTAATAGAAACCTCAGATATCTAGACTTTCAACCAGAGAAGAAATTTCTAGAGAGCTAACTTATAAATCTTATAGGAGTAAAATTAAAAAATAAATACTTGAAGGATACATGTACTGACCCTGAAATTACACTAAAAATGGGAGAACTTTTAGGTATTTAAGATGATCTTTAAAAAAAAAAAAGACTACCTTTTCATTCTGCTTTAAATTGTTAATTGCTGAATAAATATTTATGAAGTGCCTGTTAATGTGTCAACAGTGTTTCAGGTGATGAAGATACAGTGATAAGTGAGATAGATAAAGCCTCTACTTTTAGGGAATTTACTTACATTCAAGTGGGTAAATGACAACTCAAGGAAAGACAGATATCAAGCAAGGAAGATAATTCATATAGTGAAAAGCGCCACAAAATAAATAAAGGGTAGTGGTATATTAAAGACTGAAAAACTTGTTCTGTAAAGAGCCAGATAGTAAATATTTTAAGTTTTGTAGGCCAACTGGCAAAACACATGATATTTTTCAGGCACTTATATAAGAAGAAAACAAATTCCCACAAAATACTTTGACAAAATTCAAAATATAGGCCGGGCGCGGTGGCTCACGCCTGTAATCCCAGCACTTTGGGAGGCCGAGGCAGGTGGATCACGAGGTCAAGAGATCGAGACCATCCCGTTCAACATGGTGAAACCCCGTCTCTACTAAAAATACAAAAAATTAGCTGGGCATGGTGGCGTGTGCCTGTAATCCCAGCTACTCAGGAGGCTGAGGCAGGAGAATTGCCTGAACCCGGGAGGCGGAGGTTGCGGTGAGCCGAGATTGTGCCATTGCACTCCAGCCTGGGTAACAAGAGCGAAACTCCGTCTCAAAAAAAAAAAAAAATAATAATAATAATAATGCATACATAAAACACAAAAAGATATGTGAACACAAAGATTAGGTAATACTGTAAGTGTTTACTAATAGGGGACTGGTTAAAAAAATTCTCTATTAGCTGTTTAAGAATTGTTGGTAGAACATTGTGAAACAGAAAAGTATTCAAAGGTATATTGCTAAAGTGAAACAGTTAAGTAAAAGAAAAGTAAAACATCTCATTTTGGATGCAAGGAATGGCACACACATTTTATGTGCAATAAAATTTCTGGAAGGATACACAAGTAAATTAATAACTGTAAATTCTGGGGAGTGGAGACTTTTATATTTTTTCTGGCAGTTTAAACTTTTTTTTTTTTTTTTTTTTTAGAGACGGGGTTTCGCTCTTGTTACCCAGCCTGGAGTGCAATGGCGCGATCTCAGCTCACCGTAACCTCCGCCTCCCGGGTTCAGGCAATTCTCCTGCCCTAGCCTCCTCAGTCGCTGGGATTACAGGCACGCGCCACCATGCCCAGCTAATTTTTTGTATTTTTAGTAGAGACGGGGTTTCACCATGTTGACCGGGATGGTCTCAATCTCCTGACCTCGTGATCCACCCGCCTCGGCCTCCCACAGTGCTGGGATTACAGGCTTGAGCCACCGCGCCCGGCCAGTTTAAATATTTTTAAAGCTATGATTGTGTTCCTTTATAATTAAAAACTAGTCAAAATAAGAAATTTTCAATGAAGAAAAAATTAAGTTTACTATAGAAGATAAATCAAATAAAGGTTTGTGCTATTAAGTGAAAAGAAGCTGTAAGTTCTTTATGTAGACCTAGAAAAAAATTCCTTTTTGAATTCCTTTTGGACAAACTCCTAGACTTTGGACCAGAGATGAAATTTCTAGAGAGCTAATTTATAAATCTTACAGGAGTAAAATTTAAAAATTCTAATTATTTTGTGTCTCATCTTGTATTGAGTCGGAAATCCCAAAGAACATTTCAGAAGTTACAGAAAAGCATGTATACTCTGATTTTCTCAAACATAAAAACATACATGTATTTTTAAAAAATGACTAAAAGGACATATGCCAGTTAATACTGGCGATCTTTTAAGCGGAAGGAAAAGTTCAGCTTACTTCTTCATTCAATTCTGTATCACTGAACTTTTTAAAAATAACAAAATACACACAAACAAGGGCAATAGAATACCAGTCTTCAAGATACTTACAATAAAAACCAACAGCTGTATGCAGCAAAAATAAAGAAAAATCATAAAGTAAGCAATCAAAAACAAACTATTAAACAGTTCTGTAGCTTTGTCCCCATTTTCATCTTGATCTAGCAATAACTTTGAAAATGCAGCATAAACATAGGAAAGCTCAACACCGATAAATATTAATCAAACTTGGCTGTTACACATGTCCTGTAATATACATATGTGATGTATAAAGCTCATTTAAATTTTTGTGCTGTTGTATAAATTACGTAAGAAGCTGAATTTGGAATCAACTGGGAATTGTATTTTTTCAATCCAAACATAAATAATATCCATCACTAGATAAAAAGCCTGAGACATACTGGTCTTTCTCTGAACAGATTTTAAAAAAGCATCTTTACCTTTAGTCCTTTTAACATGTTCTCAAGGAAAGAATTAATGTAATCAACCTGAAATCAAGTTGAGTAGCACACCTTCTCTGCAGAGGTCTGAATTTCAGCTCTATGGAACTTAGTTTCTAAAATCCAATAATTTCAACCACTTCTCTTTGTTCCCCCAGCTAAATATCCAACTTACCTCACCTCTTTCTACAACTCTATCCCTTATTCCCTCAGCCCCATGTCCTACATATACCTATGGCAAAAACACAGCCATATAAATTATTAAAACTACAAATCATAAGGTCCCTAATACTTGTCTTATGAAAATACTGTATTTAATTTGTGCTTTGGTAGTATGAAAACACTTTATTTTTGAATGTTCTATGTAGTGTAAAAAGTACTGCTGTAGAACACACACACAGACACAGAAATAAATTCTTATCCTGCCACATGGCAAACAACAGGAGAGGCTGACTCTGTGGCAGATGGAGGTGGGTTTGCCAGATGAAGTAACATTTGAGTTCAGCACTGACAAAAAAAAAGTTCACGGAACATGCAAGGAGAGGGCCATGGTGGCAAACATGGGCAAAAAAAGAGCGTTCTGAAAGTTTATTCCATACTCAGGCAGGATGGATGAAGTAACAGTGGGGAGAGAATGACAGAACAGAGGCGGCTAGAAAGGCGGTTCAGGTCAGCAACACTTCTTCACGCTGGTAGTGACATTTCTTTTATATACCAAAAACTGAATCCAGTTTGCAGTTTTCTTTCCTCTGTGATATCTTAATACTTACTTTACCTTTTCGGGTAAATAGTTTAATTAACTTTATACCTTGGTAACAATCTTCACATTAACTTCGGATCAAATAAATGGAGTGTTGTCTCATCAATGACACCTCACTAATATAAAAATCACTACAAATGTCTTAAGAAAATAATAAGTCATTAAATCTCTATTCTGAAAAGCACACTGGTAGCCATGTAGAGAGTGTGATGTGTCAGAACAGATTACTGGGTTTAATCATCTCTCTAGTGGTTAAGTGGCAATTGAAATATAAAGGAAGAAACCATGTGCAGAATGACCTTCACTAAATTGTTATTAGGTTATGTCCTGAGGTTTTTATTTAAGATGCTATAATAAAACATGAACTTTACTAATGCACTTGTATTTCCTTCTTTCCAATAAATACCAAGATGGAATTGAATTTCCTCCCTTTTATACTAGCTGCTAGGAACTTTAGAGTCAAACTGAAGTTGAATCAGAACTATGCTTCTGTTTGTAGGAACATATTTTTCTCCTACCTTTCCTTGGATCCCATTATGTGTTTCATTTTTTAATTGTTTATGCCTTTTTTTGAAAATCATCTCAAATCATTTAAGTCATGGATATATAATGAATCAAAGTCAAAGGTTTCCTACCTGGTAACAAAATTTTAGATTATGTAATTGTGACAATTTTTGCCTCTAGACATGAATAGATCCAAAAAAATTAACTTGACATTCCACATTGAAAGTCCGAACAATAATGAAAAATACGCTATAATGCTCTGATAACAATATGTGACAAATACAACTTTAGCTTAAGGTGTTTGAGGAAAAATCTGCTTTCAGAAAATTATGAACACTTTTCTGTACATCACAGAAAAAGGTAAGTGAAGCCACTTAGATGAAAACAATCTGCCTTATTCTTTTCCACACTGTGGGCAAGCTGAGAAATGCCTCTGTTTTCATTCTGCTGCTTAGATTAGTATTACCAAAAGATACCTAATTCTGTGGTTAGAGGCAGTCTCTTTTTTATGTACTTCTGTTCCATTTTAGAGGAAGTACTAAACAAATTAACAGAACAAGACAATCTCCCTTTAGCCTTTTGCATCAAGTCTACAGTTAAGAGAAGAGGGTTTCAAGTAAATTTGGTATTTGCTGTATAAGGCTTAACCACCTATTTGTTCATTTGGTACCAATATGGCAATATAAAATCACATATGAAAATTACCTGAAGGATTGGAAAAATCCAACATACTGGTGGTAGGCTGCAGGAGATCAGGGCTGCTGGATGAAAGTGTTCCAGGAATGGGCATTATAGCCAGACTATGCCTACAGTGCCTTGTTCCCACAATGCTGTCATCTTGTGATTGGCTTAGGCCTCCATCACTTCAAAAGAATGTCATATATCACTTCAAAGTATTTGAGAGTATTTAAGTAGTAAACATTTCTGTTCCCTGTGCACTAAGGCATAACAGAACCAATTCAAAGAGGTGATTTAAACAATTGAAATACTACAGCAATTTTTAAAAGACAATTATAATGATGAAAATGGGATTAAAATATTTTTAAACAATTACATTAAAATAAAATTTAACTTATACATCTAAATAATTCTACTGCATCCTAATTAAACTGTCTTATTTAGTATCTACTGGTTTGGGTGAAGAAACTGAACCTGAGTATTTAGGGAACACTTGAAATTTGCCAGTTTTAGTGGACACTAACATATATATCCAAAAATGCACAGCCACACCATAGCAAGGTGTTCTCTTTCTCTTTCCCTTTCTCCAGAGAATCCTGGTGATCATCTAGGAAACAGAAGGAGTCTACAATCAAACCAAAAAATATGGCAGGTTGTAGATAATAACGGGGCGAAGTTCAAGTGACAAAGTAAGAGTAGTGTTTAAACAATGGTCCAGAAAAAAACTAGAATTACGAAAATTACAGTCTCTAAAGTTCATTCTAAGAGTACATTATTTCTTGTTTAATCTCTCAAGTCTAATTATTTAAGCAAACAAAATACTCCTCCTTTAAAATATTTTAGAAGTGCAACATGGGCAACTCTAAATCCACCTAAGAGAAAAAATAAAAACAAAGAAACAAACACCATCACTTAGATTTTAGATACCTGAAAATATTCGCTTATTTTAAAGCAAAAGAGTCAACAAAAACTTTAAGATAGCAGTGAAAAAGAAGTCCACTAACATCAATAACCAAAACTACTTCTAAGGGTTGTACTTATGTTAAAACCAATGCTTTCAGTTACTACTATTAATTCTTGTCTATATTTTATCCAATGCAACATTCTGCCTAGTACTTGCTGTGCATACAAACAGAAGTATCACAGAATACTTACCTATCATGAAAAAAATTAAGGTACAGTATTAGCAATAATATGGAATACATTTAAATTATGTTAGATGTAAAATATAGGATTTTAGGTAGATTAGAAAACTATGCAAGATGGAGAGTTAGACTATTAAATAAACTGCAAAAGGACTGTTAATAGTTAGACAAGGAAGAGAAGGCCAGGATCTGAGAGAGCTGAAGAGTCAGAGAAAAGAAGAAAGACATGGAAGAAAGCAAAGATTAGTGCTTCAAGAGCAAGCTTTGATGTCAGGCAGACCTGAGCTATTAGCTGCTTGACTTCAGGCAAATTTTGTTCTCTTTCTAAGCCTTGTTTTTCTCATCTGTAAATGTGAATAATACTATCTCCCCCAGGAATACTGAAAAATTAGGTAATAAAGGCAAATGTTTTGGTGCAAAGAAGCACAGGACTTATTTATTTATTTATGAGACAGAGTCTCCCTCTGTAACCAGGCTGGAGTGCACTGCAACCTCCGCCTCCCAGGTTCAAGCGATTCTCCTGCCTCAGCCTCCTGAGTAGCTGGGACTATAGGTGTGTGCCACCATACACAGCTAATTTTTGTGTATTTTTAGTAGAGACAGGGGTTTCACCATGTTGGCCAGGACGGTCTCGATCTCTTGACCTTGTGATCTACCTGCCTCGGCCTCCCAAAGTGCTGGGACTACAGGCGTGAGCCACCACGACTGCCACACAGGACTTTCAAGAATGGATTTTTTAAAAAAGTTAAAATTAGAATAGGGCTGGGTGGGGGTGGCTCACACCTGTAATCCCAGCACTTTGGGAGGCTGAGGCGGATAGATCATTGAAGGTCAGGAGTTCAGGACCAGCCTGGCCAACATGGTGAAATCTGACTCTACTAAAAACACTAAAATTAGCCAGGCGTGGTGGCGGGCATCTGTAATCCCAGCTATTTGAAAGTAGGAGAATCCCTTGAATCTGGGAGGCGGAGGCTGCAGTGAGCTGAGATCGTGCCATTCCACTCCAGCCTAGGCAACAGAACAAGACTCCATCTCAAACATAAATAAATAAGAATAGTATAAACCGAGAAGGGAGAAATATTTATTTTAGTCAATTCATATTAAAAAGTAAAGGAGGACAAGGTAGGTCTAAGTGAAGGTACTATAGAAACAGGAAGTACTTTCCTGGGGAGAAAAGGCAATCTAATTTGACAGATAAGTAAAGGAAATACCTCATTTGATAAATAATTTGCATTTACCTTAAATTGGCTTCTTACAATTAGGTTTGTATTCCTAAAGATCAGAGTTAAATAATCTAAGCTTAGATAAAAGGGCCTTCAAAGGTATTTAAATTATATAGAAAATAAAGATGTTTTAAAAAACAGTCTTTCTTTAATTGATCTTTGAAAACAAACAGATCAATTTTTGGACACAGAGGGTGCGATAATAATCCAAGGAAGCAAACTATTAAAGAGGTTAGCCAATACTACTAATAAAGTAGAAGCCACTTTAATAACATTAAAAAGTTACAATTTTCTATTAAATGTAGTTAACTGCATCAGTTGCAGCAACCTGGAATCACTATAGAGGTGAAGTAGTACAGGCAGAGGCGGGTGGATCACCTGGGGTCAGGAGTTCGAGACCAGCCTGGCCAACATGGTGAAACACCATCTCTACTAAAAAATACAAAATTAGCTGGGCAGGGTGGCACACTCCTGTAATCCCAGCTACTCGGGAGGCTGAGGCAGGAGAATTGCTTGAATCCTGGAGGCAGAGGTTGCAGTGAGCCGAGATCGTGCCGCTGCACTCCAGCCTGGGCGACAAGAGTGAGACTCTGCCTCGAAAAAAAAAAAAAAGTACAGAAAATAGTAAAAGTTCTGATATCTCTTACTCATGCTATTTACATCACTTCTGCTTTTGAATACTCAATAGAGACAACACTGTACAGCTATAAATATGTAAAGATGGTTACAAATTCATAGTAATTAAGGTGTGCAGTGCATAAATGAAAACTATACTGACATGTAGATGCCATGAATGAAGCAGTATTTAGTTGGCAAAATAACCATGCTTATTTGAAAGCTGAATGGATAAAGCCCATTTGGCAAGTAATCGTATCACTCTTACCAAAACAGTCTCCTGAGAAGGTGATGCAATAACAGAAACAAAGTTGTTTAAAAAAATTCCTCAATACTTCCCCAACACTAAACTTACTTAGGATAAAAGTACTTAGTTTCATCTTATTAAACTAAAAAGGCCATATACGTATCATCAATATGCAAATTGAAAAGAATCCCAGTATTTAAAAAGCAAACAGAGGCCGGGGGCGGTGGCTCAAGCCTGTAATCCCAGCACTTTGGGAGGCCGAGGCCAGTGGATCACAAGGTCAATAGATCGAGACCATCCTGGTCAACATGGTGAAACCCCGTCTCTACTAAAAATACAAAAAATTAGCTGGGCATGGTGGCGCGTGCCTGTAATCCCAGGTACAAAGGAGGTTTGAGGCAGGAGAATTGCCTGAACCCAGGAGGCGGAGGTTGCGGTGAGCCGAGATCGCGCCATTGCACTCCAGCCTGGGTAACAAGAGCGAAACTCCGTCTCCCCCCAAAAAAAAAAAAAAAAAGGCAAAAAAAAGTAAGTATTTTGACAAGAAATGGGGAGCAAAAAATACTAATTCTTGTTCAACAAGCAAGGCAGTTTATTTCTGGGATTGTTACAAGGAATAATACAAAGATGTTACTTAGGCAACTGTGATTTTAAAAACAAACAAAATAAAAGCTGCATGATTTTTAAAAAAGAAAAACAGATTTCCTGAAATGTGAAGTATTCTTGGGTCAATAAAAACCATACCTCTGTCTTAACTTACAGATGTAATTAAAATCAGTAACATTTTTCACTTTAATTTTTAGGAATATTCTTTTTTTTTTTTTTTTTTTTTTTTTTTTAGAGATGGGGTTTTTTTCTTGTTACCCAGGCTGGAGTGCAATGGCGCGATCTCGGCTCACCGCAACCTCCGCCTCCTGGGTTCAGGCAATTCTCCTGCCTCAGCCTCCTGAGTAGCTGGGATTACAGGCACGTGCCACCATGCCCAGCTAATTTTTTGTATTTTTAGTAGAGACGGGGTTTCACCATGTTGACCAGGATGGTCTTGATCTCTTGACCTCGTGATCCACCCGCCTCGGCCTCCCAAAGTGCTGGGATTACAGGCTTGAGCCACCGCGCCCGGCAGGAATATTCTTTTAAAATTATATCATGGTTTGTTTGGGATTTTGGAATTACCTATTCTTATCTCAAGTATTTGTTCTTTCCTTACAATATTCTTTCTTTGCTCCTCTCACAGATGCAGGCATTGTTTCTTTTCTATGACAATTCATCCCCTACTCTTACAGAATTGAGTGCTGCTAAAGGCAGAGAACTTGTTTCTGTTCTTGGTGCCTCTTCCAAAGAGGTCTGGCACACAGGAGATGCTCAGAAACTGTGAAACTGAACTAATTAAACATTTTTTTTTCAATTAAAAAATAACAAATGTTCAAGAATAAAACTTGCAAAATACAGAAAGCATGGAAGAAAGAGAAAAATTACCTATGAAACCATGCTTTCCAAAAACCACAATCAACATTTTGATATTTTTCCTTCTAGTCATTTTTCTGATGTATAGCACAATTTATTTAACCAATCCTTGTAGTTGGACATTTAGGGTGTTCCCAATTTTGTTTTAGTATAGATAAAACAACTGGGAGCATCTATATATACATCTTCATCTAATAACTATTAGAAACAGAATTACTGAATCAAAAAATTTTGCCATTTAAAAATATTTATTGGCCAGACATGGTGGCTCAAACTTGTAATCCCAGCACTCTGGGAAGCTGAGGCGGGTGGATCACCTGAGGTCAGGAGTTGCAGACCAGCTGGTCAACATGGTGAAACCCTGCCTCTACTAAAAATTTAAAAATTTATTTTATTTTTATTTTTTTTGAGATGGAGTTTCGCTCTGTCACCCAGGCTGCAATGCCGTGGTGCGATCTTGGCTCACCAAAACCTCCACCTCCTGGGTTTAAGTGATTCTCCTGCCTCAGCCTCTCGAGTAGCTGGGATTTCAGGTGTGCATCACCACGCCCAGCTAATTTTTGTAGTTCTCTTGTCTCAGCCTCCTGAGTAGCTGGGATTACAGGTGTGTGTCACCATGTCCAGCTAGCTTTTTGTATTTTTAGTAGAGATGGGCTTTCACAATGTTGGCCAGTCTGGTCTTGACCTCCTGGCCTCAAGTGATACATCCACCTCAGCCTCCCAAAGTGCTGGGATTACAGGCATAAGACATCGCATCCAGCCAGAATTTTGCCACTTTTAAAGCTTTTAATGGAAAGGTTGCATTACTTTATACTACTACACCAGTCTGAACTTTTATAAACTTATTGCATTATCAATTCTGTCCCTGACCATTCTTTTTGTCAATCTCTGATGAAAAAAATGGTATCCAGTATTAAACTGTATATCCTGGATCAGTATCAATATGGAACATCTGCGTCATGTTTTCTGCCTATTTTTCCACTGAAGTTTTAGTGATTTTTTTTTCCTATTTGATTTCTGAGAACTCTTTATATATAAAGGATCATATACTTTTGTGTAGCAAAAGGAATTGTCTGAATTCTCTTCAAATGACTGTCAAGAAATATAAGATACATTCTCAAAAATGTAAAGTGGCCAGTCTGATGGGTAAGATCAGCTCTCCCAACAAAACAGGCTCTAGAAACCTGTGACTTCTAAGATAACCTCTGTTTTCTGTATTTATCTGAAATGATTAGCATTTTACTCTAATGAAACATGTTTAGAAGGGACAGGTTAACATAAACTTCTAAAGTGCATAATTTCGTTCATATTTATATTTATAACCAAACGTTTTCCTGTTGCCACAAAGCAAGAGATCCAACAACCCCTTCTGAGTTTAAGTAAAACTATTTTTACCAGATGGTCCTCTTTTATTGGGTACCAATATAAAGTTATAATACTTTAAAATAGTCAACTGATTGTTCCTGGAAACCTCAGTTCTACGCCTCTTGCAGCAACCAAAGATAGAATTCAAGTACAGTAACTAATTCCCACCCACTTCACCAAAGGATGTGAAGATTAGATACTGATTTAGCAGCCTGAAACTTAAGTACAGCTAGTTTGAATGTGATACTAACAAGCTGAAGAGTTATAATTACACTGTTGTCTGGCTTTAGATGACACACGTCACAACTGTGTCACTGGTCAAAATGAGACGCAGTTAATGGGAAACAGATGTATTCCAGACGAAACTCATCAAGGTTTCTGGAAGTGGAACTCAGGGCATTATGTCCTGAGGAATTCTCCTCGTGCATTCTTTTCTGCCTTCTGGATCCTCAGTTTTGCCCCTTTTCCGCAGTGATTTCTGATCATCCCTAACTGTCCCCTACCTCCTCAGTGTGAGCTGACCCCTCTAACATTCTCCTTACTCAATACAAATTTGTGAGACCAAGCCTTTTCTTACAGTATTACAGTACATTCGACATGCAAAAATTTTGGTATTTTAAGGTAATGATCTTTATAAGCCACTCACCTCAAGGATCAAATGAGTAATGAACTTTTAGAAATCAGTGAAATTAAGAACAAAGCTCAGGGTTCGAGTTCAAAATTAAATGAGGAGTAAATGTGTTTCCCTGACTAGAAATAAGAATTCAGGAAGACGGGCATTTCCGATTGAAAAATCTGTGAGATTTTTAATTATTGAAAAAAATATTTTAAAATAGCTGTCATTAACATGAGAGCTGACACAATTCCTAGTTGCCACCCAATTGTTCTCCCTGCTATCACTGCTATATTGTGCTGTATCCACAACTCCAAATCACTACCATAGCCATCAAGGAAGTCTTCCTAAAAGAACAAATCTTATCAAATCACATGTCTTCTTATGGCTCCCTGTCATGACATGATGAAGTCTGTTATCTTTAGCATAATATTCAAGGTCTCTCATAACCTACTTCTCTTGCTCCAGCTCTAGTTGTATACACAGAAACTCAGACTATTCAAACCTAACAAGTTTGTTCCTGCCTCCACTTATCACCCTGCAATGTGAGAACTTTGCAATTTGCTTAGATTATCAACTTTTGGAGGATAAGAACCTTGATCTATTAATCTTCCCATCTCTGGCTTAGTATATAATAAATGTGTAGAGAATAAGGGCTCCTGATGTGAATTCCTGAGAGGTAAGGACTCTCTCCTTATTTCTATAACTATCACCTAACACAACTACCAGGAACTTTCAAGAGGCAAATATTTTAATATATTTTTTGAACATGCTTTATTTCGTTCACTGATTATTCACTGTCTTAACTTATTCAATAAATATTAACTGAGTGCCTACTATGTGCTAAGTATTGTACTGCTCTTGATTAGAACTTTTGTAACTGCTTCAGGAAGTTGCTAATGTAATATATACTAGAGTCAACCCCAATCACGACACTTTAGTGGACTGATTTCATCATTATTTTACAGACCTAATTTATATTTAAAATCTTCAAGTATTACTACGTTTTGGTGATATCCCATTTGGAAACAGAAATAGGTCTGATTAAAAAGTTCAAATTTACAATTCAAGAAGGAATAAATGGTGCTACAAGGAAAAAATGATTTTTTAAAAAAACAAAAAACTGGTGAATGGGTCCCAAGATTTAAGGTGTACGATTTGTAAATCAGGAGACTAAAATTTCCAAAATTCAAAATAATGCTATTGTATAATCTGAAAGTGGTAACTTCATGAAAGTGACAGATGTTCAATGTATTCTTATATAAGTACTCTTTGAAGACTTTATTATACATTAGTTATATATTAAGCAAAACTTACCAAAGCCTCCCCCAACCCCAAATAAAAACTTTACAGTGAATGTGAAAATTTCTGCATGGCTAAGATTGGCATTACTTACCTAAATAGTTTTGGAGGCAAGATACTAAATCGTGTTTTATCCAAAATCTTCCTGATTTTGTTTCTTCCACCTGAAACAGTATTTGCTTTAACTTTCTTACTTCCTTTCTCTTGTGATGCCTGTTCAATATCTCCTGGCACATGCTGGATAGAATGGCGATTACTTTTTTTTTCAGCAATTTTTGGAATATGAGGCACACCAGATTTCTCTTGTTCAGTCCTACAAAGTAACTCTTTGAACACTGCGGAAATGAAACAAACTTGTCATTTCTTCAGAATATTTTTATACCAACAACAAATTTTAAGAATAAACACAGTCACTTTCCATTATCTGAACTTTCAGTCTCATTCAACTAAACATTGTCAAGTATTTACTCACCCTTTAGCAACTACATCTACTTCTTTCTTTAGTTTTCATACCTCACTATACTTCTGATTTTGCCCAACACTAATAAAAGGAAAGTCAGTTGAGGGGAAAGGGAAAGGAAGTGGGCAGGCTGCAGGCATGTTTGAAAAACACAGGTTCCTATTTAGGGTAGTAACTAATAAAACTGCTGATCGACTAATTTTATAGGAACAGATATTTAGGTTCTATTGTATGTTATTCCTTATAATACAGCTGACCCTTGAACAACATGAGTTTGAACTGCGTGGGTCCATTTATACTTGGATTTTTTTCAACAAATGTGGACTGAAAATACAGTATTTTGGGGATGTAAAAACCTGCGTTATGGCTCTGAAGGACCAACTGTGGGTCTTGAATATGCATGAATTTTGGTGTACATGGGATGGAGGTCCTGTAACCAACACTACACATATACCAAGAGATAACTATATATGTCACTTGAGATGAGACCTGACTACTACAGTCAGGGTCAGATTGTAAAACTTAGATGAGAAAAGCTTTGTTGGGCTTTATTTTTACTTTTACCAAAAAATGGTAATTTTGGTTATTTATTTACTGATTGATTTTGAGATGGAGTCTTGCTCTGTCGCCCAGGCTGGAGTACAGTGGCACACTCCCAGCTCATTGCAACCTCCACCTCCCGGGTTCAAGGGATTGTCCTGCCTCCGCTTCCCAAGTAGCTGGGATTACAGGCATGCACCACCACACCTGGCTAATTTTTGTATTTTCAGTAGAGACAGGGTTTCCCTATGTTGGCCAGGCTTGTCTTGAATTCCTGATCTCAGGTGACTCACCCACCTCGGCCTCCCAAAGTGCTAGGATTATAGGCGTGAGCCATGATGCCTGGTCTAATTTTGGTAATTTAAAATTTGGTAATAATTTCTCAAAGTCACATTTATGAGGCTGTCATTCAGTAAAGCTGCTAAAAAAAAAATCCACTTCAGTGATCTGAAGTAAACAAGTAAACAACCAAACGTATCTTAAATACCTTTCTCTCTCTCTCTCTCTCTTTTTTTTTTTTCCTGAGAAAGGGTCTCACTGTTGCCCAGCCTAAGTGCAGTGGCATGATCACAGCTCACTGCAGCCTCAACCTCCCTGGGCTCAGGTGATCCTCCCAAGGAGATGAGATTACAGATGCATGCCACCATACCAGATTAATTTTTGTAGTTTATTTGTAGAGATGGGGTTTTGACATGTTGCCCAGGATGGCCTCCAACTCCTAGGCTCTAGAGATCTGCCCATCTCAGCCTTACAAAGTGCTGGGATTACAAGCGTGAGCCACCATGTCCAGACTCAAGTATCTTTCTATCAAGTCTAACTAAGTCTGGTGAATTTGATCCTTAATGAGGGTGCAGGTACATTTGGGAAATTCCCTGTCTATATGCCTACACCAAATTTTCACCTTGTGAGAATGGCTACATCTCCTTGGGATAAAGCAAAGATAAATCTGCATAAAGTTAAATATCAAGAAATGATTAGTCATGGTGCCTGAAGAGGACTGAATTAGAGAAATAGTGGTTGCGTATTCTTAGAAGAGACTTAAAGGTCTTCAACTACATGAGCTATGGAAGCAAACACTCAGCTTATCATTAGATACAGCTTTGAGCAGTTATGCTGCACCTTTTTTTAAAGCTATAAATTGTGTGAATATGGCCACCAAAAACCCAATCACAGAGAATTGTTTTGGAAACCAACAGAAAAGCATGAGTTTCCCAGAAACATCAAAGGACTCAGAAGTAAGATAGAAATTCTTAAAGCCTTAAGAATTGATTAAAACATTTACGACTTGGTATTCACTTGCAAAATCTGGACTGATTTCAGGGTATCAACAGAAGGATGATACCACATTACTAAAGCACAGTGCAAGTTGATGAAAAGCATATATTTCTGCTTTCAAAATGATGGAGATTTTTTGCGAGTTAACTTCCACAAAGTCTGCATTAGAATAAAATTTATATTTTAAAATTTTATTTTAAGCCATATGGTAATAATATATACACACATGGATGTATTTGTGTATACATATGTATGTGTATACATATATGTATCTGTGTATACGTATGTATATCCTTTTTGGAAATAGGGTCGGTTCTCACTCTGTTGGCCAGGTTGGAGCGCAGTAGCATGAGCACAGCTCACTGCAGCCTCGACTTTATAGGCTCATGTGATACTCCCACTTCCACGCTGGGTAGCTGAGATTACAAGCATGTACTACGGCACCCAGCTCATTTTTTCTATTTTTGTAGAGATGCGGTCTCACTGTGTTTCCTAGGCAAGTCTTGAACTCCTAGGCTCAAGTGATCTTCTGCCTCAGCCTCCCAAACTGATGGGATTAAAGGCAGGAGCCACCACGGCCAGCCAATACTTTTTTAGTTTAAAATTCAGATATTCATTCATTCAAAAAATACTAACATATGAACACAGGTCAGGTACTTCACTAGATATTATTTCTGTATATTACTCCTGTTGTGGAGCTTACAGACAGTCTAAGATGCATGAAATATAACCAGAGGAACTACTTGAGAGTAGGAAAGGGCAATCTTCCTTAAGCAAGTCATTTATTAAGAAGAGATCAGACAGATGAGTAGATTTTAACTAGGCAAAGAGGGAAAAGGATGAGTAATCCTAGGCAGAGAAAAATCACAAGTTCAAAGTCCCTGTGGTAGAAGGAAAGTTCAAGAAAATGAAAATGACTATAGAACAAGGTAGAGATGAGGCCAGATAATGCCACGCTATGGTATTCAAATTTTCTGTTAGAGCAACAGGAAAACTTTGAAGGGGCAGCAGATTTCCTTAGTAATGTGTATGTAAAGTAACTGAATTATTTTTAAAAATCATCAAATTTGGCTGGGCATGGTGGCTTATGCCTGAAATCCTAGCACTCTGGGAGGCAGAGGCGGGTGAATCACCTGAGGTCCAAAGTTTGAGACCAGCCTAGCCAACATGGTGAAACTAAAAATATAAAAATTAGCTGGGCGTGGTGGTACACACCTGTAAACCTAGCTACTCCAGAGGATGAGACAGGAGAATCGCTTGAACCCAGGAGGCAGAGGTGGCAGTGAGCTGAGATTGAGCCACTCCATTCCAACCTGGGCGACAGCGTGAGACTGTCTCAAAAGCAACAAAAAAAAAAAAAAAAAAAAAAAAAGTTAAATTTCTCCACTGGACTTGGGTATGCAAGTATAAGTAAAAATTTGTGGAGCTTGTAGTTTGTTGATAAAGAGGAAAAATGATTGTGTTAAATTAAAAAAAAAAAACTGTTAAGGAGAAAAATGAAAGGATACTGAGCACACATAATTACAATGCTATTAAAGGTCAATATCAGACATTGTATATGAATCAAAAGTAAAAGTGCCCAAGAATCTATAAAAGCTTAATAAATTTGTCTACGTAAAAATTTAAAATGTCTCTCTTTCTACATATGTATGTATGCATTCACAAACACATGAAACAAAAGTCAAAACACAAACCACTGGGGAAAATATTTTTAACTTTTAAACTCTTTAAGAAGAGCTGAAAAATACTATTTTAATTTATAAAGTGCTCAAACAAGTCAATAAAAGATGAGTAAAAATATATAAAGGGGCAGATGAAATTAAAAGACTTTATAGAAAAGAAATGCCAAAACACATAAAAAAAGGTACTCATTATTAAATAATGTATATCATAATTTAAAAGCTTGATTAGACCCACTGCAGAGGTATTCTTATACACTGATGAATGAAGCACAGATCGTGATAAACTTCCAGAAAGTAAAACTTTGTAGTGTCTGTCAAAAGCAATTCCACTTTGAGAAATTTATCATATAGCTGGATCTATATGAGCATAAAAGTACAAAGAGTTTTTATTATATCACTGTTAACAGCAAAAACTATAAACAATCTAAAATATTTATAGGACATTAACTCAAAAGATTATGGTAATAATAGAACTCTATGTAATAATAAAAATCATGTAACAAGTGTATCTGTATGAACTGATGTGTAAAGGTACAGAACATTGTACGACGTATGGTCCCAATGTATACCTACCTTATTTTAGTTTTCAAAATATATGCACATATTACTTTTATTAAAACTTAAAATGACAAGTTATTTAAGAAGTGAGATTTTTGTTTTTTAGAGACAGGGTATCACCCAGGCTGGAGTGCAGGGACACAATCACAGCTCATTACATTCTTGAACTCCTGGGCTCAGGTGATCTTCCTGCCTCAGCCTCTCAAGTAGCTGGGACTACAGGCGCATGCTACCATGCCCAGCTAAATTTTAATGTTTTTTCGAGACAGGGGTTTCACTATGTGGCCCAGGCTGGACTTGGAACTCCTGGCCTCATTCGATCCTCCCACCACAGCCTCCTAAAATGCTAGGATTACAGGCATGAGCCACAATGCTTGGCCAGAAGTTGGATTTTTAAAGATGTTAGAAAAATGTGGAAACCAAGAGGAATAGATGAATTAAAATTCCAGAACAGGAAGAGAGTAATCTGAGATTGTCAGCTGTTTTCTTCTCTGAGTGCATTTCCTAAATCTAAACATGAAGTGTGGGTCAGGTAGAGGGACTCTTCTAGGCGAAAGAGAACTTTAGATGGCTGTGAGGGCTTGCATGAAAACTAGAACACAGTGAAACCTAAAAGCAGTGTCACTTTTCTCCACAGGACAACTGCTGTTAGTAGGAGTTCCCTTTTCTCACTCCTCAAGCCAGGCTTCTCCTGGATCTCTGTCTGTACCACAGTACTCACATCCAGGTTTCAGGTTGCTTTGAGTCCAACCTAGGGGATACTAGAATTAAAATAATAGTAAATTCATTGCTGGTGGTGGTACTCTGAATTCTGGTATTCTTCTGTGAATTGCTGTTGCTATCTGCTTTTCAGAGTTCTCAAAAAGGTGGGTCAAGATTCTGCCCAGGTTTAGTATTAAGTTCGGTGGGAGATGAAGGGTGGTGTGTGTTTACTATATCTGAAACTGAAACATTTGATTTTTATCTTCATGGACATAAGGTAACAAACTTATAATCTGTGTCTGATATTTTAGAACACCTGTGCTTCTGTTTCTGTTGGTTCTGGCTCATATGGACTTATAAGAGTGCCTCATAATCTTTGCTTGACTCTGCTTTTAAAACATTATTTTTAAAAATAACAAGTTGTTATTAGTATCCTCTAAAGAAGATACGTATTTTCTTTTGTCAGGCACCTGTAATCTAAGACCAGGGCCAAAACTGTAAGTTTTCTAGGTCCTAGAGGGACAAGTAGAGTACAGCGCACATCCACTTCAGAGAGAGCTTTTCAGTGTCTCAATCCTAAGGAGGTTGCAATGCAACAGTTTTATCCTTTGGTGGGCACTAAACTACAAATCTGTAAGTTTATCAAGAAGCTCTCTCAGATATATTCTGTGGATGGGAAAATGGCCCTGGAAAAAAAGACATCACTTTGGGATATAGTCCCAGGAGTGGGAAAAGGTACATCCAGAGTTTTTCACTTTTTTTATTTTTATTTTTATGCTTGTTTATAGCTTTTCATATTTAGTCTAGCTCTTTTAAGTTGTCTTCAGTCAATACTGGAAGTAGAAACTTGATGTAAGACGTTTGTTGTTGTTGTTGAATCCATTTTCCTCAGCTTATAGTAAGGCCTTTGAATTTTAAGAGTCATATCCTTCTTTTACTCTGGGATATCCTCTGTTATTATTTCCTAAATATCTTCTTCCTCACATTTTCTTTGAGATCAACTGGAATAGAGCTTAATTTTATTTTGTCTTCTTGTTCCATAGTCCGGGAGATTTTTCTCAACTTTATTATCTATTCCTTCAAATGAATGCTTGTGTGGGTAAGAGTTATTTCTTTATCAATGGTTACTGTTTATTCATTCCTAATATCCTGTTCTTGTGTCAAGGGATAAAATTTTAAATTGCTCTGTGCAGCGTTCTAGAAATGTTTTTCTTCCTTAAATACTCCAGAATCTGCAAGATCACTCATTAGGTCTCTACCACACCCTCTTAGGGGTGTGGGTCTTGGTGACCCCTGACTGTCAGTTTTAAGTAATATAAAAGGACCAAGAATGGTTTGCTCTGGTATCACTAAACAAATGTCTTCTGGTCACGCTTTCCTTTTTGTAGGTGTTCTGACTGTAAGTTTGATATAGGATGACCTAACTGCTCAACTCTATTTCATGGTAATGCCAGTGTTATTAGGGCTTTATCATGGGCATCACGTCTAGAGTAAAATGCTCCATTTCTAAAAATATTTTACAAATATTCCTTGGAGATGCTCCTTGGTGTTTTGCTTGGTTTACTCCATTCCACCTAGGGTAAAGAAGAGCTGACTGCTATGTTCCCCTTTTGCATCACCATGTAACTTCACCCTCTGCCATATCCAATCTAGGGTTTTGTTGGGCAGCTGTTTTCTCATCACTCAAAGGGTTCTGAGGCTACGGCTTCTGTTCTTTGCATCCTTCAGACCTACTTCTTCTGTGTCCCATGGTTCCTGAGGGTTCACATTATCTCTGTGTTTTTATTCAGAATATTGAATACCAGTTAGCAATCTTTATATGACTAGAACAAAAGGTTTAAAGGTATAAGATACTTAGAAGAAATCTAGGAAATAGTGCTAGAGAAAATGAATCTTGGAAAGACTAAATAATTTGCTCAAAGTAAGAGAGCAAGTCCTGCTTTCATATTTTTCAAAACTGGATTCTCTTTTGTATAACCTAAAAGTTGGCATTTCTAGATACTTGTCCAAACACCAGGAAATCAAAAAATTCTGAAGGCTTACTTACTTATTCTATGTGAAGTAACATAATATTAAGAAATTGCCAATTGACAGTTATAACCCAGATTTAACATGATGTAATTCAGTCAAAGGTACACAAAAAGAAAAAGAGGACAAACCCCAAATGTTTCATTTTTCATCATGACTAAACACAGTATAAGAAGCCGAAGTGAAAAAAGTAAAACTCACACTTCCTTTCCACAGGCATAGCTTTTAAAGCCAACTCTTACTTCTCAAATTGTTACCTAAACAACCTACAGAAATTGTTTTCCTCCCTACTTCGTAAAGACACTTAAATTTTCAATTTTTAATTTCAATTGCCATACAACTTTTACTGCTGCTCTTTTCAGAATTTCAGCAAAAATCCTCAAGTGTCTAAGGAAACCAAATGACAGTAAATCTTTTCTAAAAGTTTAAAAAAGCAAACAGTAGATTTGGTTAAAAGTATGAGCTTAGTCACTGGTTTTATTTAAATATAAACATGATAAAAACAGAATACAGGTACTAGAATCATTTTTCCATACAAAGGTAGAGTATGCTTTTATTAGAAATCTGTAATTCACTGAATACTTAAGTCAATGCTTTGCTCAGTTTATTTCCATAAAACAGCTAATCTGGCATTGGTATTACTTTAGAAAGTTAGCTTAAAGATTAGAAGTAGACCGATTTGCACACTAGCTGTGGGAAAAATGCCTGATTGTGACTTCTTATTTTACTCAGGTCATTCTACCTTTCATTACGTATCCCTCCAGAGTACATAATACATGCTTAACAGACATTTCATAAATGACTGAATGTAGCTGTCCACCCATTTTAAAACTTATTTTCTATCAAAATAAAAAATATAATAAAAAATAAAAATTCTAGAATACGTGATAGTTCAACACTAAAGATTCTAAAACTAAAGAGTTTAGACAAAAACATGTTTACATTTTACTATCTTCTCTTTCACTGTAATGACTTTCCTCTTACCAAATTAAAAAGAAAAAGTTCAGGCAATTTTTAAAACAAAACTCACCAAAAATGTTGGTCTTTACAGTAAGTGCAAGATGAGTATTATTCCTCAAAATTTCAAGCGCTTTCATATATGTAATATTCTCAAAGTTTTGTCCATTCACTTCCATAATCTTAAGAGAAAAGCATTTTAAAAATACAAATTAAGACAGAAGAGTATTTGTCACTTCTACTACCTTAAAAGTTTAATAATGTTTAAACTTAATGAAACTTGAATAAAATGTACTCCTATGTGAACAGTTATCTCTGTGAGAATCATTTTTTTCCTCTATATTGTCATCTTTTCCAAATTCTTTACTATAAACATTTTTTTAAAAAGTTAATGCCCTCTGGGATCATATTGAGGAAATTTTAAACTTACCCACACAGGATGGTTTATGAAGGAAACATTTTAATCATGTCAGCTCAGCTCATAAAAATTATTGCCTGCATATGTATATACAAATTTGTCAAATATTCTCAATGTAAATTTACTGCATTTCAAAGACAGGTAATTCATTTAAAAGGAGTACTCTAAATATATTTAATATGATTATCTGCCACTGATTGAATCAGGCAGCAAAATAGCAAAAGGCACAATTGAGATGGGTTCTTTTTCCATGTAAACACTGCTGACCCTTCACCACATGACTTCTCCAATTTGGCTATAACTCAGAATCACAGAAGCTTATTTTAAGAAATACTGATTCTAAGGGGAAAGGATAAAAAGATAAATATAATGAGCAAAAACTAGTCAGAACAGAGGACAGATCTAGGGGATCAATATAAAAATTTCAAAAGGATAAGAAAAAGAATGAACAATTATTAGAAAAAAAAAAAAATCAATAGAAGTAAAATTCCCAGAGTTGGAAAACCACTTTCAACTACACACTAAAATTCTTATCTAGTACCATGCTAAAATAATACAAAGAGATCTATTTTAAAAAATATATTCTAATGAAATTTCTGTGTTCCAAGGAGAGAGAATAAGGAATCTATAAACATCATTGTGGGAAGATAACCCAAAGGTACCTAGAAAAGAAAGCCCAAAGAGTTTGGACTTCTCTTGGGCAATGCTAAGTTGATGTGATAATATTCTGTGGCTTTAGCCTTCTAAGGGAAAAGTCAATGTTAGAAAAAGATGTTACACTCCATCAAACAAAGTATCTTCAGGTATGCAAGGACATACAATACTGTATCACCCATCTGTTCTTTAAAAAGAAAAATACTAAAAGAAGTACTAAAGATAATTGTGAAATGAACAGAAATAATGAGGATATACAGTATCAATGAAATGGAAGTGATCAATGAAATGAGTTAAGCAGGTGTAAATGTTTAATGCTTATTTAAAAGCTATGAAACTTAATGCAAATGTCAAAAGCATTCTTGAAACAGAAGATAATGTTAAAAAATAACAATTATAATGTAGACCTAAAATCTCAGATCATTTCAACAGTAGTTGAGGATATTGAAGGAAGAAGTAAAAGCATGATAAATTTCATTCTCAGGAATGGATTTCACTAATTTGTGTATGTGTGTGTGTATGTGTGAAGAATTAGATTATTAAATGTGTTTCTGATAAAAATAACTGAACGATAAATATACTAACTCCAGGATCCTAGCTATTAGCTATTCCTAATGAACAGTCTGGGGTAAGTCCCAGAAAACTCAATTGTGGAAGTTGTCCTGGGCACTGTAGGTTGTTTAGGAGCATCCTTGGCCTCTGTCTACCAACACGCTGGTAACCCCCAAGTCATCATAATAAAAAATATCTGCAGACATTGCCACTAGTTGAGAAACACTGTTCTAAAGCACAGAACCTTTCATAATATGAATGAGCTCACAATTTTAAAAAATGATAGCATGGTTCAGTTAAAATAAAGCCACATTCTAAAACAAATGAACAAAATTTTAAATGGGGAAAAAGTAAGTTTCCTAAATGATTCTGATGATCAGATAGATTTGGGAAACCACCTTTTGGAGTACATGAGAATCATCTAGAGCAGGGGTCCACAACTGCTGGGACATAGACCCATGGCCTGCTATGAACTGGGCCACACAGCTGGAGGTGAGCAGTGGGCCAGTGAGTATTACTGCCTGAGCTCAGTCTCCTGTTAAATCAGCAGTGACCTGAGAGTCTCATAGGAGTGTCAACCCTGTTGTGAACTGTAAATGCAAGGGATCTGGGACACTCCTTATGAAAATCTAATGTCTGACTGCCTGAGGATCTGAGGTGGAACAGTTTCATCCAGAAACCATCTCCATCCCTCCAGTCCCCCTCCCCGGTCCATGGAAAAATTGTCTTCCACAAAACTGGTCCCTGGTGCCAAAAAGGTTAGGGACCACTGATCTAGAGAGCTTTGTTAAATATGCAGATGTCCACACATCATCTCTTAAGAATGTGGTCAACATGATTAACATGACTGAGAGAAGCCTGGGAATTGTCAGCACATCACATTTTGAAATATGCTGCTCTATACTTACCTAATGCCTATATCAAAAAACTAAATCATCATCAAATTCCCAGGAGTATCTTTTTTCTTTGTCCCTCACTTGGCTCACTTTGCTTACAGATATAGTTACGTTACCATATAAACATAATTTAATGATTACATAACCTTCAGCAATCTGCAGCCACTTACTATGACGCAGAAGTGCTATCGCCTTCAAAACTTGCAAGGGTGCTAATTCATATATTGATCTTTCTGAAGTATTCTCAAGTTGCCAGCTTATCCATGAAAGATAGGCAGGCCCATTCAAAGGAGGTCTTGCTGACAGAGCTCAGTAGACCATGTTATTTCTAGCCACACTACACCAAATTTTCCATTAAAAGTAATAAATATATGACAAATACATTTTAAAAATAAACTATATGCAGATACTACCTCTAAAAAGAGACTCAGAAAAATATCCCCTTAAACTGATCATGCTTTCTGGAAGATGAGAACAAAAGCAGCAGGCATAATACTTTAAAGAAGGCTTGAATTTAAGTGGCTGGTTATTTACTTACCTGATCACCACGTTTCAGTCCTGAATCAGCGGCTTTGCTCCCAGGTTCTACTCCTTCAACAAAAATACCAAATCCCTTCTCACTTCCTCCATTAAGGCTGAATTGTAGAGGGGACTCACGGGAAGCCTTTTGCAGCACAACCTGTCTCCACTTAGCCTTTGCAGCACAGGCAATATTCAATAACCGGAGATGACCATTCATCTTCTGTAAAGCAGGAAAGGGTACATGTATATAAATGTATCTATTCCTATAGGGTTTTAAAAAGTCACCGAAAATTATCAGAATTAAAGTTATAAATATAAGGACTACAGAACATGTATAAACTGAGGTAAACAAAACTGAAGAAGGGGGCGCTTCCACTCCAAAGCACTCTCAATAATAAGATTTCTTAATATGACTATAAGGCTTTTAGATTATCATAGGTTAAAAAAGAGTTCCAAGTGATGTCTAATTTACAGAGAGATGACACAAAATTACTTATCATTACTTAAACTTTCCTAATATACACTCTACTCCCACCTTGCTTATCTCCTGGCTGTTATATAAAACCAGAATCTTTTAAAACCTTTATTCAAAACCTTGAATGATTTGAACCACCTTTTCAAATACTGTTCAACGTTCAAAGAAACATTCAAGTTTTTATCTCTTCCAGAAAAGACTTCCTTCTTGTATTACTTTAGTTCTTCCTTAAATTCAGTAATAGTCTGACTTCCAGTTCTAACTCCAGTTTCAATTAATCTCAAATAGCATTATTATGTGCAAATCTCAGGTCCGTAACAAAAAGCTAAAGGTTTTTTCAAAGCGACACCATGTCTTGTATTTGTTCTGATCCTATATTAACACCTTCGAGTGTAAAGTAGAATGCAATAAATACCTGATGGCTAACTGATTACTGGAAAAAAAATATCCCACGACTTTTTCCCCCCACATTTTGATGTCCCTTGATTATCTACACAGCCAACACTGGACAAGTCAAATGACAGTGGAGTGCCTCTATAACCCTTTAATAAAGTTCCCAGTGTTGTTCACTCTCCCCATTTTGTATAGTGCACATGTGCGGCTGAGGATTCTATAGGAACCAAGGGGTAAGAAAAAGGAACAAATTTGCCAATTTTTCCCACTTCATTCAACTTATCTGCTTATGCTTTATAAGTAATAACTATAGCTCTTGAGCATTTGCTATGTGACAGGTTTTATATAAAGACTGTTATGCTTATCAGCTCATTATAATCCTTACAAAAATCTCAATAAACTAGGAACTACTATCTTTACAAATGACACAACTCAGGCATAAGATCAGACAATCTGTCCGAGTTTACACATCTAGCAGGTGGTGGAGCTTGGATCTTAATTCGGGCAATTTAACTCTTGAGCTGTACGCCTAAAACCACTATGCTGCATTACTATTTGCTAAAATTTCAAGTTGCTTGGAGCAGGCAATCAAGTCACGGCTCAGTTTTATATCTGACAGGGAGAATAAAACGAATTCATGAATAGCTACTGTGGACTTTGAGGGAATTATCTTAGGTGCTGTAAATTTAGAACAGGTGAATCCCATGTAGAATACAAACCTAGAAAGTCTTAATATAGACTTGATATTTAAGATATGCATTGATAGTTAAACAGAGTTTCAAATAGGTTAACAAAGGAGAATTCTAGCATGGTCTAGATGCAGAACTGGAAGGTAAAATAAAATAGTCTGATTTGGCTATAATCTAGAGTACAAAGGAAAAAGGCCAAAAAGGTAGGCAGGGGACCTGAATATATGGGTGAGGAACTGCTTTGGTAGGAAGTATGGTTTATTGTCAAAAAGAATAATAGTCATCACATGTGTGTTTAAAAAGCAATCTTTTGGCCACACGGAATGGATTAGAAGAGAAACTAGAACAACTAAGATTAGTTAGCAGGCTATTATAACAGATCAGATATAATAAAATAATTAAGTCCTAAACTAGGGAGTGAAAAAGAAATGGCTGAGAGAGATCATAAGGAAATAAGTGAACATACATGTGTATGCCTAAATCAGTGACCTAGGTGACTTTAGCAACTGACTGGAAATCCTGACCAGAAAATTCAAGAAAAAGAGAGTGAGGGTACACATGTAACACCAGGTTTATAAGCCTGAGTAACTAAGAGATAAGAATGCCATTAGTCTTAATACAGAAATGGAAGAGTCGGGCTGGGCTCAGCATCTCACACCTGTAATCCCAGCACTTTGGGAGGCCGAGGCGGATGGATCATGAGATCAGCAGTTTGAGACCAACCTGACGAATATGGTGAAATCCCATCTCTCCTAAAATACAAAAATTAGCAAGGCATGGTGGTATGCACCTTTAGTCCCAGCTACTCGGGAGGCTGAGGCAGGAGAATCACTTGAACCCAGAAGGTGCACTATGCTGAAATTGTGCCACTGCACTCTAGGCTGGGCAACAGAGCAAAGCTCCGTCTCAAAAACAAAACAAAAAGAAGAAATGGAAGAACCAGGAAGGAGTGTGAATGTTGTTTGAATTGGGGTGGCAGAGAATAAATTAGCAAAAGTCTAGAATGAGCAAAAGTCTTAGATCTGGAAGATCTAAGAATGGACATTTAAGACACAGGAGAGGATGAAAGGTACTACTGTTCTGAGTTTGCTGGTGTTGGAGGAGGGGTACCACTACACTCTGAATAATATAAATTATTTTGAGCCTTACCGTATCTTCCAGATTTTTTTCAAATTCTTCTAGAAATCGAGTCATAGCAGGGTCACCTTCAAAATCATTAAAATGATTATTTACCCATAACAATACAATCCGCGTCACCTGTGGAAACATAAAAGAGGCAGCATATGGTCAGAAGAGGCATTCCTTCTGCAAAAATAGATTCCAAAAGCATGTCTAGAACTGATGGAGAACTGACAACCTTCTTGTTCCCTCCCTCCTATAAAAAAGGCTCATTGTAATAGAAAGGCATGCTTTAGTTTGAGGTTTTGCTTCCCTATATACACAAATGACAGAACCAGGACTCTGTCCGCTCAGTGAGAAGACACAAGCCTGTTTGTTAAAATGAAAGAAGTACAAAGAATGTATATTACAGATAGCATCTTACAATGCAAACTTCATGTCATAAAGCAGGCAATCCTATCAATCAAAAATCCCTATCAAAAGTGTTTCCATGGTCAAGAACATGTTTAACCAAAATTGTAACAAAAACAAATCTGAGTCTGGTGTGGTGACTCATACCCGCAATCCCAGCAACTCAGGTGGCTGAAGCAAGGAGGATCCCTTGAGTTCATGAGTTTGAGACCAGACTGGGCATAGCAAAACCCTGTCTCTATAAAAGTTAAAAAGCAAAACAAAAACTCTTACAAAACTGAAACTTCATTATAAAGTAAATTTTCAAACTGCTAAGTTGTTTACTTTGCTCCAGAAAAGTTAAACGTTAACAAATGTAAGCTGATTTGAATGATGTGTCTAATAATGTAAGGAATGACCCATTTTTAAAATTGTGGTAGAATCCACATAAAATTCATTTTAATGATTTTAAAGTTCATAATTCAGTGGCATTAAGTACCTTAACAATATTGTGTAACCATCACCACTGTCCAGTTCTGAGTTCTGGAGCATTTTCATCACTCCAAAAGAAAACCTCAAACTCATTAAGCATTCACTTCCCATTATGCTCTCTCCCTAGCCCCTGGCAGCCACTAGTCTGCTTTTCTATTTGTCTGTTCTGGATACTTCACATAAATAGAATCATACAATACATAGACTTTTCTGACTCTCTTCTTTTACTTAGCATAATATTTTTGAGGCTCATCATGGTGTAGTATGTGTAAGTACTTCTTTTCTTTTTATAGCTGAGTAATACTTTATTGTATGGCTATACCACATTTTGTTTATCCATAATGGACATTTGGGTCATTTCTACCTTTTGGCCATAGTCAATAGCGCTGCTATGAATATTTATACACAGGTTTTTGTTTGCACATCTGTTTTTAATTCTTTGGGTATATGTCTAGAATTAGAATTGCTGGGCTATATGGTAACTATGTTTAAATTTTTGAGGAACTGCTCCAACTTTTTCCACAGAGGCAACACCATTTTACATTCCCATCATCAGTGTGTGTAGGGTGGGGGTGCGAAGACTGGTTCAATGTCTTCATATCATTGGCAATGTATATTACTTTCTCCCCCCTTTTTAAAGCCATCCTAGTGGGTATAAAGGGGTATCTCATTGAGGTTATGGCTGCATTTCTCTATGATTAATGATGTTGAACATCTTTCTTATGTGCCTGTTGGCTATTTACATATCTTCTTTGGAGAAATGTCTATGCAAGTCCTTGGTCCATGTTTAAACTGTGTTGTCTTTTCATTGGTGAATGGTAAAAGTTCTTTATATATTTTGGATATTAAACCTTTATCAGAGATATAATTTTCTGGCTGGGTGTAGTGGCTCACACCTGCAATCCCAGCACTTTGGGAGGCTGAGGCCCGTGGATCACTTGAGGTCGAGAGTGCAAGACCAGCCTGACCAACATGGAGAAACCCCATTTCTACTAAAAGTACAAAATTAGCCAGGCATGGTGGCACATGCCTGTAATCCCAGCTAGTTGGGAGGCTGAGGCAGGAGAATCACTTGAACCCCGGAGGTGGAGGTTGCAGTGAGCCAAGATTGTGCCACTGCACCCTAGTGTGGCCAACAAGAGTGAAACTCCATCTCAAAAAAAAAATAAAGATACGTAATTTTCTCTTATTCTGTGCATCGTTTTATGTTTCTTGACAGTGTCCTTTGATGCAAAAATAATTTTAATTTTGATGAAGTAAAATTAATCTATTTTCTTTTGTTACTTGTGATTGGGTGTCATATTTTCTTATTTGAGAAACCATCACCAAATCCAAGGCCATGATATTCTACCACTATTTTTTCATTTAAGGTATTATACTTTTGGCTCTTCTGTCTCTGACACAGTTTGAATACATTTTTGTACGTCGTATAAGGTAGCAGTCCAATTTCATTCTTTTGCGTAAAATTATTACTAAATCATATTTTTGTTCATTCCCTAAGCATGCCTTTATTTTCTTGGCAACCAAAGTAAATATATTTAATTCTAACAAAAAATGGCAAGAGATGGGCAAACCCACAGTTTTAGACGTTAGTCTCCTAAATAAAAGAATTCCACAGTCTACCTGCATCCAATTTATTTCCTTTAAAATCTAACTCAAAAAGACACACCAAGCAATTATGATTCTACTTTTATTGAAACAACTTATTTCTTACCAATTTGTGGAGGTATAACTAGTCTTTCCATTAAATGTACAAACATATCCCATGAAATGAGGTAAGGTGATTTAATTAAAATAGTGAACAACATTTAATACAAAAATATACTCAAAAGGTATATTTAAATAAGTCACAGAAGAGATAAATTAAGGTTTAATAAATTGTTTTCAAATGATTATAAAGTCTGCAACTCAATAAAATAAAGACATTCCCATTTTGATGCTTAAAAACAATCTAGGCCCTCTTGAAAAAATGTATTTGATGAATAGTCTTTCTAAAATATTCAATCAGTTTTTAAATGTTTTATTGATCTCCAGAAATGATAAAATATTTCGGTAAAATTCTAAAATACTCTCATGTAACTTTTATGTTTCCTGAATTTATAGCTTTACCAGAGCTTTATTTCAGTTTTTGCCTTTTACGGCTCTTATCCACTTTTAACATGCTCTTCTGTCATAAACGTAAGCACAGAATGTCTATATTGGTGGTTCAGGTTCACTAATTTTTTAGGTGAACTGAATCTTGTTATCATAATAAACACGTACTCTACCAACTATAAAAGTTTCATGAATAAAATTTCAGGTTAAAATCACTTTCATGCCCTTTATAAAACCAACCTTATCTCTTAAGCTGTCGATCTTAAACCATTCCAATAGTTTGATTCCAACATCCAAAGGACTTTCAAGAAATGTCCTATAAGTTAATAGAAAATCTTCTATATAAGTTGGATCCACAATAGAATGTTCTTCTATTAAATGCATTATGAGACGCTCAGGTGTTGCCTAAAAATCCAAGGATAGGAAGGATGAGAAAATAACCCAAGAGCCAAAGAATTACTGTTGATTATTCCCCTTTGTAGTTACTCCATTAGACAAGTCCTCAAAGTAGAATTTTGCCTTTAAATCCTTACCACTGGAAGAATTGGATTCTAAACTTAATTGTAACCCATTAGCACTCAGAGGTTGAGAGAGAGAAACGGCAGAGGAATAAATAGCCAACAGCACTCACGCAGCTGAAGCTGTTTTCACTGGCATTTCATCATAGCAGGACCTTTGAACTTCACTGATTGAGCCCTGGTGTGGGCTGTTACTGCCACTTCTCCTACAACTAGTGCATGTACTTAATGTCTCAAGGCAACAAAAGAGTTGAAAGTTAAACTAAAGAAAGAAGAGGAAAGGAAAGAAAGAGAAGAAAGAAAGAAAAAAGAAGGCTTTTCTCCAAGTTTAATCCACCTCAAAAATCTTTTCTGTCCAGGCTGCAGAAGGAACACACCAGTTCAAGAGAGCCTGTTTTATTGTTGTTACTTCCCAGAATAAATGTTTCCTTTTCTACAGTTCCTCTCATACCGTTTCCTCTCTATGCTAGGTCACCATATTGAGAGGAACCAGAAGTTCTATAGACAGTTTTGAAATTAATTCAGTTTTAAACACTTATCTCCATATTTATAAAAGAATATAAACAGGCCAGGTGCGGTGGCTCACACCTCTAATCCCAACACTTTGGGAGGGCCAGGTGGGTGGATCACCTGAGGTCCAGAGTTTGAGATGAGCCTGGTCAACATGGTGAAATCTCGTCTCTACTAAAAATACAAAACTTAGCTGAGTGTGGCGGCAGGAACCTGTAATCCCAGCTACTGGGGGTGCTGAGGCAAGAGAATTGCTTGAACCTGGGAGACAGGGGTTGTAGTGGGCTGAGATCATGCCATTGCACTCCAGCTTGGATGACAAGAGTGATACTCTGACTCAAAGAAAAGAAAAAAAGAACATAAACATACATTTCCATACTGCTCTTCTTTGATCTTCTGAACCAATGTTTAATCATTACTCTTTGTAGCTTTTTCAAAGGTGGGCACACAGAACAAATACAGAAACAAACCAGATGTTAAGCCTGATATAAAAACTGTTACTCATAACCCCCAACCTTCATTTGTCATATTAAACAATTTCACTGTTTAGAATAACTGTATGGTAAACATACATTAATACTAATAATGTTCTTATCTAAGAATTTATTAAAAATACTTTATTAAAAGGTACTTTTATTTATTAAAAATAAGGTACAAAAATTGCTTCTCTCAAAGGAAGTCAGAAGCAATCTACTTAAGAGATAAAAAAATCATAGGTCATTCGTATTCTCCTATTCTCCTACCCCCACAAAACATTCTAAGCCTAAGAGTAAAACTGGTTTTATTATTCAGGCCAATCCTGGTTTAGGATCACTTAATTCCATTTCCTAGAATAGCTAAGTCAGGGATGGGAATTGATCAACCTGTTAAAGAGAGGCCATTATTTTGACTGGCAAAATCACAGAAGCAGGGTCCCTATAGAGACTAGGTCATACATTCAAAATTTTATTTAAAGATGAGCCCTTACCTAATTAGACTAAAATCTATCTTACCTCAAAATGCCCTTGATCCCAGCCACACAAATTTCCTGCTCTTTTTAAAACATATTATGCAATTTTATATAGCACATGCATATTTCTTTGTCTGGGTCACCCTTTCTCCCTAAAATTACTTCTCGCTATTTCTTCTAGCCTAATTTAGATCCTTCTTTTCATGTCTCTCGTGCTCTTCCATCTTGAGATTTATCAAGTCATGCTGAAACTATCGCCTTGTCTTTTTTGAAAGACTGTGAGTTCACTGATGTCAGAATCTAAGTATATATTAGTACCTCCCAGATCTCACAGAGGTCCTAGCAGAGAGTACCACAAAAGAGTTTGGGAGCCCACCTCAACATCCTAAAGTGCTGGGATTACAGGTCTGAGCCACCATGCCTGGCCTTGACTAGGGGATCACTTGAGGTCAGGAGTTAGATATCAGCAAGGACAACATGGCAAAACCCCACCTCTACTAAAAATACAGAAACAAGCAAAACAACAACAACAAACAACAACAACAACAACAAAAAAAAAACAAAGAAACCAGCTGGGTGTGATGGCATGTGACTATATGGTCACAGCTACTTGGAAGGCTGAGGCATGAGAGTTGCTTGAACCTGGGAGGCAGAAGTTGTATGAGTCAAGATCGTGCCACTGCATTCCAGCCTGGGTGACAGAGCGAGATTCTATTTCAAAAAAAAAAGTCAAATGAACAATCCTTCTATGAGCAAAAGATGGTTAAGATTTGCAATTAAATCTGAATGTGAAGATTGTACTACAGTAAAAATAATACATTTTTAATATTTCTGTCACAAAAGCAATCTATCATCATGTAATCAGAATCTGCAAACATTTTAAGGTATGTATAAACTTTGATGGCAATTTTATGTTCCTTCAAGTATTTTTGATGCTCTGAACTTTCATTAAAGGTATCACCACAGTATTTAAAAGCTACTGTAAAATACATTAAGAAAGTGGGATGCTAGGAGACAGGGTGCACAGAGGTAGAAAGCAGAAGAGATGGCTGGTGGTGTTACACTGGCATGGTAGAAATTGCTTACAATGAGCAAATAATATACAGAGTATAACAAGAGGCATTATTGAAGAAAGTATTTACAGTCATAGAAGGGGAAAGACCCTAGGGAAAACCGTGGTTTTGGTACTGGAACTGGAAGTATAAGTAGTACTGGAATTGAAACTCATGGTTGTTTATAATAAAGTTATAGATGTGTATATGTGCATAATCAATACATACACCTATTTCCTAGTTCTGATGAAAGACAAAGGCAATGACACCTCAGTAGTAGTGAATATAATGGGTGCCCAGATCTTGGTTTATAAATACTATATTCGGCTAGAAAGACCCAGGGTCTTCTCGAGAAATGGCCAATTCCAGAGCTGGTACAGTTAAGTTCACGATGAGCCTTATTATTTGCCAGATTATACGGAGGTGCTCAGATAATGGGGATGCGTCAAAAAACCCAAGAGTCAGTTTAGGAGTCCCACTGGCTAAATCTGGGATAATTTGAGCATCAGAATAATAATGATGGTAACATAAGTTTATACCAATACAAATAAATTAATGGAGAAGAAGAGAGTTCATTCCTTCAACAAAATGAGTTAATAAATGCAGAATAAATTATTTTAAAAATCACTATCTCAGACAAGAATAGTAATGGAAGTAAAAAGTGGTGAATATTAGTTTGTACTCAGTACATACTATACATAAACTGAAAGTTTGAGGATAGTATTTTGATATTGTCAGAACATCTATTCACCAAATATTTATCAGTTACAAGGGGTAAAATGATGAATTTACACTGAAGACACTGGGCAGACACCAACATGATCAAGTAATCATGGCTAACTTCACCACTGATAGAACAACAGGTTGACATCGTGTGCCCTCCGAGTTCTATGGAACTCCTGCCAGGAAAGCCTGACTTGAATCTACCTGGGTTATGAAGAAAGATCTAGAAAAATTCAGGTGGAGGGTAACAGTACAGAATATAAGAGCTGTATTCTTTAAAACTGCTAAGAATATTTAACAACAGGGAAGGACTGAGGAACTGGTATAGGCTGAAGTGACATGACAAATGACAACTAAATGCAACTGTGTTCTAGCATAACATTCTAGACCAGAAATAACAGTTATTGCTGAGATAGTTAGTGAAAATCTAAATAGGGTCTCTGGACTAAATGTGTTGTTTTTTGTTTGCTTGTTTGAGATGAAGAATCACTCTGCTGCCCAGGCTGGAATGCGGTGGCATGATCTTGGCTCACTGCAATCTGTGTCTCCCAGGTCCAAGTGATTCTCATGCTTCAGCCTCCCAAGTAGCTGGGACTACAGGCACTCGCCACTATGCCCAACTAATTTTTGTATTTTTAGTAGAAACGGGGTTTCACCATGTTGGCCAGGCTGGTCTCGAACTCCTGACCTCAAGTGATCCATCCTCCTCTGCCTCCCAAAGTGCTAGAATTATAGGCATGAGCCACTGTGCCCGGCCTTGAATGGTTTTATTTTAGCAATGTTTACTTCCTAACTTGAAAGATTCTATGGTGCTTATGTCAGAGAGTGTCCTTGTTTTTAGTATATACACAATGGAATATTTAGGAATGATGAGGCATCACATTTGCAGACTGCTCTCAAATGGTTCAGAAAAAGACTGGTGATAATGGAGCAAATGCAGTGAAAATATTAACAGTTGAGGAATCTGAGTCACAGATCTCGCTACTGTTTTAGCAACTTTTCTAGTTTGAAATTATTTAGAAATAAATTGCTAAAACACAAGTACTCACAAAAAGATAAAAATGAATTAAAACAAAAAAGTCTATTTATAAGCCTATGGTAGTCCACCAATATGTTCATCATTTCTACATACAAAGCTTACAGTCATCCGTTTAGGAAAAGAAAGATCTCTGAGGAACAGCCTGACTAACGGAAGAACAAGTGTGACATCAGACTTCACATTATTAAGTAAACTGCTTCATCTGCAATTAACAGTGACACTAATTTTGCCAAGACTAGCTTGAAAAGAGAAACAATTATGTGTTTATTTCCCCCCTTCCAACTATAATTGTTCTGTTTATATCCAAGTCTTTAAAAAGACAGGAGGGGGAAGGCAAATAGAAGAGGGTAGAACTTATAAACAGGAAAACAGTATGGGGATTAATACTCAGACTCTACATTTGTGCTAAGGCTTTTGATTTACCTCATTTAGCCCTAATAAAGCCTTGAATTAGCTCCATATTCAGATAAGAAAAGTGAGGTTCAGAGAAGTCAAATGCATATTTCAGTGCCACAGAGATCCAGAAGCACTCTGTATCTTAACCTAGGATTACTTATGCCTTTATAGCTGGTTCTTAAATTTTGTTTTGTTTGTAAATACTGCCGTCTTTGATGAAATCGACTCCTACTCTCAGTGGCTTACATATAAGTTTGAAAAGGAAAACTCTGACCATTATATTCTAAAATAATACCCTACCTACACTGATATTAAATGGCAATAAATTATCCTTCAACATTAAAATGTGTAAAAACTCTCTTAGAAAAAGACAAAAGAGCTAACATTTATTTAAGTTAGATTCCAAAGTGTTAATGAATTATCTGGCACTACTTAAAAAGTGGTTTAAAACAAGATGAAAGCTGTACTGTATCAGTGACTAGAATGATAAGTAAAAACACCCACCTTGATTACAATGTGTCCTTTCCTGGTTCCACTCCGGTCTAGTTCACGATGCTCATGTACCATAACAATTTCTCCCTCTTCCTCAACTTTATGGGTATTTTTTTCCACATGATTTAAAATTCTCCAATAATCTTGCTGGGCTATGCAGACAAACTGTCCAAGAACAACATGGGGACAATTAATGAACCTATAGTACATAAATATATCGCTATGTACCAAGGCAGAGTACAAAGGTAAGAAATCTAGGAGCATGAATTTCTTTTCACTTAATTCCTTTAATCTTTAACAAAAATGAAGGTGAAACAATTCACATACGAAGAGACTAAAGAAGTCTAATCTGTTTGAATTTTGCTCCTTAAAAGGAGAAGTGAACTTCTACTTCTCTCAAAACTGACACTATGTAAAGAAAACATGAAGCAGGAGTAAGTTAGAAACAAACTCAGAAGTTCCTATTTCTTTCCTTTATTATTTTTTTTAAAAAGGACTCTGAGCTGGCTAATATCAAATAGAAATTTAACACACCAGCATTTATTTGGTATAGTCTCTTTTGAAAATTTATAGTTTTATAAACAGCCCACAAATATCTGAGGCAGATACAAAATCTAGTTTCCTTTATCAACTGTGAGCTATTGAAACTCTTAATTCTTAAATAAAGGTATTTTATTTTAAGGAAGACAAAACAGGCTCAGCTACTTTAAATCAACAGGCAAGCAAGAGGACTTGACCAAAGAGATAGTCTTACCTGACAATCATCTACTTTAGTCCTGATAATTCCATGCATGTACTGCTTATCTAGAGTGGGAGTAATTCCAAAACTATTTCCCATAAACAAATTTTCAACTTTTCCATCTGGATGACTGATTTCTACAGTGCCGTTTAAAATAACATACCATGAGTCAAGCTATAGAGAAAAACAAAGGTTTTATGAATCTTTAAAAAAAGGTAGTTATATGTTAACTTTGAAAAAGAATCTGTCAACATACATAACATGTATAATTTAAAAAGGAAAAAGGAGGATCTGGTTGTATTACTAAATACTCTGTAACACCCTATGCTTTGAGCGCATGCAAGCTACTAAAGCTTATTTTGCTCTTTCTTCTTTTAGTCACCAAACGAGTACTGTCATAATTGACCAGATTCTCTAGACAACATAGTGTAATGTTCAAGAGCACAAACTCTTGGAATGTTAATCCATACAATGCCACTAACTACGTAAATGACTTTGGGTAAATTATTTAACCTTTCTGGGCCTCAGTTTCTCTGCTGCTCCAATGATTGTAAGGAAAGTAACTATCATAGAACTATTATGTTAATTAAATGAGTTAATACATACACTGTGCTTACAATAGTCCCTGACTAAAAAAACATACCTTTAAGAAGAAAAAATAGCTAGCTAATGATTATTTCAGAAAGACTAGTAAAAGCCTAAATTTTAAGGCATATCTGACAAAATATTCACAATGTTAAGAAAATAATGCCTTCATTTATGCAGAAATATTTAATGCTTTATGAATTTATTTATTTATTTTAGAGATGGAGTCTTGCTCTGTTGCTCAGGCTGGAGTGCAGTGGTATGATCATAGCTTACTGTAGCTTCAAACTCTTGGACTCAAGTGATCCTCCTGCCTCAGCCTTCCAAGTAGCTGGGACTACAGGTGTGCGCCACCATGCTTGGCCAATTTATTTTTTGATAGAGACAGGGTCTTGCTATGTTCCCAAGGTGGTCTTGAATTCCTGGTGATCCTTCCACCTAGGACTTTAGAAGCATTGGGACTACGGGCATGAGCCACTGCACCCAGCCCAAAGATGATGTATTATAAAGGTATGCTATCTATCAATGAAAGACCACTTATTCTCCTTTAATATCAAACCCTCTTATAAACCTGAACCTTCAATAGTTTTAATGTGATTTAAGGGAAATCAAGATGGTTGGTTCTGAAGGATAATCAACAGCAATAAGGTTTTTTTTTTTTTTTTTTTCTTCCCAAAAGTATACCTTTATTATTTTAAAAATAAAATACACTCACTACACAACTTGTAGATTATATAAGCTACTGGAGGACAGGGAGTGTATCTGTTTTTTTCACCCCTATATCCCCGTATCTAGAATAGTACCTGGCACAAAGTAGGCATACAACAATTTTGCTGATACAACTGTGGAAAATTAAGAGAATGCAAAAACTTCTAGAAAATAATAGTTACTTAAAATTCCACTGTATACAGTTGTTTAAAGCTTTTTTTCTCTCTTCTGTATTTATTTTATATTATTGAAATATTTAGAATACACTGCTTAAAAAAATTAATACTACATTCATTTGTTCATCAAACTTTTTGGGGGAGCCCATCCTATATGACAGATGTCTTCTAGGATATGGGAGAAAACATGTAAACAGAGCCTAGAGACAGGGATCCTATCCTCAAAGAAACTGTATCAAATAACTTAAAAAATAACTGAATACCTTTATACTATATTCAACAGCTATATAATAATTTACTTAACTATTGCTTATCACTGGATGTTTTGGTTATGTGCAATTTTTACTTATATGTTATAATATAAAATTATGTAATTACATAACAGATTATATAAGTATATAAATATGTAATTTATATTATAAATGTGCTGCAATGAACAACTTTTGAAATCACTCTTGAGTTTTACATATGTCCTCACGTTAGACACTCAGAAGTGGAATAACAGGTTATGTTAAGAATTTTTCAATAATTTTCTGAAAATACTATACCAATTTACATTCCCACTAGAAGACAATATTCATTTACCGAAATCTCAGCATTTTTATCCATTTGATAAGAAAAATAATGAAGCACTTCCTGATGGCAATAATACCTTTCAATCCCTTTGCATCTTTCTTCCACCCATCCACAAGCTGTCATCTGAGCATTTTTAAATACAGAATTGTCACCTATATGCTTCAACTGTTAGCAGTTCCCTAGGATGCACTAATACCAATACACTTTCCTCATTCTTTTCCTTTTAAGTGTATAATAGAGACAAGGAATGAGAAGAATTCTTGATAAACATTTTAAACAATAATGATTTAATTATATAAATAGAAAAATGTTTAAGAATCCTTTAAATCTATTTAAATTACAACCTAATTTGAGAAGTAAAAACATTTGGTTCACTGAATATTATTTATGGAGCATCAACTCTGTGCAAAATCTACTGTGAGTAAATTAAAAAATCAGGACCCAAAAATAAGGACAAGTTTACAGAAATTAAATTATTTTATAAGTTAGTATCCATAAGAAATGTGTATGATTTATTTGCTGACCTACCTCTTGCCCATCTTCAAGAATAACAGCTCCAGCCTGTTCTACCACTTCAAAAATCATCACCGAGCAGAGTTCTCTCCTTACAGACATGGTCATGTTTGCAAAAGCAGGGAGCTGGTGCATAAACTCCAGTAATTGTTCTGTAAGAAAATGGGAATTCTGGTATAAAGACCATTGAGGACTGTACTTAAAAAACAGAATGAAATCTAGAATTCAATACCCAATTTCCCAATCAACTTATAAATTTATATTGCTAAAGTAGAGAAACTAAGGTACTATTTGATTACTGATTTTTAAAATCAATTTTTTGATTTATACATATATTCAGACTCACATATAAATACGGGCATACTGGAAAATACCAGAATTCCCAATCTCCAGAGAGAACCAGGAAACTATGCAGGTTCAGATGAAAGTAGAGAATATATCTAATATTCCTAGCCACTCCATGGGTTTAGTGATGGCCTTTGATCTAATAGATTGGTGAAAAGTCTTTTGTCTAATTCTTATTAAGCAAAAGTATTTTAAAATGCCATTAATAAATGTCAAAAAGTAATTAAAACAGGGATAATAAATGTGAATTCTAGCTGAAAATGTGTGTAATTAACTAGGTAACTCTCTTTAACCAACAAATGTTTATGAGTGCCTTAGACCATTCCCTGGTATGGATATATGTGTAAGGAAGATATAAATATAAGGAAGAAACACATATAAGCAGCCAGCAAAGAGATTAACTACAAGGTGCTATATATCCATAGAAAACAGGAATTAACTATATCTTAATTTTTTTAGTTTTATGAAAACAGTATAGTATACAATTCTGTATCGGTAAAAGTGCACTTTCAATTTCTGTCCAGGTGATGTTCACAACATGAATCCACAACGCAAGTTATTTACTATATCTTCAGAATGGCAAGGAATGTTCAAATACTTCGATCTTTACTCACATAAACAATTTTTATTAGTATCAGCCTCTTTTAATTGGAATGATAGCTATGATAAAAATGCAATCTAAGATAAAAATCTTAATTAAATCATGACAATATATATTTGACACTAAGTGATCTTTGCTCCTTAAAGATAACATTAACATCTTTAGTATCATTCAACTTCCCAACTACAGTAACTAATTTTGTAAAAAATTACATAAAGAAAAATTTATGTTTTAAGCGTACACACAACACATACATATATTTAAGCTAGGGAAATAAAAATATGAATTCACAAAAATCTGCAAGTTTTTCAAAAAGCAAATTCACAGACACTGAACACTGTACTGTGCTTGTGCTTTAAATGTCTTACAGACACGAGGGGAAAAAATCAGTCTAATGAAATCAAAGCGTTTGTTTTATATATTGTGGCAGCCAACTTCAAAGATGGCTCCCAGTGACTGCTGCCTCCTGATAGTCATGTCCTTGTGCGGCCCCATTCCACATTGTATTAGAGTTACTTGGTCTAACAGAATTTAGCAGAAGTAATGATGTGTTACTCTTGAATACAGATCATAAAAAACACTGTGGCATTTGCCTTATTCTCCCTTGGATAACTTACTTAGGGGGAAGCCAACTGCCATGTTGTAAGGACAATTAAGCAGTCAATGAGAGGCCCACATGAAGAGAAACTTAAGGTCATCATGCACCAAAGCCATGTAAATAGTCATCTTGGACACAGATTCTACAGCTCAGCTCAGGGAAGACCTGAATGGCTGCAGCCCTCTGTCAATTCTGATTACAAGCCAGAATCACCCAGCTAAGGTACTCCTAAATTTCTGACTCACAAAAACTATAAGATAATGGTTGAAAACAACATACATTTATTAAGTTTTAGAATAATCTGTCATGCAGCAATAGGTAACCATATAAACTAAATTACAAATTCTTATGGTGAACACAGTATTTCTTACCAATGTCATCATCAGTTTTGTCTGCAGGCTCTTTTTCAAGACATTCTCGAACAAGATCTCGTCCCTGCAATGGATCTGTTCTGTCAATCTCTTCATCTTCCTCTTCGTCATCCTCAGAATCAACAGGTCCTTCTGGAAGACGTGTCAAATCTACATCTCCCACCTCACTCTCCGTAGCCTACGAAAAGAAATCTTGATCACTTATCGTTTCATGTTAAAAATATTATAAGTCATAGTCTGAATTAATCAAAACTACCCCTCCCTACAAAATATTAAAAAGACTTAGGCAACGCTATATGCTGCATCAAGAACACAACAAAATTATACTTATTTATAAAAGGTTTCTTTATGCCCAAAATTTACAGGCTCGTCTTTCCACAGTGTGACAACTAGGTGATAACTCAGAGTCAACAAATATAAAATGGTCAGGAGACTCAAACTTCACTAAATGTATTAATATCTGTTTTCCACCAAACACTTGTATTTCATAAAAGTTTACTACAGAGTTTATTAAAACATGAAGTACCGGAAAGAAAAAGTTTATCAACAATCACCTTATTAGTACCTATTAGTCTATGCTGGGTACTGTGAAGAAGATACTATTCTTTCATCACAGAGACTTAGGCTTAGTAGAGTAGGTAATCATATAAATTAAGAACAGAAGTTTAAAGTAAGGTAAAGAATAGTACTAAAATACTCTAAAATAGACCCACTGTAAAGGACTGAACAAATACTCTTCATTTCACAGTATTTTACTGTTGGATCTAAAAGTGTGCAAAGAGCTGTGATTTCTGAATCAATCTATAAAATGACCTCAAACTTACAACCATAATTTGAAAACATGTTAGTGTCATATATTTGTAAAGAAATTATAAAAATTTTAAAAACCATAAATTAAAAAGTAATTCACAGAAAATAATGAAAATGTTTTTTAGAAGATAAAATTGTCCTAAGTAGATTCTAAAAAAATATTTCTGGCCAGGCGCGGTGGCTCATGCCTGTAATCCTAGCACTTTGGGAGGCTGAGGCAAGTAGATCATGAGGTCAGGAGTTCAAGACCAGCCTGGCCAAGATAGTTGAAACCCTGTCTCTACTAAAAATACAAAAATTAGCCAGGAGTGATGGCAGGAACCTGTAATCCCAGCTATTGGGGAGGCTGAGACAGGGAATCGCTTGAACCTGGGAGGCAGAGGTTGCAGTGAGCCAAGATTGTCCCATTGCACTCCAGCCTGGGCGACAGAGAAAGACTCCGTATCAAAAATACATATATATACACACATATATATGTATTTCTAAATATTATACTTGATTCATATTGTTAATGAAAAAGCATGAACACTAAGGCATTATAGAAAAAATGAGTGGACATTCAAGAATTCCATAAATAAAAAGCACTTAAATATGAGCATTAGTGAAGACTACAGAATCTTCATTAAGTATCTCCTGTTTTGAACATTTACTGTTTTCTCTGCCAAGATAATCGTCTTTTTTTTTTTTTTTTGTGACAGGTTCTTGCACTGTTACCCAGACTGGAATGCAGTGGTGTGCACTGCAGATCTTGGCTCACTGCAGCCTCGTCCTCCTGGACTCAAGCAATCCTTTCTCCTGAGCACTCTGAGTAGCTGGAACCACAGGTATGTGCCACCATACCCAGCTAATTTTTAAATTTTCGTAGAGCCTGGGAGAAGGAGGTCCCCTTATGTTGCCCAGGCTGGTCTTGAACTCCTGGACTCATGTGATCCACCCACCTTGGCCTCTCAAAATGCTGGGATTACAGGGTGAGCCACTATGCCCGGTCGATCTTCCTTCTTTTGAGGACTACTATTCCTCTCCATCTTAACCCCAGAGATTCCAGTGGGAAACAGTGCCCTGCTCCCTAGCTATGTAAACTAAGTTAGAAAGAGCTTTTCTCTAGATTTCTGTACACAATTAGATCTGGAAGCAGAGCATCCTTTGTAACCAGCCTGAATATTTTTGAATAATATATGGAACCACAAACTTGTTTGCAGTTGCTAAATTGGAATAATCTGAAAGTAGACAGCCTATAGCCACATGGAAATGCCTTTCTATGAAAGGAGAAAATGAAACCAATAGGCAGGGAAATGGGGGGTGGGAATGGGGAGGACGACACTGAACAAGAGAGGCAAACAAAGACTCAGAGCAACAAAACAACAGAAACAGAGCATGCAGGACAGAGAAAGAAAGAGCACTGTGACAGAAAGTATCACAAAGAAAGCAGGCAAGGAAAAGCAGGCAAGGAAAAATAAGCAAGCCATAAGGTGCCGAAAGACCAGAGACAAACAGAGGCAGACACACCTGCAAGGATCCAGGTACCCTGAGGCTAGAGTTGCCCCTGCTTTGTCTGGTGGTCAATGGCTTTACATTTTTTCTTTTTCTTTTTTTTTTAAAGACAGGGTTTCACTCTGTCACCCAAGCCATGTGATCATCAGTGATATAATCACAGTTCACTGCAGCCTCAGCCTCCTAGAAGCTAGGACCACAGGCACTGGCCTCTTGGCTTTCGTTAATTCAAGTTAAGCCTCTGATACCTACAACAGTCTGGATCTGTTTCCTAAGACCATGTCTTATACTTCCTTTGGATTTCTGCACAGCTTTAACTGATAGTCATTTAACAATCCAAACTAAATACTCAGATTGTGATCTTTAAATTAGAGAAGCTGGTTTTTAAGGGTCTGAGATTGTCTGAATGTTTGCATCTCCTCAAAGTTCTTATGTTGGAATCCTAACTCCTAAGGTGATGTTACATGAATGGGATTAGTGTAAAAGAAGCCTGAGGGAGTTCATTCGCCCTTTCTATCCTGTGAAGCTACAGTTAGAAGGTACCTCTATCAATCAGAAAGAGGTCCTTTTCCAGACACCAAATCTGCTGCTGGTACCTTGATCTTTAACTTTCCAGCCTCAAGAATAGCGAGAAATAAATTTCTGTTGTATGTAAGCTATCCCCCAGTCTATACAGTATTTTGTTATAGCAGCCTGAATGGACTAAGACAGTCACATGGGGCAATTCTATCTCATGACTGACTAGTATGCTCTGAGCTGTTTTCTGGCTATGAAATTTTAGGGTTTAAATGGAGTGTGTGTGTGTATGTGTGTGTGTGTGTGTGTGTATATGTGTGTGTGTGTGTGTGTGTGTGTGTGTGTGTGTGTGTGTGTGTGTGTGTGTATTATATATATATTATTAAGACGAAGTTTTGCTCTTGTTACCTAGGCTGGAGTGCAATGACACAATCTCGGCTTACTGCAACTTTCATCTTCAAGGTTTGATTCTCCTCTCTCAGTTTCCTGAGTAGCTGGGATTACAGGTGCCCACAACCACCCCTGGCTAATTTTTGGTATTTTTAGTAGAGACAGGGTTTCCCTGTGTTGGCCAGTCTGGTCTCAAACTCCTGACCTCAGGTGATCCACCTGCCTCAAACTCCCAAAGTGCTGGGATTACAGGTGTGAGCCACTGTATCCTGCCTGAAGTATATTTTTTAATAATATATGGAACCACAAACTTGTGTGCAGTTTATAATCCCTTTTCAAAGACAAGTAGTTTTAAATTTAAATATGTATACATGCTAAAAAGACTTGCTCAAAAACCTTATTTACATACACTGATTTAATCTAAGAAACTAGCGGGGGGGAAAAACCTAAAGCAATATTTTCTATACAATTTCTCAATACGTAGAAGAGCTCACTCCTGGTACATCCCTTTTTTATTTTATTAATTTTTAAGTGTAATCTGCATTAAAAATTCAGGTTTTTAAACCAATCTTAAATAAGGTTTTAATCCCCTGACCCAGATTATTTCAACCTAGTCTCATTACCACATTTCAGATTATGTCTGATAAAAAGACAGATGGCTCAAAACATAAAAAGGCAAGATACAATTTAGTTATAGGGACAGTAAGTAAGGCTAATTATCATCTGCATGAAAAGCAAAGACATTAAAGAAGACAGTTCTTTAGGAAGAATGGAATTCATAGGTTGGGACTGAGAGAAGGCTACTAAAAGAACTTTTTAAGGAATCTTTTAAGACCAACTGCAAAGGAAAGAATATAATCTACCCTTTCAACTGCCTTTGTAGGCCAGGCACAGTGGCTCCTGACTGTAATCTCAGCACTTTGGGAGGCTGAGGCAGATGGCTTGAGCTTAGGAGTTTGACACTTGCCTGGGCAACATGGAGAAAACCCTGTCTCTACAAAAAATACAAAAATTAGCCCAGTGTGGTAGCACATGCCTGCAGTCCCAACTACTCATGAGACTGAAGTGGGAGGATTGCTTGAGCCTTGGAGGCGAAGACTGCAGTGGGCAGAGATCTTGCTGCTGCACTCCAGCCTGGGTGACAAAGTGAGAACCTGTCTCAAAAATCAAAACAAAAATCCCCCAAAAAACCATAACTGCCTTTCTTATACCTGTACTTTTTACATAGTATAAAAATAAAATTAGTTAAGAAGATACACTAAACTACTAAAATATTAACAGTATACAAGAGCATAAGCTGATAAAATAGCAATTAAGAATAAAAAATAAGATTGGTAAAAAACATGCTAGGAAATTTAAAAGAATTTTTTTACCTTAAAATTAAAAAAATAAAAAATATATAAAGACTAATTCCTTGATTAAACAAAGGAAAGCCAGGTTCTTAAGATAAAGGTAGATATGATTATGACCACAGGACAAGAAGTCACTGCATGATACTTCTGAAAATGCAGTTCCCAGTTTAATTCTATAATAATTAGATAAGAATTTTTTTAATGTAATATCCATAATGTTCAGAATACAATAAAAACTTACTACATATGTGAAGCAGGGAAATGTGATCTATAACCAGGAAACAAGTCACTATAAAGAGCTTCAATAATAATAATAGAGAAAATGAAAGTAAAAGGCAAGAACATTCCACATTTATTATAAGTAAGTTAAAGAATTTAGAAGAAAACCGGAAAATATCCATAAGGCGGTGTAAACTGTAAGAAGATAAATTTAAAGAAAGGGCAATAAAAACTATGCCAACTGAACTAGACGGAGAAAAATGCCAAAAAACATTTAATAAAGCCTTAGAGACTCATATCATAATATCAAGAGTGGGGATAAAATATGTGGGTCAAAAGACACTCCATATTCATGGTAGGGTACACAGAAGACTGATCCCTGGCATTTCAACTAATTTAT